GGGGAGGAGGGGGCAGGAAGGTGTGGAATCGGAGCGAAGCGGAAGGCAGAACGGAGGAGAAGCCACGCAACAAAGGGGAGAGGGAGGAAGAGAAGAAAGGGGCGTGAGGGAGTGGAGGAGAATTGCGAGCTTCACGCGGAGAGAAACTTCACGCGGAATGTGCGAGCGACGAAGCCAGTTCGTGCGAAATGCAAATATTGACTTGCATTGACTCAGCAAGACACAGGCGATTTTAGTTACTCTTTGAACATACTCGCATCGCTGCTGGGCTGCGACAAGCAACCCCCCATGGGGTTTGCCGCCTGGAGGCGCTTCGCTCTGAGACGTCTCCTTTAAACAAAGTGGATTGCTGCCTGCAGGCACGCACGCCGCTCGTGTCAAACAAACGACAAAGCCACCTGTCTCTGATGCTGGCAACTGTACTGTTTTCTAGGTGTGCGGCGCTTCGAAGGGTATAGATGGTATCTAGGTCAGCTACGGAGAACAATCCGGCTCTCGTGAAGGAAACGCGGAGAAACTTCTCGCTCGCTGCGAAACGAGGGTAGACTGCGTGAACGGCTCATAGAACGTCAGACTTCTGCATTTTCCCTAATACAGCAAACCTACTATTATATAGAACTAGAAGCAATGGGTCTGCTCGTGCGAATCATGCTAACCGTAGAATAAACGATCAGTGTGGACAACGGCAAAGGACATGATGCTGTTGCACGCGAAGAGCACGCCGTGATATTCAAGAATAAAGCGATAAATAGGACGTATCGCGGGGAGGTGTGGGGTTGCTGAGGTGAAGCGGTGGAACTATGGTGCAAAAGCAGTCTAAGGTTGATGGGTCTGGCCTGCTTGTAGGATGAACATGGAACTTGCGGATACTATCGGGGTTCTTCCTTCACGAAAACGATCGTGTGGAGAGCGGTTATGTATGGTTCCGACCGATGATGAGAAAGAGCTCTCTGGTATCGCAGACCGCACGTGGTTGACGAGGCAAAAGGGGGGGTTGGCTTGAGGAAGGATGATCCCGAGGTTGACTGGAACAACACTCCTTGACCGAGGTGTACACCGCAGAAGGATTACGCACAATGCGTATAACAAACTACAAGGACACCACATTTCTCAAAAACTAACCACCACTCAACTTGTGGAAGCCATTTACCTATCAGCGTTGAGCAATCAAGATGATCCATTTTCTTGAGAATCGTGCTCATTTTTAGGCTCATTAGGTGCCGGTAGTTTGATTGCCACTTTCAGTACTTCCAAAACCTCCTCCATGGTTGGACGATCAGCCCAGTCCCTGGCTGTACACTGCTTGGCAATTATCGCGATGGCACTCGCTTCCGTCTTGTTTGCTTCATTGATGATTGCAAGGTCCATCATGTCCGCAGCGCTGGGAGCATCCGCCTCATATAACCACGCCTTAATGTCTTCTGCAAAACCTTCCCGAAGCACCGATTTGCCCGCGAGGATCTCAACCATGAACAGACCAAAGGCAAACACATCACTCTTGTCACACAAGTGACCTGATATGGATACAAGGGCAGAGAAGCAAGGAGCACATCCATGCATAGGGGCATGAGATGCATAACAACCAGAGCCACACATGCATAAAAGCTGCCAATTTAGCCAAGATTCTACACAGGAAAAAAAAACATGTGAAGCCATTTCAGCTCTATGTCAGCGATTCCAACTCACCTGACTCAAAGTACGTGGGATCAATGTACCCCATGGAGCCCATGACTCGTGTCGTGACATGCGTTTTCCAGTCCTCTATACCCTTGGCCAGACCAAAATCAGCCACTTTCGGTGTGAAGTCCTGTGATAAGGGGGGAACAAGGGAGAACGGAGAGGAGGGAGCAAGGCTGGGGGAGGATTGATAAGGCAGTTGCACGGACAAAGGGATGAGAGAGCGAATCGCAGAAGCAACAACACAGGAACGATGGCTGACGAGCTAGCAACTAACTACATGCCATTGTAGCCAACAAGACTGATTATGCATTGTTGTGTTGAGGGAGGGTGATGCAGGGGGGACAAACGAGGGCAAGAATGCTTACTTGCATTAGAAGCACATTGCTGGACTTGAAGTCCCGGTGAATGAACCGCTGCTTGTGAATGAACGTCATTGCCTCTGCTGTTCCCATAATCACTTTCATTCGGTCAGCCCAGGAAAATTTTGCCTTGCCATCCGAACCTGTGCCACATGAAGGGAATTATGAAAGGGTGGAGGCAAAGCAGAATATTTGGCAGTTGCATGTCACAGTGTTTCACCATGCCACTACAGTAATTTCTGCAGTGGCAGACCACGATTCACGAAAAATAACACTCCATCTCACACGTAATCGTATTGTGTGCAAGCAGCTCATTACCCACACTTTGACTTCCTTTAATCCCTAAAACACCTTTGACCACGAGTGTACGCACATTTTGCAAGCCATGCGTCCACATCGCCCATGGGGATGTATTCGTACACCAGCGCCTTGACCTTCTCCGTGCAGCACGCCAGCAGTCTCACAATGTTGGGGTGTTGCACGCCCTCCACTGTAGTGATCTCGTTCTGTATCGGGTATGGAAGGAGACACGCAGAATTGAGAGATGAACCAGCCGAACACACTCTCCATCCATCTTATGGACACAACGCATTATCCATGCAGCGTGCGAGTCTCACATGCGATGATGAACACATTATGGGTGTAGCCTGCAAGACCCACTTTACTACCTGGAGACACATCATCCATTTAGCCTGAAAACCCCATATGACGACTGAACACATCACCCATGGATTCTGCAAGCCCCAAATTACTAGCTGATCATAGATAATCCATTTAGCCTAAAAAACCCCACATGATCACTGAACACAACACATTACCCGTGGAATCTGCAATCTCCCGCTTACTTCCCCCTTCCAAGTTTCTAAGCGCTGATCCTCACATGCGCTAATACCTCGATATCATTTAAAGCTGATGAAAGCTACTCACCAGAAACTCGTCCATTCCTTGAAAACTGTGAGGAGCCAGGACTTTGACCGCGACGAAAGTCGTTTCTTCGTCAGCTTCCCCGTTAACGCCGCGCAACCGGCCCTTATACACCTTACCGAAACCCCCTTCACCAAGGACGTCGGAGAAATTTTCCGTGGCTCGCTTGATGTCTTCGTAGGTGAGGAATTTCACAGACGACTCGCTACCGGCTTCTGCCGATTTCGCAGTTGAGAGAGAAGGCAGTGGCTTGGAATCTGAAACAAAAACCGCAGTGCGAGTGGAAACGAAACGGGGGAATGGCGCTTGGCGCTTGTGAGTATTCAAGAATTCTTTAACTCAAGCATTTTCACTTTGAAAATGACGTCATGGAGTTGGAACAACAAGGGGTGAGATTGAAAGAAACTAGCACGCAAGTTCAAGTTTAACTCGAATGACTTACTTCGTGATATTGGAATGCTATCCCCGCTTGGTTTTGAGCTGAAGCAACCCATGTCAACAGAAAAATGCGAACTGGGTATCCAAAATCACTACTACGTTAGCAGCAGCTAACTCGTGCAACGTCCAACATTGGAATGCACACTACCAGAAACGGGGTTCGATTCCGCCTTTGATCGGCACCTAAACCTACACAGTACCGAGAACAGAAATACCCTAAAAAAGAAGGAGGCGCGGCTTTTTCAAGTAGAAGGCCACGCTTCGTCCCATTGCGTGATTTGCAGCTCCTAGCGCCTACGTAGCACAATTGGTCCAGAAAACTGATTGACTAGCTACAGTGAAACCTAAAGACGAGTGTCACGTCCGCGGCAGGGAGGAACGCCGCGAGAGCCGTCGGACAAGCAGGGTGGCCGTGTTAAACCACTATGCTCAATTACTTTATGAACCCTATTCTAGAACCGACCCTGTTCAGCTGTACCTAGGTTCGAGTGAGCACGCCTGCTTGAGGTTGAAGAGTGTGGTACTGTACTCCCAAGCCTCTCTCCAACAACCAGCTGGCCGTCTCTTGGGAATTGCGTGGCTGGTGGAGCTGGCTCATCCTGCTGCTCACCCTACTCGCTCAACCTACTGGCTCGCCCTACTGGCTCCTATTCACCCAGCACGTCCTACGTGTTCAATAACGAGTTTATACACAGACCCTGTATCTGAGTGTGAGCTTAAGATATGAATGTGTTGCATCTGGAGTTTTTTTCCGGTGCTGATTATGAATGAATTGAGTGTCCATAAATGTTGATACGTATTCATGTATTTTATCGCACCATGAGTTCACAGATTTTTTTTAATCACATGCCATTATTCCGATTCATAAAGCATGGTTTAGTTATTACAATGTAGCATAATTACGCAAGGAAAAGGAGTGGAAACGGGAAGAGAGGAGAAAAGGAGGAATAACGTGAGTAGAAAAAAGGAGAGAGGAAGAAAGAAGGAGGGGAATAGGGGAAAAATGATAGGAGGAAGAAAAACAGGGAAGAAGGAAGAAAAAGCAGCACACACAACCCCAAGAAAACCCCAATAGCACAAATTACTGGAAAACAGGGCATTCTTGTAGACTATACTAGTTCTGTAAAATTGCAGATTTATAATAGAGTTCAACACAGTGCACAGTCACTTTATTCAAGCATGGAGGTCACCCATTTTCTGAAGCCGCCAACCGCAGCTAGAATTACAGGTGGGAGTTCTTACACCGGGCGTGACAATGCTGCGGCTCCAACTAACGAATGTCATTCCTCCCTCCCTCCCTCACGCTCCACCAGCAGCCCTGCCACTCCCAGTCTTCCTGCTCGCACCTCACACAAATGGCTGTGATGCTGCAGATTCATTCATCCAGCCATGGCGGTGGCCTGGAATTGTAATCTCACTTCTGCCGAACCAGCGTGAAGCTTGCGAACCTAAGATTATTTCCAATCTTTGCACCTGTTTGAGCACTTGCGCTTGCTTCTGCTAGCGTTCTGCGAGGTCATTCGAGCCTGCCATCCTTGCCAGAGAACTTCAGCCCAAGAACGAAGCTTCGTCAGATTTTTCGATATCCAGTCGTCAATCATGCAGTCGTTTTGGAGAGCTCGTAAGATCGACGAGGTGACGTCAGATAACGATAAGATCGCTCCCGTGTATCGCCTGGACGAGATTTGCTCGGATGTGCAATCGAGTCCATCCGAAGTGGTGAAGGAGTTGGTCGACTACATCATGCAGCGCCTCAACCACTCCTCGCCCTTCGTCAAACAGAAGGTGCGGGAAGAATTAGCCGCACGGTAACCGTATGGTAACCCTAGAGTAACCATCCAGCCAGCAATAACCCTGCAGGCCATCGGAGGTGGTGAAGAAGGTGGTCGACTACCTCATGCAGCGCCTCGCTCCTCGCCTTTCGTCAAGCAAAAGGTCGGAGAAGGCGTAACTGTGGGTAACCCTAGAGTAACCATGTAGTAAGCGTCCAGCCGACCGTAGAATAATCTTGCAGGCCGTTGGAGGTGGTGAGGGGAGGTGGATGACAACACAAGCCGGCCATGAAGTCTGAGCGTTCAAGCCGTCGGCTTGACAACATAAGCCGACCGTTACAGGTGGTGAAGGAGGGGGTTGGCAACATAAGCCGGCCATGAAGTCTGAGCTTGATCGTTTGAACGCTTTGACCAGAGATTGACGACACCGTTCTACCGACGGAGCGTGCGCATGCTTGGTTACTAATTGTTATCCCCTGTTTCAGGCCTTACAATAACTCTTCAAGAAAGTAGTCAACTGGGCGATCTATTCGTATGCTCGCGATTTGTTTTGCTTAAAATTCTGCTAAGTAAGGTGACGGGAATTTGTTAACTCCCCCCACGGCGTGCAATTGCGGTTGTAATGACGCCCCCCCTGCCGCCTCGTGTTGGCGCCACGCACAGTCGAGCTCGTCTTTTCCCCTCCCTCTTCCCCGGCTGAACCTCTCCCCCCTGCTGTCCGTCTTCTCGTCATCTCGTCCCTCTTCCCTTCATCTCGCCTCTCTTTCCATCACCTGGCCTCTCTTCTCTTCATCTCCTCCCTCGCCCCATCATGTCACCTCCCCAGTCCCTGCGGTTGATCAAGTACACAGTGTCGCGGGCAGGCACGGAGTTCCGCCGCAGCATACAGCGCCACTCCGCCACCATCAAGGGCATGGTCCACTATCGCGGACAGCCGGATCCGTTAAGAGGCGACGCGCCCAACAAGGCGGTCAGGGAGGCGGCGCAGGAGGCGGTACAGGCGATCTTCAACCCGCAGAACGACGTCAAACCCGGCCCAGGCGCCATGGGCGTCGGTGGCGCTGGTGGTGGTGGTGGTGCGTCTACCGGAGGTGGCTATAACGGGTATGGGCCCAGTGGCGGGATGGAGGGCGGGCGGCGTCGCATGGAGGGATTTGGAAGCACCCCGGCGAGGGGAGACGGGGGTGCTGGGGGCGGCGGAGGGGGGAGGGGCGGCGGAGGAGGAGGGGGAGCAGGGGGAATCGGCGCAGTGCTGGGTGTGAGTAGCGAATCGATCCGGCAGGGGATTAGCAAGCTGGCGGGCGTGGTGGGGCAAGGAGCAGGAGGGTCCGCGCGGGGAAAGGCGGGCGGGGGGGAGTTTGAAGAGGCGGCAGGCGGGGGGAGCTACGTTGGGCCGCGGTTGGACTCGGTAGGGGGCGGTGGGGATGGGTACGGGTATGGAGGCAGCGGGTATGGAGGCAGCGGGTACGGACACGGAGGCGGTTCGTCTGGTGCGTCTAAGTACGTGGGGTTTGACCGGCAGGGACGCACGTTCGACGCGTCTACTAACTCGTACTCGCCTGCTGCAGTGCCTGCTGCTCACTCTGGCGCGGGGAGGGACAGAGAGTATGGGTCGGACCGAGGGTACAGAGCAGGGGGGGGTTATGGTGGTGGTGGGGGAGGAGGAGGAGGAGGAGGGCCGTATGGTGGTGGAGGAGGGGGTGCATATGGCGGTGGGGGCGGGGGGGGATATGGAGGGGGAGGTGCGGAAGAGGACAGGTCAGGAGGGTGGGGCGACGGGGGGCAGCAAGGGGAGGGTCGCACTGAGGCAAGCGCATGGGGAGGGGCGTCTGGGCCCGGGGATGGGATGGGCGGAGGAGGCGGAGGGGGCGGAGCGAGCAGTGAGGAAGAGCGGTTGGTGGAGGGCATGACTGGGGCGGGCGGGGTGCGGCTGCAGCCGACGCGCGAGGCGCTGCGGGGCTTCATTGCGAGCCTGCCTAAGCTGAACGCGGGCGCCGTGGCCCAGGCGCTGGAAGCTCGTCTCCTCAGCAACCTGTGGCAGGTGAGCGAGCTGCTGCTTTTGAGGCGCCTCAAAGGTGGGCGGGGTGCGGCTGCAGCCGACACGCGAGGCGCTGAGGGGCTTCATTGCGAGCCTGCCTAAGCTGAACGCGGGTGCTGTGGCCCAGGCGCTGGAGGCGCGCTTGCTCAGCAACCTGTGGCAGGTGAGACCTTCTGCTGCTGCTGGTGCTTGCGGTTGCCCCGCTATGAGGTGAAGACGGGCGCCGTGGCTCAGGCGCTGGAGGGCGCCTGCTCAGCAACCTGTGGCAGGGGAGTTTGTGTAGAGATTAACATGGAGCAGATGGGAGAAGGCTCGGCGTTGTGACAGGTGAGAGTAAGAGGGTAGGATTGGGGCAAGAGGTGTCGGAGAGAGATGAAGGGAGATGAAGCGATGACTAGCCTCTTCCCTCAGGAAGGCGACCCTTGAATCTAGTCTCATCGCTTTCTTCCTTTGCCCGACCTCAAACTCCCACTTCCCCCTCTCCCTTCCCCCTCCTTACAGACGCGGCTGAAGGCCATGTGTGTGGTGGAAGCAGTGGTGAGGCAGGAGGGGGACCCTCAGTGCAACGCCATCTATGACTTTTTCGCCGACAACCCCCAAGCTCTGCATGAGAATGTGGACTCGCCTCAGACATCGCTGCGAGATAAAGCCAGACGGGTATGATGTCAATCTGCGTGCCCCACCTTAAACCCACCTTATCCGAACCTTGTATCAAACATAACCCACCTTGTTTCAACAACAACAAAACCGTGAGGCTTAAGAAAAACTCTTAGGGACTAGGCCATGCATGCACGTACAACAGCATATTTGCTGTGCTTGCGGCGCCAGCAGAGTGGACAGCCACCCCCCAGCCATCATGTCACCGCACTGCACACTACCAGACTCCTTTACTCTCCCGCCCCACCTCCCCCATTTCCAGGTGCTTGACCTCTTGGGCCTGCGGCACCAGCAAGGGGGTCTCTCGTCCCCACACACCACCACCACCACCAGCAGCTGCAGCAGTCGTGCCTGACCTGATTGACGTGGGGGAGGGGGACGAGGCGAGGCAGAGGGAGGAAATGGGAGAGGATCATGACACCGCACTGCACACAACCAGACTCTGTTGTACTCCCGTCCCTCCCACTTCCCCCAATGCCAGGTGCTTGACCTCTTGGGCCTGCGGCACCAGCAAGGGGGCCTCTCATCCCCGCACACACCACCGCCACCAGCAGCAGTTGTTCCTGACTTAATCGACGTGGGGGAGGGGGGCGAGGCGGAGGGAGGGGAGGGAGGGGAGGGCAGAGCAGCAGAGGTAGGGGCGATAGCGAGTGGCGATTCATCCAGTTCACAGGCGCCTGGTGTGACGGGAGTAGATGACTTGCTAGGAGGGGGGAGCATGGACCCCTTCGACTCACTGAGTGCTGCTGCTGCTGCTGCTGCTGCTCCTCCTGCTGCTGCTGCTGCTGCTGCTGCTCCTGCTGCTACAGCTCCGTCTGGCCCTACTGCTCCCGCTACAGCTGATCCCTTTGCCGGACTTTCTGGTGACCTCACAGCACAAACAGCGGACCTCTTTCAAGGGCTCAGCGTCAACAGCCAAGGCGTGGACGCAAAGCAGCAGCAGCAGCAAGAACCGCTCTCAACCGCTGCATCTGCTCCTGGTGCTTCCACTGGTGCTGCTGGTGCTGCTGCTGCTGCTGGTGGTGCTGGGGGAAGGGGAGGATCTGTTTGCAGGTATGAGCGTGAACCAGCAGCAGCCCCAACCACAGCCACAGCCACTCTCTGCAGGCGCTGTGAAACCAAAACCGCCGGCGCAGCAGTGGGCAATGGGGGGAACGGGCATGCTAGGCACCCCCATGACCATGACCACCCCCATGCCCATGCCCGTTCCTATGGTGTCCGGATCAGCAGCAGCAGCAGCAGCAGCAGGGGGAATGACCATGGGCATGGGGATGGGGATGGTTGCAGGGGCGGGCATGCGTCCCATGATGGTCCCCATGCCTATGATGGCTCCTGGGGGAGTTATGATGGCTGGTCATCCTGGCATGATGCCCATGCCCATGGGCATGGGCATGGGTATGGGCATGGGCATGGGGGGTATGGGTATGACCATGGGCATGGGTGTGAACATGGGAATGGGTGGAGGGATGGGGATGGGTATGGGAGGCGTTGGGGGCACTGGAATGGGTGGTGCTGCGAATGGTGGGAGTATGATGGCAGGTGGAGGGATGGGGAGTGGAGGGAGGGTGGGGGGTGACTTTGATTTCTCGGGTGATCCCACGCTGCGCCCCGTTCCTCCCAGTGCTTCCACCAAGGAGGATTCACATGCTTTTGACTTTGTGTCGGTGAGTCGAGTCGAGCTTCTATGTGCCTTGGGAGTGTTTCCCAGATCATATTCCATGTCTCTTAACGCTCCTCACTGCATGACCTGCAAGACCCACAGCACATCTCTCCATCTCTGTGTTTCGGAGAATTGACAGTCCCCTTGCAACTTTCCATGGTTCATTTGCCACCACCGCATCTCTTTCAATCCCGGCTGCCCTTTACTCCCCAATGTTCTCGGTTTTCCACCACCAATTACTATCATCCATCTCCCACTGCCTATACCTTATCGTCCATCTCCTGCTATACATCTCCCATCTACCTGCATGTGTATCCAGGAGCACATAGTGGCAGCCATGGGGACGAAGAAGGGCCCACCAGCTTCAGCAATGCGCTCGTCATAAGCTGGAATGCATGAATGAAACCGCCCTTTCTCCGAGCAACGCTTTCAAAGTAGGATCGAAGTTTCCAGAAGGCTTGGGTCGTTGAGCTTGTACTGTAAGCTACGGTAGTACGGTAGCGAATGTTCCCTGCATGCCGACTGGCCACTCTACTTGACAATGTTGCCATGTGAATCATGACACACCGATATCGCAATCTTTCCACACCATGCTCCTGCCGTATCACTGGCATGCCACAACCATGCCATGTCGCCACAACCATGCCATGTCGCCACAACCATGCCATGTTGCCAGAACCATGCCATATTCATGCCGCCCACTCTGCAACCATATTCATGCAACGATATTCAGACATGGCTTGAGAGAGGCCTGAGGGTTGCCTATAACTGGACATAAGTAACCTATTTCAAGTCAATCCTGATCAAAAGTTTGTCCCTTGACTGTGTCCTGAAGCTGCACCAGCAGCGTAGTACAGTTTAGGGTTGACGTGCACAACTGTACTCTGTTCAGTCATGCATGAGCAGCCTCTGGGTAACAACAGCCTTTCTCAGTAAACGTTACAAGCATGCTCATAGCAACATTGGTCTACAAGAACTGCCACGGCACGGCAGCATAGGCATCTAGAACTGCATGCGGTGGGGCTTGTCTCCCGACGTGAGTGAGAAACGAGCAGCGAGGTACTCCTTGAGCAGCGGCTCGCTGCTTACCGCAGCCAGGATCTTCTCGTCAACTGCCGCCTGGTCATCCTTCCTCGCCTGCGACACCACCTTCTTCTCCTGCACATGGCACACATGGATGGTTCGGGGTAGAAGGTGGGGCAAGCGGTGAGTGGCAAGTGGTGGAGCAGGTGAGGCGAGGTACTCCTTGAGCAGCGGCTTGCTGCCTATCGCAGCCAGGATCTTCTCGTCCACCGCCGCCTGGTCATCCTTCCTCGCCTGCGACACCACCTTCTTCTCCTGCATATGGCATAGAAAGGGTTTGGGGTTGAAGGTGGGGTGGGGCAAGTTTAGAGTCGACTCAAATCTTCTCGTCCACCGCCGCCTGGTCATCCTTCTGCGCCTGCGACACCACCTCCTTCTCCTGCAACAGAGCATACAAATGAGAAGGGAGGTACATGTTGAGATGCTGGTCCTTCTCATTATCTTATGCCTGCCAGCATCCACCGCCGCCTGGTCATCCTTCCGCGCCTGCGACACCACCTTCTTCTCCTGTGCACACAAATGGTGGCGTTTTGGGGAAGGACCGAGGAGGACCAGGGAGGAGGGAAGGGGAGGGAGGGGGAGGGAGCGGGAGGGAGAAGAAGGGTTTGAGGGAGAAAGGCGGGGGGGGGGGGGGGCGGGAAGTGTTGAGTAAGAAGTGGGCAGCGCGGATCACAAACGCTGTTGCTGCCTAGCCACCACATTATGATGGCAACAACGTTCCTTCTCCTGAAGAGACGGGGGCATGGATTTTGGACCCCGGAAGCGGGGATGGGAGGGAGGAAAACGGGTAGGAGGGAGAGGTGAGGGGAGGAAAAGAACAATCCGTGCAAGGCACTGCGAGGCAGCTGACCTTCTTCTCGGTCTCGAAGAACTCGCCCTCGCTCTTCTTCTCCTTCTTCTTCTGCTCGCCCGCGAAGTAGCCGTCGTCGAACTTGGCCACGTCAACGCCGCTCACGTCCACCTTGGTCGACGTGGCGATGACGTAGCGCTGGTTGACTCTCCTCAGGGGGACCCTGTTCACCTTGAAGGGACCTGGTAAAGCAAAGGCCAGATGGGACACGGGAAGCGTGTGGAAAATATGCGCAACGGCAAGAGGAGGGGGTGGAACAAAACAAGAACTGCTTGGTTGAGAAAGTCTAGTCAGGGCACACGAGGAAAACCAGAGGAGAGGGAAAGTCTAAAGGAAGAAGAACAGGGGAGTACAAGTAACGAATACGTGAATCGTCGCGACGACAAGTCCGTCTGGCAAATCAGAGGATGTCCCCAAAGTGGCCTCATAGATCTTGGTGGTTAGTAAATCGTCATGCGGCCGTGGCCGTCAAGAGTAGCAAATACTAATGAATAATCATCGGCCACATGCCCCACGTCACCAATGCGTAGACGGAAACGAAAACATTTGGCTTGCTGGAAAACCAGGTAAGAGAAGTTCCGACAACATTAACCAGAATCGGTGGATCAGCACAAGGACCTGGGTCCAAATAAAACAAAACATACTGAAATATGGTGACAAATGAACAGTATGTAGATTTATGTCGCAAATCTGGGACCAGGTTTGCCACCAGCATGACGTCTGTCGCTGATACCTGGCCAGCAACAGTTACGACCCCGCCTAATTACTACATTTAAGTTGGAAACTACCAAACTAAGCGATGAGGAAATATCCCGTCCACAGTCCCATCGTACCCATCCATAGCAGCGGCCTCATATCTTGGTGGTAGGATAATCGTCACATGGACTAAAGCCATAACGAGTAGCAAATGATGAGTTTAATCACCGGCCGGCTACGGAGTCACCAGAATCCACAACTCTGCGGCTTTAAACGACGATATTCGTAAGATTTAGAGAAAAGCAGCTCGAAACCTGTGGTTGCAGCCTCATCGATCTTGGTGGATAGTAAATCGTCATGTGGCCATGCCATCAAGAGTAGCAAATACTCCGTATATTCACCGGCTGCACCACCACCGTCCAACGAACTGATCGGCCTCAACCCCCATGCTACCTTTACTCCCCAACAGCCCTTCATCGTCTGCAGTATCTGGACGTGTGCGTAGTGCACTCGACCCTTTTCAGAACGACGCTTCGCAACCTAGCTTCGGAATGTCTACCCCTCCGCAATCGCCTATCACCGTCGCCAGGTGCCTAGAAACGTTGGAGATTGGAGGCAGATCGCGGAACGACATGTATCGAAAAGACATGCTGTCAAACCGGAGCTACCGCGGGTAATCCGGATGAAACAGCTGCGCCGTGGATCAGACACACTGCCAACCTACGCGAAGCTGCTGATACTCCCTATGTAACATGTACGGCGTGACGATCAAGCATCGGACAGCGATGAAGCTACCGAAATGATCGCTGCGATCTTAGAATCCGCTTCATGAAGCTCCGGACAATTATAAAAGACAGCGCTCTGACACGCTGGTGTGAGGTAGCCGAGGAGGGATTAAACAGGTGAGAGGTTACATGGAGACATGGAGATGAACAGAAAGCAAGAGGAGTGGACTTACCAATCGAGAGGAGGATCTTAAATCAATGCAGAACTTTAACAGTAACGAGGAGCACTTAAAATCGATTCAGAACCTTACCAGTGACGAGGAGAAGGCCGGACTCGAGCTGCTTCAGGAAAACGACGCGCTTGCCCTTGTCGCGGCCAGCGAGGATGATCAGCACTGTGCCTGGGGTGATGCTCGCACTGCGACCATAGGGGACGGGAAAAATACGCCATTGCCAAAAGAAGCATGGAGATTGGAGACGGTCAGTAGCAGTCAACCCTAATTCAACAATCGCGCCGAAGGACTCGCGAAAAACAGAGATTCCGAAGGACGGAGCGAAATTTTGACGATCGTTGACGAGCTGGAGGAGATACAGGGACCAGAGCGAAACCCTAGCCTCGCAAACCACAGACACAGCGCTTACCAGACCCTTACCGCAGCTTCGAGGGGCGATTAGCGCGTGCCCTCTTCAAGGGCTTCTTGACAGCATCTAGGCTGTATGACTTGGGAGCCGCTGCCTCCGCCATGGCTGAAAGGATCGAGGTATGGGAGATTCTAGAGGGGCGTGGGAGGGGAAAGGGAAAAGGAAAAGGAGCTGCTCTTGTGGGCGATGATGCATTTGGGGGAGCGTGTGGAGGGGCGCGGAGGATTTTGCGCAAACGGGTGTAGAGTACGGGGACGCTCTTGCGGAAAGGGTGGCAGAGGCGTGGCTGGTTTGGGAGAAGCTGGGGGCAATAGGGAAATGGTGGCAAAGTGCAGGAGGAGGCCGGGGGGGAACTGGCGTGATCGGTTGGGTTGCTTTTGGTTGGGTTGAGAGAGTAACGGCGTGTCTTGGGGTCTGGGTTGATTTTGCGCACAAGGAAAATTGCTTGAGCTGAGGCGAGTGCACTTCGGGGCATTGTCAAATTGCACCTCACCTGCCCCGTACAACGGTAGCTCTGGACGTACAAAAAGAAATATATGCAGCGTCTTTTGCAAAATGTAGATTTTAAAAGAATGAACTAGCGTCACCAACACGACAAGTTCGAGGTGGTCCCTAGAATACTGGTGCTGCTTCCAACTGTCGAAGTTTTGGAGAATAGATTCTAGGTCAGCGACTTGTGTTACTGAAAATAGTGGCCGAGCAGTGCTGAAAGCACGCTCGCTAGGCTGTGGTATCGCAGCTATGATAACGGTTATGCTGTTTCCTGACTACTGTTGTGCTTGCTGCTGGTTGGTTTCCGTGACAACAGGCTGTGAGCGGGTCCTCAATAGTTACTTGGTGAACATCTTAATACTCTATGGAATTGTTTTCTGATTTCGCCGCTGGCTTCGACGAAGAGCTCGATGTTGACGACTCCGACATTCTGTCCGCCCTGGGCAAGGTTCCAGATGTGAGCAAGCGACAGTCAGAACAGAATAATACCGAAGGGAACAACCTACCAGGAAACAGCGGTCTTCGGCCCGTGAGGACGAAAGCAGCTGCTGACATTGGCGGAAGGCAGTTTAGTCCAGGCGTTACCCCTGCGCAACAAAGAGATGAAATCCTAGACAGGGATAGCGACGACCGTTCAAGATTCAAAGTCTCACCTGAGCCAACTTCGGAGGATTTGAACTTCGCACCAGCCAGGAATAACCATGGCGCGGACTGGATGAAGCCCGAGCGCCGATCACCAGCTGATTCCGATGCTGCTAAATTCTCCGAAAGCCAACGACGGCGTCAAGGATGGGAACCGACGGTCAGCCAGTCTCAGCAGAATGGCCCTACGGACAACAGCGTTGACGATGGGGTTAGCGGATGGGCGAATTTCAGCCTCGGAGATTTCGACCTGGGCATTGATGGCTTGGGAGGAGACGCTGATCGAATGCGAGGAGAACCAGACGGGGAACCTGTTGAATTTCCACCCTCTCAGCGTGCAAATCGGACGCGCGGATTGAGATCCTCCCAACGTGCGGATCAGGCCCGCGGATTGGGGAATGATAGCGAGTTTGTGAATGCGTTTGAAGAAGGTCATGGAATGAGCTTTGGATTGGACGATGCAGGAGCAGATAGGGAGACAAAGAGGAGAAAAAAAGGAGAGCACATCGAGACTGCTGTGAAAACTGAAGATGTGGAATTGAGCCCTGGAGAGAATGCGTTTCTCAATAATGACTCGCCTCCCTTGGATGGAAAAGCTGGGGGGGAGAGTCTAAGAATTCTTCCAGGCCCTATTGGTATCCTTCAGCGAAGACTAGCAGGTCTATCATGTGGTCCTGGTCAGGGTGATGGTGGCAACGGCGGTCCCTTTCCAAACAATGGCCTTTCGCACAGTCGACCAGAATTTACAGGAGACGAAGATTTCAGTAGAGGGCCGTGGCTCTCATGCCTCGACGTCCTCGACATACATCCTTCTGTCTTTGGTACGGTCCGGTAACGTTTGCTCCATTTTTTGGCATGTTCTGTGTGTAATTCATTCTACTCACTACTGCTGTTTTTTCTAGCTCAGGGAAACCAGGCAGTGGGTGTGAAACAATAAGGAGCATTCGGCAAGCAGGCATTTCGATGGTGGTGATGCAGGTAAGGTGACTGCTAATTTGGGAATACATATTTTCTTTCAATGTAGAGAGTGGTCATAAACATGCTGTATGCTGAAACGTTTTGCTTGTCGTAGTGGTTCATTTCCGTTCTTTTGTTGGAACCTTTCCCTGTCCACACCCGCCAGCTTGCAGCTGTGGTTGAGCGCGTTCAGCTGCAACCACGGGGTGATGCGAACATCGAAATCAAGGTAGGACACTTGTTCGCTGTGCAACTGGTTTATTTCTGTAGAATGGAGCAATGCATGGATATTTCTCATTCAAGTACAGTGCTCTAATTGCACAACAAGTGGCAGTCTGGCGATGGTGTATTCATGGAACCTTGTTATCTGGGAGGAAAAAATGTTAAAATGTATGACATGAATCAAGAAAACGTTTCAGCATCCTCCTTCTGTTTTGCGGTCACGGCCATCCATCTAAAGCAGGACCCGACGGGTCGTTTGGAGGGCTCGCTGCACTGGAAGGTCATGGCTGACGCTGACAACAAGTCACGGCTTAAGCGGGGATCTGCCCTTCTTCTCCGAAAGGTGCACAGCCCATCCATTTTGCAGCTGCATTTCGTTGCATACCATGTTGCATTCTGTTTTGTGCACAACTGAAGTGTGCCATGTGTACACGTGCGACTGGCAGGTGGTGGTGTTCAGCCCTCGCAAGGGACTGCAATATATCAACATCACCCTTGCCAACGTTGTTCAGGTGAGTGTGTAGGTGCATTCCACCAATCCTTCCAGTCCCATTGTCGCTCCCGCCCGTTCAATTTATTGTGCCTCTTTCCGCTTTCCTGTCCCATCCCGTTCAAGGTGTTCCCTCCAGACACCCCGATTCCTCCTGTTTCTGCTTTTCGCCCATCATCATCGAATTTACCAGGTGTGACCATGTCCTCTTCCTAGCAGGCTCTTCCGCCTGTTTCAATTTCCCCTGTTCAATCTGTTGTGTCAGCAACTCCTAGGACTGCTTGATCTGTTGTCTAATTATTGCCATTCTGTTTGCACTGCAGGCTCGCGATTCGCATCTGCCCGATCTCCTCCATTGGGCTCAACAGCTTCCCCGCCTGCACACACAATCCAATCTCCAATGGCGAACCGACAGTCTGCATTTACGATGCCGCGTCGCAGTCTCGCTGATGACTCGCCCTTTTTACCAGATAAACCCCGCCTGCACACTCAGATGCCACAGTCGCCAAGCTCGCTTGGTCCCAACCGAGTGCCAGCATCGCCTCAACCTGTGACACAGATCCCATCTTCCGCTGCTCCACCTCGTCCTGCTTCGGGCTCCGCGGTCCAGATGAATGCTGTTGCTGCTGCTGGAACGGCAGGTTTTTCTGCACCTTTCACTATGAATGCGCCAAACCCCCACTCCAATACGGAGATGATGCTGAAACCAACTCCAGCCAGTCGAGTTCCAGCGGCCACGATTGAGCGACGGGAGAAGGCGTGGGATTTCACGTCAATTGATGCTGAGGATGCTGACATCTGCCTCACACCTATGGTGCCTGATGTGGCCTTGGAGAGCCACAGGGGAGTGTCTGGGAGTCATGTCTCTGCCATACGGGGAGAAGGTGAGGAGGGGCTTCAGCCACGTGAAGCAAGATCTCGTGAAGCTCCAACCACAGAGAGCCAGCAAGGCCTCTCGGCTGGCATGAATGATGGCATCCATAAGCATTGTGGGTCTGATGCACAAGGCCAAGCCGCAACAGAGGTGGAAGCGCAAGGTATGGAAGGGATTGGTATTGGTGAGGATGGTTCGAAAAGAAATGCTCACAAAAAAAGGGCTTCTGAAGAGGCGGTAGATGTTATGAAGAAACTTGGGTGGGATGCTGATGCTTTTGGAGCCTTTTTCGACGATGATGTGGACGGTTTGTTTGCACCTTTGAATGGAAACTGAGCATGATCTAAGAACCATGTTTCTAACACACAACCAATTTTTTCTGTTAAGTGACTGTCCATGCCACACCACTGTTCAAAAGAAACCACTCTTTCCTTGGGTGCCCTGTCTTGCTCCTGAATCCAACGCCAAGCACAGCAGTACCTAGGGGCCAAGGCAATTCACCTCAGCTCAAGGGTTGGTCGGACCAAGTCGTCCAGCCTGTCCTGACCAACTCCGAGGGCAGGAATTGCCACACGCATTCAAGGCATTCAACAAACCCACTGGCGGTTCAATCTGGTCAGGCGCGAGACAGTTGAATGGCCAATAAGCAGGAAGCATTACCGGCGCGTGAGGTCACCATACCTCGCCGCGCCATGCTTCAAACTTCTCAATCCCACTCCACTCCACTCACGCAGGCGCGGGGTGCAAACTTCTATCGAATTTGGTTCGGTTCGTTCCGGTTCATAGGGTCATTATCGCCATTCTACTTGCTTCCTCCCGTCACCCTCCAGTTCGCTCCATCCCTAATTCCCGTGCTCCTCCCATTACGGTATATTCTAGGTTCAAATTTGTCCTCGCCTCCATGTGACTGGACAAACTCTTTCATTTCTTTGATCCCATCTTGTTATGAGTTGTAAAAGAGAGTACGCAGGTAAACGAATAACGAGACTGTGACTGAATCAATTCAGAATACAATGAATGCACAGACTAATGTAGGGCTAGCCTAGCTAGGAGGAAACCTCGGGTGAGCGAGGTTGGGTGCAGGTTTGGCGATGGAAATGCCGAAGGCGACGCGAGGAGCTTCGGCAGCGTGGAAATCGCCCGAACGTGCGAACTCCGAAAATCGGGTTGTACGCGCAGTAGTCAACCCCGATAAGGAATTCGAGAAAATTCCTTACACCACCCCCCCCTTAAGAAAGGCGGTCAATATCCGAAACACGCTTGCGCGCCAAGTAATCACCATCAAGTGACGAGGCGTCGAGCGAGGCGGATGGCACCCACGTGTCGTCTTCACTGGTGCGATCAGTCCAGCGGATTAGGAAATCCACGTGTCGGCCAGCTGCGTCAAGTCGAACTCGATGGGCGAGAATTTTCAATGGGTCGAGTGTCGGCTCTGGGACAGGTCGAGCTGTCGGGGCAGCTTGCTGACGTGCAATGTCGGTCGTGGCTGGCACGAACTTGCGAAGCAGGCTTACGTGGAAGGCGTCGTGAATGCGCCAGTCGTCTGGTAGCAACAGCTTCGCGGTGACAGGTGTCACCATCTTGATAATCTTGAACGGTCCGCAAAATCGGGGCCGTAGTTTCGATGGACCGGGCAGGTGCAGGTTCTTCGTGTCGAGGAGCACTAATTGCCCAGTAGTCAAGACGAGTTCCCGGCGTAGGAGGTCGGTGTATTTGCGGGAAGTAATATTCGCCTTGCGAATTGCGTCTGCTGCTTTCTCGCGTATATGCTGAAGTTCCGTCACAAAAGCTTGTGACCTCGGGACCGGGTTTTCGAGCGAAGTCGCCGTGGGGACCGTCGGATCCATCCCGTAATTTAGGAAAAACGGGGAGTGATTAGTCGTGCTCGACGGTGCGTTGTTGAAGGCGAATTCCAACATTGCGAGGGAATCTTCCCATCGTGCGGGGTCGGGGCAGTTTGTCCGTATCAGCTGCTCCATCGTTTGGTTGGTGCGCTCTGTTTGTCCGTCCGTCTGTGGGTGGTATGCCGATGAGAACTGTAGCTTCGTGCCGTACTGCGCCCATGTCTCCTTCCAAAACTTGGATGTGAATTTCGGGTCCCGGTCGGTGATGATCGCCGAAGGGATGCCGTGTAGTCGCACGACCGTTGAGATGAAGAGGCGCGCAGTTTCTTCGGCTGTGATCGTCGTTCGGCATGGTGCGAAGTGCGCCATTTTCGTGAAGCGATCGACGACGACGAGAACAGCGTCGTTGCCGGACGGCCCAGCTGGCATCCCCGTGACGAAATCCATCGTCACCTGTTGCCACGGTCTTTCGGGTGGCTCGAGGGGTTGCAGCAGCCCAGCTGGTCGCTGACGTGTCGATTTCATGGCTTGGCACACCCTGCATGAGGACACATAACGCTGCACATCGTTAGAAGAATCGGGCCAGTAATATTGACGGTGCAGTAATTTCTGGGTTTTATCAACCCCGAAGTGTCCGGAGTAATTCGAATCGTGGACCTCCTGGATGAGGAGTTCACGCAGTAGCCGGTAAGCGGGGACCCAAATCCTGTCGGTGCCGGCTTTTAGGTAATAATCCCCCTTCTGCGTCGTGGCCTGCTGATGATTTCCTGTCGTGAAAAACGGGTCCGTAGTGTAGCCGTGGGTGAATAGTCCTGTAAGTAGCGGGTTCGAATGGGTTATCAGTACAGCAGCGGATTGTACGGTCGGTCTAGTCAGGGCGTCGGCGATGTTATTCGCCCCTTTCTTGTACGTGATGCGGTAGGTGAAGTGGCTCTCCATGTAATCCAGCCACCGAATTTGTCGCGGGTTAAGGTTCGGTTGAGCTCGCAGGTACTGTAGGGACTTGTGGTCCGTGCGCACAGTGACGTTGGCGCCCACCAGGTAGCATCGCCACAGTTTAAACGCGTGGATTATGGCGAGCATCTCCTTGTCGTGGATCGGGTAGTTGCGCTCGGCAGCTTGCAGCTTGCGTGATTCGTAGGCGATCGGCTGCAGCCCGTTCCCGAAATCCTGGAGAAGCACTGCTCCGATGGCGAAATCAGAGGCGTCGGTTACAACTTCGAACGGCTTCGATGGGTCGGCGATGCGCAGTACAGGAGGAGAAACGAGAAAATATTTGAGCTCCTGGAAAGCCGCCTCTGCCTCCTCCCCCCACACGAAATTCTTGTCCTTGTGCAGCAGGTCGGTCAGCGGGCCGGTTATCCCCGCCATATTCGGGATAAACCGCCTGACGTAATTCACGAACCCCAGAAAACTCTGAAGCTCCGTGACATTAGTCGGGGCCTTCCACTCCTGTATGGTTTTAATCTTCGCCGGGTCAATTTTAATGCCGTCGCGGGAGATGACGTGCCCTAAAAACTCCAACTCCTGCTTAAAAAACTCGCACTTAGAGCCCTTGGTGATGAGGCAGTTCTTCTGCAACCGTTTAAATACTGCGTCCAGGTCGCGGAGATGCTGCTCCCGTGTCTTGCTAAAAATCAGGATATCGTCCAAATAGACGATGACACATCGGTCTAGAAGATCGCGAAAAACCCTGTTCATGGTCAGTTGGAATGTCGAAGGCGCGTTCGTGAGGCCGAAAGGCATCACTGTAAATTCGTAACTCCCGTAGCGTGTACGAAACGCGGTCTTGTGACAGTCGTCGGCGAAGACCCGAATCTGGTGGTAACCGCCACGTAAGTCGATTTTCGAGAAGTAGCGAGCGCCGCGAAGTTGATCGAGAAGGTCGTCGGTGCGTGGGATTGGGTAGCGAGATTTGATGGTCACCCGGTTCAACGCGCGATAATCGATGCACATGCGAAGCCCGCCGTCCTTCTTTGGAGTGAACAGGATCGGTGCCGCGAACGGGGAGGTGCTCGGCCGAATGAAGCCTTTCTCCAACAGTGCAACAATTTGTCGGCGTAGCTCCTCGAGTTCCGGTTGGGTCAACCGCCACTGTGTCCGAACAGTAGGTTGCGCGCCAGGTTCCAGCTGGATTTTGTGGTCTTCGGGTCTCTCGGGTGGCAGTCCAGGTGGCAAATCGTCCGGAAAAATGTCGGGGTACTGTCGAATTAGCTCCGCTAAATCCGGAGGTACAGCTGCACACAGCTTCTCGATGTCTTTTCCGTCGGTGTCAACTGCCAACTCGCGCAAGCGGACGGCGAACAGCTGCGCACCCCTGTTGAAGTGGTGGGCGATGGTGATGGCTTTGACGCACGGGGCTTGGATGTAGTCAGGTGTCCATGCAGGCAACTTAATTAGCCCCTCGTGCTTGCTGACGCAGCACGATCCCGTTGTCCAGTCGATGACGGGGTTGTGTCGTCGCAGCCAATCACGTCCCAGCAGCACGTCGCAGCCGTCCAGCGTCGTCGCGAGAAACTTCATGCTGAAGCCGAAATCTTCGCCGCACTCGATCCGCACCGTCCGTGTTTCTTCCGTTATCGCCAGAGGCGTCCCATCCACGAGTCGTGCGTCGATTTCGGGTAGACACCTGTCAAGTTGCATGTTGCATTTTTTTGCGCTCGCCAAGTTGAAGAGGCTATGGCTGGCCCCTCCATCGACGAACATTTTCAGATGATGTTTCCCCACCTTGCCAGCGACCAGCACAGGGTGATCCACATGATTATCCCCGTTATTCGGCCGAGTGCGATCGATTGCATGAATCGGAACCACGACTCGGTGGGGATGGTGGTGTTCGGGCGACGGAGCATAGTCAGTAAAGGGCCCGTTACTTACTGACTCTTCCCATTTCCCTGCTCCTTCCTGTCGTCCCCTGTCAGCGGCATCTTCTCCTTGCATTCGTTCTTCCAGTGACCCACCTTCCCACACCGGAAACACTGACCCTTAGGAGGGCGTGTTAAGTTGTAATGTGTTATTTATATGTAGGTAGGCTGTAGTGGGGTAGCCAATACAGGGTACAAACCCAACTAGGGTTAGCTACTTGTACCCAACTGTTTCTTTCAATGCACCCATTCTTGCCTAGTTCTGTTAACATGGTATTCAGAGCAGGAGGTCCCTAGGACCTACCGACCGTTTTTTTTTAAGGGCCCACCACCGCTCGCATGCGGTTACCACGCTACCCCGTGCCCTAGCCTCGTAGCGCCCTCGTGCGCCCTCGTTAGCGCCCTCGTGCGCCCTCGTTAGCGCCCTCGCGCGCCCTCGTTAGCGCCCTCGCGCGCCCTCGTTAGCGCCCTCGTGCGCCTCTCGTTAGCGCCCTCGCGCGCCCTCGCTAGCGCCCTCGCGCCCCCTTGTTAGCGCCCTCGTGCGCCTCTCGTTAGCGCCCTCGCGCGCCCCTCGCAGCGTCGCCCGCCCGCCGAGCCGCCCGCTCGCAGCGTCGCCCGCCTACCGCGCTGCCCGTTTCGCAGCCCGCCCGCCGCGCTGCCCGCTCGCAGCGTCGCCCGCCCGCCCGCTGCCCGCTTGCAGCGTCGCCCGCCCGCCCGCTGCCCGCTTCGCAGCGTCGCCCGCCCGCCGCGCTGCCCGCTCGCAGCGTCGCCCGCCCGCCTCGCTGCCCGCTTGCAGCGTCGCCCGCCCGCCCGCTGCCCGCTTCGCAGCCCGCCCGCCGCGCTGCCCGCTCGCAGCGTCGCCCGCCCGCCTCGCTGCCCGCTTGCAGCGTCGCCCGCCCGCCCGCTGCCCGCTTGCAGCGTCGCCCGCCCGCCCGCTGCCCGCTTCGCAGCCCGCCCGCCGCGCTGCCCGCTCGCCGCGTCGCCCGCCCGCCCCGCTGCCCGCTTCGCAGCCCGCCCGCCGCACTTCCCGCCTGCAGCACCGCGCTGCCCGCTTCGCAGCCCGCCCCCCGCACTGCCCGCTCGCCGCGTCGCCCGCCCGCCGCGCTTCCCGCCGAGCTACCTACCTGCAGCGCTGCGGCAGCTTCCTTTGCTCAGTCGCACTGTCGCTATGGCTTCCATCCGCGTGCTGTCGTTCGATGCTGAGGGCCGCCCTGTGAAGTTCGCCACTTGGCTGGATGACCTGCAGCTGTTCCTTCTGAGCGATAGCAAGGAGCATGTGTCGCTCTATGATTACGCGTCTGGTGCTGCACCTGCCCCTCCTGCCACAGCTGAGCTTAGTGTTCGTTCCCACTGGCAGACTCGTGACGCAGCTGCTCGCCTAGCCATTCGCAGTCACCTGCCGCTAGCTGAGCTCGAGCATTTTGGCGACTGCAAATCCGCTAAGGCCCTGTACGATGCTGTCATTGCTCGCTACTCCTCGCCTGCCACAGCCGAGCTTAGCCGCCTCATGCTGCCGTACCTGTTCCCTGAGCTGTCCACCTTTGCTACAGTCGCCGATCTTATCACTCACCTTCGCACTAGTGATGCTCGCCTGCGTGCCGCCCTTCCCACCGAGTTCTGCGCTAAGAATCCCCCTCCACTGTACTGGACACTCCACTTCATAGTCACCCGTCTCCCTGACACCCTCAGCTCAGTTCGAGACCACTTCCTTGCTCGCTGTCCCACTGAGCTCACAGTCGCCCTCCTAGAGGAGCAGCTGCTAGCGGCCGAAAAGAGCATTGTCGCTGTCGGTGCTGCTCGTGGCGCTCCTCGCACCCCCATCTTTGAGGGGTGTTCTCCCTCTCCCCTCGCTCCCTCCTACGCTACTGCTGCTGCTGTTGACTTCCTTGGTGCTGAGTCTGCTGGCGCTGCTTCTGCTCCTGGTGGGAGGCGCCGCACCGGCAAGGGCAAGGGGGGCAAGGGTGGCGGGGGTGGCGCTGGGGGGGGAGGAGGTGGGGGAGGTGGGGGGGGAGGCGGTGCTGGAGGGAGCGGTGGCGGGAGCGCTGGTGGGAGTGGGGTCGGCGGTGGAGGCGGGGGCGGCGGAGGAAGCAGTGGCAGTAGTGGCGGCGGCGGCGGTGGCGGCGGTGGCGGTGGTGGCGGTGGTGGCGGTGGCGGTCGGAGCGGTGGTAGTGGTGGCGGCGGAGGTCGGAGTTGATAGAGGCACTAGCTCGGGCCAGAGCTCCCAGCAGCAGCAGCGTCCCCAGACGACCCAACAGCTTCGTGAGTGGCTTGCTCAGCGTGGGACGTCGGGGGGCAGTGGCCGCTGTTCCTATGTCATTCGCACAGGTGACCGCAAGGGACAGACGTGTGGGAGGTTCCACACCCCGTACCGCTGCTTCTCCCGCCTTGACGACGCTTGGCGTGAGGAGATGGGCGAGGATGTTGAGCGCCCCCGCTGGGCTGAGCTCATGAGGGCTGGTGTTGATATCTTTGCTCTTGACTATGATGCTATTATTGCTGCCATGTATGCATTGACTGTTAGTGCCGAGGGAGACTGTTACTTGTGTGTGCCGCCTGACCCAGGTATAGAGCCCGCTGCCCTGGGTACTAGTGAGTCTGCTCTCTCTGGTATGGTGCCCCCTGTACTTGCTCCCTCCAGTGCTGTCCCGGCTGTTTGCGAGTCTGCTCTCTCAGGTACAGCACCCACAGAGACTGCTCTCTCAGGTACCGCACCGGCTGAGGCCTGTCACACCTTCACCCTTGACTCAGGTGCTTCCCGCTGTTTCTTTCGTGACAGTACTGAGCTCACACCGCTTCCTGCACCGGTCCCAGTCTCCTTGGCTGACCCCTCTGGGGGCCCAGTCCTTGCCCAGTCCACCACTGTGCTCCCTTGTCCGGCGGTTCCGTCTGGCTCGTTGTCGGGTTTCCACCTCCCCTCGTTCTCGACGAACCTGGTGAGCAACGCTGTCATCCAGGATCAGTGGGTTGACACCTTTACCCCTGGAGGACAGCGTGTGGCGATCTGCACGTGCTCCAGGACCGGCCGTCACCTGGCTACGTTTACCCGTCGGCCGGGGTCGAGTCTCTACACACTGACCACTGCGTCTCCTCAGGTTGCTGCTGTCGGTCAGGTGTCCGCGTCAGGTCTGGTGGCCCACGCCTGTGAGTGTCGTTCCCTGTCGCACCAGACTCTTCTCTGGCACCACCGCCTGGGTCACCCCTCCTTGCCACGCCTCCGTGGCATGCACCGTCGCTGCCTTGTGTCTGGTCTTCCCAGGTCCCTCCCTCCCCTCCCTGCCTCGCCTGCGCCGCCTTGCCTTCCTTGCGTCGAGGGGCGGCAGCGCGCCGCTCCTCACTCCTCCTCGTTCCCCCCGACAGAGGCTCCTCTGCAGACCCTCCACCTGGACGTGTGGGGCCCAGCCCGCGTTCGTGGCCAGGGCGGTGAGCGGTACTTTTTGCTGGTTGTCGACGACTACTCGCGTTACACCACGGTCTTCCCCTTGCGCACCAAGGGTGAGGTCCCTGCTGTTCTGATCCCTTGGATCCGCACAGTTCGTCTCCAGCTCCGCCGCCGTTTCCGGACGGATCTTCCTGTCCTGCGTCTGCACTCTGACAGAGGTGGTGAGTTTTCCTCCGATCTCTTGAGGACCTTCTGTCAGGCGGAGGGCATCGAGCAGACCTTCACGCTTCCGGACTCCCCACAGCAGAATGGGGTTGCTGAGCGCCGCATTGGCCTGGTCATGGAGGTCGCTCGTACCTCCTTGGTCCACGCGGCGGCTCCCCATTTTTTGTGGCCGTTTGCTGTCCGGTACGCCGCGCATCAGCTCAACCTCTGGCCCCGTGTCTCCTTGCCGGAGACCTCGCCCACACTGCGTTGGACGGGGGAGGTTGGCGATGCGTCGCGCTTCCGGGTCTGGGGTGCTCGTGCCCTTGTCCGCGATACGTCCGCGGACAAGCTCTCCTCCCGCACGCTTCCCTGTGTCTTCCTTGGCTTTGTCCCTGACGCGCCGGGCTGGCAGTTTTACCACCCCACCTCGCGCCGGGTCTTCGCCTCTCAGGACGTCACCTTTGACGAGTCGGTCCCTTTTTACCGTCTCTTCCCCTACCGCACTGCCCCCCTCCCTCCCCCGCCGCTTTTCCTTGCTCCTGGTCCCCCTCCGGTAGACCCCCTTCCCCCTCAGGGTCCTGCTCCTTCAGGTGTCTCTCAGGTAGACCCTCCTCCCGTCGCTGAGCCTGTCGAGGTCACAGGTGACTCAGGTGCTGCTGCAGGTGGTGCTGCTGGGAGTGCTGAGCCTGGGGGTGCTGAGCCTGCGGGTGCTGGGCCTGGGAGTGCTGGGACTGCGGGTGCTGGAGCTGAGGGTACTGTGCCTGGGAGTTCGGCGCCTGGGGGTGCTGAGCCTGGGGGTGCTACGACTGGGGGTGCTGAGCCTGCGTGTACGGAGTCTGGGGGTGCCGAGCCTGGGGGTACTGCGCCTGAGGGTACTGAGCCTGGGGGTGCTGCTACTGAGCCTACGGAGCCTGGGGTTGCTGCGTCTGGGGGTGCTCTTCCTGGCGGTACTGGAGCTGCTGGAGCTGACGACGCTGGAGCTGACGGTTCTGGACACGGTGGTCCTGCTGGTTCTGGAGGTGCTGGCGAGGGGAGGTCTGACGCTGCTGGGGCCTCTGGTGCTGACGTCGCCGACTCGGGGGGTGCTGCGGCGGAGGGTGCTGGTCCAGGTGCTTCTGGTGCTCCGGGTGCTGGAGGTGCTGGCGGAGCTCCGCCGTCGCGCCTGTTCTTCGCTCCTCCGTCGCCGTCGGCTTTGCCGCCGCCTGACACGGTGCTTCGCCAGGTTCTTTCCCTCCCGTCTTCCACTGGCCTTCCCCTTCAGCCTGGCTCCCCCCTCCCTGCTCCTGTGCCTTATAAGGCGCAGCCGGACTCGCTTACGGAGCGTCGTGAGCCTGCGTCTCGTCCTGCCTCGCCGGTTCGCGCTGCTCGCACTGCTCGCACTGGTCCCACTAGCCGTCGTGTCGCGCGTCCGCGTCCTCCTCCTGTTCCTGGCACGCACATTATGGCACTTCGTCCTTCCACTGGTCCACAGCGTGTCCCCCTACCGTCTCCTCCTGCGTCTTCTCTTCCTGACGTTCCCGACCCTGAGTCTGACAGTGTTCGTGCTGCCCACCCTACTGTCACGCGTCTTCTCGCCACTGTTGTCACTGACCCGTCGTTTGAGTCTTCTGCTGCGTCTGCCCTGGTCGCTGAGCTTGTCGACTTTGCTGCTGCCTGTCGCCTCGACTACGCCGCCAGTCTTGTTGCTGAGTCTGAGTCTGTCTGTCCTCCGTCCGTCGGGGGTGAGTGTGCTCTTGGCACAGACGTCCTTGAGGACAGGCAGGAGGACTTTGACTCTCTCGCGGCTGCTGTACCTCATCTCGTGGCCTGGTTGCTTGCCCCTGAGGGAGACCCGGATGCACTAGACATCCCCACTCCGCGCACTTACGCAGAGGCGATCTCGGGTCCCTACTCCTCTCAGTGGCAGACAGCCATGGACGCAGAGATGGCATCCTGGAAGTCCACAGGCACCTACGTCGACGAGGTTCCCCCTCCTGGGGCGAACATCGTCGATGGCATGTGGATTTTCAGGGTGAAGCGGCCGCCAGGTTCTCCGCCTGTCTTCAAGGCTCGTTACGTTGCTAGAGGCTTCAGTCAGCGTCAGGGGGTCGACTTCTTCCAGACCTTCTCCCCCACCCCGAAGATGACCACTCTTCGGGTTCTGCTGCACGTTGCTGCTCAGCGTGACTACGAGCTTCACTCTCTTGACTTCAGCACAGCGTTCCTGCAGGGCAGCCTGCACGAGGAGATCTGGCTGCGCCGCCCACCTGGCTTTACTGGGTCGTTTCCTCCTGGTACCCAGTGGAGCCTCCGCCGGCCAGTCTACGGTCTCCGCCAGGCGCCTCGTGAGTGGTACGACACACTGAGGACTACACTTGCGGCTCTTGGGTTCGCGCCGTCTACTGCTGACCCGTCGCTGTTTCTGCGCACAGACACGTCGCTGCCGCCGTTCTACATTCTCGTGTACGTCGACGACTTGGTCTTTGCTACTGCTGACACTGAGGCACTCGCTCGTGTGAAGTCGGAGCTGCAGAAGAGACACACCTGCACTGACCTGGGTGAACTGCGTAGCTACCTTGGCTTGCAGATCACCCGGGACAGAGCTCGCCGCACCATCACCCTGACTCAGTCACACATGGTGCAGCAGGTCCTTCAGCGCTTCGGCTTCCAGTTCTCCTCACCACAGGCCACACCTCTGGCTACCAGCCACTCGCTCTCAGCTCCACCTTCGGACGAGTCCGTAGAGCCGAGTGGCCCGTACCCAGAGCTTGTAGGCTGCCTCATGTACCTGATGACTTGCACGCGACCTGACCTCGCGTACCCACTTAGCATCCTTGCTCGCTACGTTGCGCCTGGGAGACACAGGCGAGAGCACTGGGAGGCTGCTAAGAGGGTGCTGCGTTACTTGTGCAGTACATCAGGCATGGGGCTGGTGCTTGGAGGACGCGACAGAGTTGTCCTCACTGGTCACTCGGACGCTTCTTGGGTGGACGACCTGGCTACGCAGCGGTCGTCACAGGGTTACACCTTCAGCCTTGGCTCTGGTTCTGTCTCGTGGCAGTCCACCCGCTCTTCTTCTGTTCTCGGCTCTAGTTGTGAGGCTGAGATCTACGCCACAGCCATGGCTGCACAGGAGTTACGCTGGCTCACCTACCTGCTGACTGACTTGGGAGAGCGGCCTAGTTCTCCTCCAGTTCTGTACGGTGACAACAAGGCGGCTCTTGCCTTGTGTCAGGAGCACAGACTGGAGCACAGGACGAAGCACATTGCTCTTCGCTACTTTCTTGCTCGAGAGCTTCAGCAGCGCGGTCAGCTTCGGCTTGTGTACGTGGACTCGAAGGCCAACACTGCTGATATCTTCACCAAGGCGCTCCCGCCTAGTGATCATCAGCGGCACTGTACTTCTTTAGGCCTTGTGTCCACGTTTCCTCACTTGCTCACTGCTTGACATTCTTTGTACTGTACTTTATATTTGTCTTGCTGCTTGTCCTGTTCTATATCTAGCACTACATGTGAACTGGCCTTGTGGCCTTTGTTTGTGCTCGGAGTGTGGTGACGTTGTGATCCACCCTGGGCTTGTTTTTGCTTTGCTGGACTGGTCTTGTGACCCTTTGCTCTCCCCCACTTTGCCTATGGGGGTGTGTTAAGTTGTAATGTGTTATTTATATGTAGGTAGGCTGTAGTGGGGTAGCCAATACAGGGTACAAACCCAACTAGGGTTAGCTACTTGTACCCAACTGTTTCTTTCAATGCACCCATTCTTGCCTAGTTCTGTTAACAGGGCGGTCGGGTGTATGGACGGCGTTGATTGTGGCCCGATGGGTCTGGCCACGAAAACCTCTCCCATCCCTGGAAGCTGTTCTCGCGTACTGCATCAGCGCATCAGTAGACTCTGCCACGCGTACTGCTTCGAGAAACGATGTCGGGCGGCTGCGACGAACCTCAAACTGTATCTCGTATTTAAGGCCGCTCACGTATTTATCCAACCGCTCAGCTTCCGACATGTCATCGACCTGGTCGGCGAGGCCCATAAATGACGCCGTGTAGTCTTGGACAGATCCCATCTGCGACCATGCACGCAGCTTCATGCGAGCTTGCTCCGAGGCGGATACGTGCTCGAAGCGATCCCGTAAGGCTGCGCCCCACTCCTTCCATGTGCGTATCTTGGTCACACCGAAGATTGGTTCTGCAACTTGATTAACCACTGTAGAGGTCCCGTCTGCCGCATGTGTCACACCTGTCGGCGTCCCTGTTTCCAAGGTCCGGCGCCACCATTCAAGTGCTGCACCTCGAAGAAGCGAGACTGCGTAATTAATGCGCGTGGCATCGTCATTAACTCCGGCTGCAGTGAAGAAAACCTCAACCCCAAACAACCACCCTTTTACCGTAACCGCTTTATCCGTAGGATTGAACGGGGGCGGGTTGACGGGCTTGATTTTGATCGTCGTGACTGCAACTGGTGCTGCTGCCGCTCGCTGCCTATCTTCTTCTTCGAAGTCACGTGTGAGCTCGTCCAGAGGATTGCCCATCACTTGGCTGTTGCCCTCGCCTTCGTCCACAGGCGACGTCTGACGCGCTTCACCTCGCGTCCGGCGTAGCTCGGCGTTTTCCTCCTTCAGCGTTGTCACTTCCGCTTGCAGCGATTCCATACCCTTCGCCATTTCTGCCACTTGCGCCATCAGTCGGTTAACAGCCTCCTGATCCATGTGTCTAGCACTACGTCTGGTGGGCAGTTGGGTACCCGTGGCCACCCGGCAAGTGAAAACACGAACTATCGGAGTCGGGCAGGATTGAATTAACAACCTCTGCAGCCAACCGTCGTGTAGTCACTAAACCAACCACACCCTATGCCACCAAACTACCCTCGAAAAGCGGGGTGAACTAGGAAAGTAGCTCTGATACCAGGTGTTATGAGTTGTAAAAGAGAGTACGCAGGTAAACGAATAACGAGACTGTGACTGAATCAATTCAGAATACAATGAATGCACAGACTAATGTAGGGCTAGCCTAGCTAGGAGGAAACCTCGGGTGAGCGAGGTTGGGTGCAGGTTTGGCGATGGAAATGCCGAAGGCGACGCGAGGAGCTTCGGCAGCGTGGAAATCGCCCGAACGTGCGAACTCCGAAAATCGGGTTGTACGCGCAGTAGTCAACCCCGATAAGGAATTCGAGAAAATTCCTTACACATCTATACACATAAATGAGCATCTATCTATTTACAACCCTCACCTTTTTACATTTTTTTGATCCTAGCCTTATTGCGGGCAACAAGCGTTACCATGGAACAAGCGTCGCACGTCTCCGCAGATCGCGATTGCGACCGTCATTGCGGAGGGCTAGCTCTTCTGGACGAAGGCACTGGGGAATGCGCATCTAGCGCGGCCCTCCGAGACGACGGCACTGGGGAATGCGCATCTGGCACGGCCCTCCTAGACGACGACACCCTCTCTCTCGTCCTCTCCTTCCTCCCCTCGCGTTTCGCGATCTCCTCGGCCGCCTTTGTCTGCCGACGTTGGTGCCGCGTCGCGCTGCGCGGCGTGTGTGTGCGATCGCTCCGACCGTCGCCTTTTCTGCTCGACGACTTACTAACTCCAGAGGGATCGGAGAGCGTACTAGGCAGTAGTTTTGACTCGGAAACAGAGTTACTCAAGTTGACGACTCGGTTCGCCGCTACGCTTCGATCTCTGGAGATCCGTCCCGGCGCGAGAAACTTAATCGCCGATGACAACGATAAGCTGACGTCTCACGGCATTGTGCGAGTCCTTCGAACCGCCTCGAGAATCGAATCCCTATCTCTGGTCGGTTGCCTGGAGCTTGTCTGTCCAGTAGACGACTCGCTACCCATGAGAGAATCAGAGTTCGCCACGGTGGTGTTACCAGCCCTGCCACGTCAGCTCAAATCTCTAAATCTCTACCCTGCTGCGTACTTGCATCCGGTGGTGTTGTGGTCTAGTCGCGCGTGTGGTGATCAGGAGATAACAAGGCCGAGTCATGATCGCGTGTGGGGGCACGCGGTCGGCCTTCATTCTGAGCTTGCGGGATCGTCCAACATCCCCCTTCCGCCACCCCCTCCGCCACCTCCGCGTGCCCCTGCGCCCCCTCCTCCTCCCCCTCCTCCTCCTGCGTCTGCCTCTCCACCCTCTCCCCCTTCCCTCCCGCCTCCTCCCCCCCGCCTCCTCCCCCGCCTCCTCCTCCTCCTCCTCCTCCTTCCGCTCACCTTCCGCCACCCCCACCCCCTCCGCGTGCCCCTGCGCCACCTCCTCCTCCCCCTTGCGCCGTTCCTCCCCCACCTCCTTTCGTTCCTCCTCCTACTGCTTCTGTCCCTCCTCCCTCTCCTCCTTCCTTCCCGCCTCCTCCCCCGCCTCCTCCCCCACCTCTTTCCGTTCCTCCTACTGCTTCTGTCCCTCCTTCCTCTCCCCCTTCCCTCCCGCCCCCTCCTCCGTCTCCTCCGCCACCCCCTCCGCATGCCTCTGCCCCCTTCCTCCTCCCACTCGCACCGTTCCTCTCCCACCTCCTTCCGTTCCTCCTCCTCCTACTGCCTCTGTCCCTCCTCCCTCTCCGCCTCCACTCGCGCCTCCTCCCCCGCCTCCCTGCCCATCTCCTCCCCCGTCCCCCCGCCCACCTCGTCTCCCGCCCCCCCGCTTGCCTCGTCTCCCTCTTCCAGGGCCACCTCCTCCCCCGCCTCCCCCGCCTCCTCTTCCTCCACTTCCGCCTCTTCCTCCTCTTCCCGCTCCTCCCCCCTTCCATTACCGCCCGCTTCAGGGCTTCGTCCTTTCCGACCTGAGCCTAAGCTCCATCGCGGCCTCGCTCCCTAATCTCCGCGTTCTAAACCTCGACACACCTGCAGACTTCACAGCCACGTGTGTAGAGCACGTGGCCAGCACACTCCCACACCTCACGGCGCTCTCGCTCTGGTCCAACGCCATCACGTGGGAGACGGTGTCGCTCCTCCTCGCGCTGCTCCCGTCGCTGCAGAGCCTCTCCCTTGTATCCCGATCCTTGGATCCCCACGCCTTTGATCCCCGCGCCTATGATCCCCGCGCCTATGATCCCCGCGCCTATGATCCCCGAGCCTTTGATTCCCGAGCCTTTGATCCCCGCGCATTTTCCCAGCCGGGGCGTGCGGAGGCGGAGCGCCGACATGCCCCAGCGGGTGCAGCAACAGCGCCGGATACCCGCATGCAGGAGCGTGACGTTCGGACTCACGGCGGTCCCTTCTGGTGCCCAGCAGGCTCGTCCCTCGCGCCCTGCCTCTCCTCCATCCGCCTCTGCATCTTCCATCACCGCTCTGTCGCCTGGGATCTCTCTCCCGCCTCCTCCCTCCTTCTCGCCCTCAGCACCAGCAACAGCGGCAGCAGCAGCAGCAGCAGCAGTGGCAGCAGCAGTGGCAGCAGCAGCAGCAGCAGCAGTGGCAGCGGCAGCAGCAGCTGCAGCAGCAGCAGCAGCAGCGGCAATGGCGCCAGCCTGTCTGTCCCACGTCCGTCCTCCACCTCTCTACGCTCCTTCCATGCCCACAATTCCCCCATGTCCACGTGGCTAACTGTGAGCCGCCTGTTCTGCCACCTCACCACTCTAGACCTCTCCCGAAGCGAGTTGTCCCGGTGCCAGCCCGTCAGTTCAGCCGAGAGGGAGAGGAGCGAGGCATTGCTGTGCCAGGCCATACGCCGGCTCCCTCTCCTGGAGCGCCTCGCCCTCCCCTTGGTTTCAGATACTATTCTGCTTGAAATTTCGCAGTTCTGCCCGAACCTCACCGCCTTGCACGCCCAGCCTCTGGCTCGGTTCGTCCAAGTCGCCGGTGCTCCTGAGGAATCCCTTTACCAAGTCGCCTCCTCTTCCTACGCCAGGACATTCCTGCGTGTCGCACTCCCTCCCATCCAACCCGATGTTACCGATGCCGGGGTGGTGGCTCTCGCGAACGGATGCACGCGATTGGTGCAGCTGAGTCTGGGCGGCTGTGTGAACGTGGGGCCAGTGGGGCTGCGCCAGCTGGCGAGGAGATGCGGGCGGCTGGAGGTGCTGCGGCTGGCGCGCGCAGCGGTGGACGACGCTGCTGTCGTGGCCGCGCTGTTCGGCGACACCTGGCACGGTGGCTGTGTGGGTGGGGCAGTGAATGCTGCTGCTGTTCGTGCCGCTGCTGCCATTGCTGCCGCTGCCATTGCTGCCGCTGCCAGTGCTGCTGCTGCCCGTGCTGCCGCTGCCAGCGCTGCTGCTGCTAGTGCTGCCGCTGCCCGTGCTGCAGCTGCCACTGCTGCTGCTGCCCGTGTTGCCACTGCAAGTGCTGTTGCTGGCCGTGTTGCCGCTGCCAGTGCTGCTGCCGCTAGTGCTGTCGCTGACAGTGCTGCAGCTGCCAGTGCTGCTGCTGACAGTGCTGCCGCTGCCAGAGTTATTGTTGACAGTGCTGCTGTTGGCAGTGCTGCTGCTGCTGCCAATGCTGGTCCTAGCAGTGCGTTTGATGCGCCACTGCAGCTGCAGCTGCCACGGCTGGTTCTGCTGGACCTGAGTGGATGCCCTGGGGTGACTTCCACTCTCCTGCTCGCTCTCTTAGACGCAGCCAGGGAGCTTGCTGATAAGGGTGAGAGGTGCAGAAGTGATAGGGCAGCATCCGGGGTGGAGGCGGATGGGGAGTGTCAGGAGGAGGAGGCCGTTGCAGATGAGGGTGTGCCGCATGAGATGGGAAAGGAGAGGGAGAGAGGATACTATGGGCTGCATGATTTCAGGCTGAGGCGGTTGCTGGTGTCTCCTGCAGTGATTGTTGGGGATCAGTGGAGGGAGAGCAAAGGTGGAAGTGAGGGTGCGCTGAGGGATGGTGGAGAGAGTGGAGGGATGGGTTCTGACGATGTGGAATTAAGGCGTGCTGCAAGGGAGGTAAGGAAGTTGTTGCCACAGTTGGTGGTTACTGCTAGGAGGACCGCTGAACATGTTTTGCCATGGGATGGTTTTTTTGGTGAGAGGAACCTTGAGTTGGATAGCGACGAAGATAAGAGTTGGAATTTTCATATGCAAAGTAAATGTGCATAGTGAAATGTGTGTTGGGAAAAATAGTATGTACGTGTTTTAACATGGTTCAAACCTCCTTGCAATGATTGCTGATTGTTAATCACACTCCATATGGCCTGGTTGTGACTTCCCAACCTCCAGGTTCTAGATATGTGCTTTGAGTCTTATTTTAGTGATTTCTTTGGAGTGCATAATTTTTGCTGGCGGTGTTTTTGAATTCAGCCATGACGGTGCCTAACAGTGATCCAGCGACAACCAATGCCGACCTGGCAAGTCAGCGAAACCAGCCCCGAGCAGGAAGCTAGGAGAGGGTCAGGCGCGCGGCGGGACGGGGTGTTTGAACCGTACGTACATGTGAACGCTAGGACGCTTCAACTCTGGCTAATTTTGGCAAATCGATACTGCGCAGGAGATTATTTTTGCGGGGTTAAGAAACGTTCAGACACGTTTTGAATGCATCACGCGGGCTTCCAGTACGGTGGCGGATCGAAGAAGCACGATCCGTCGCCAAAAGTGGTCGGAGTTGACGCGTCCTCATTTGATACATACCTTCCTCGAAACCACTGAAACGTCACTGCTTGCCTGGCTGGGGCAACCCAGGCAGGTGCCATACTTCCAGCCCCAACCCTAATCCCAGCATACCGTGCAAAACCGAGCTGATTGTATCTTCAGCCCAGTTGATTCTCACGTTCCCGCCTTGGGCCTAGTGACCGCCGAACTGAACCGACGGGATGCACCAGACGCCATCGCTCCCAATTTCTACGTAATGAACTAGCTCGGATCCTTCCTTCCGCCTCCTGTGGGTGCATTTCCCCCGTACCGTAGGGAGTCTTTTGCAAGGTGGTAGTGAGGTATAAAGCTATTCGCTGTTATCGTTCTCTCCACGCTCATTTGTCTTCCACTTTCTGCCAATCGCAAAAACCGTTACTAATCAACTTCTTCCTTTCTTTCTAAGAATCCTTCTGACGCCGGATATGGCACTCCCGACCGCGGCAGGCGACGACGTTTGCGTGCGATCCCTTCGACCGTCGCCATTCTTGCTCGGCGACATCGCGAACGACCCTACTAGCGACTCCCTTACCACTATTGCCAGCTCAGATTCCAAGTCGCGCATGCTGGAGCTGGCGACGCGCTTCGCCGCTACTCTCCGCTCTCTCGAGATCCGCCCAGGCGCGGGTGGTAACGCGACTCGACCTGACGACGACAAGCTATCGGCCTACAGCATTGTGCAGATCCTTCAACGCGCGTCGGGAATCGAATCGCTCTCGCTGGTGAGCTGCGTCGAAGCGGTGCCTGATCGTCGCGCCGCGCCGCCCGGCTTCCTTCCCATGACCAAAACAGAGCTCGCCACGGTGGTGCTCCCGGCGCTGCCATGTCAGCTCAAATCCCTGAACCTGAGCTCGGACCATTTTCTGACCCCCTCGGCGTGCATGACGTGGGCGGAGGGGGGCGAGACCACGGCGGGAGGCGCAGGTCGCGTGTGGGGCAAAGACGACGGCCTTCAAGTCGCCGGCACGACTAATGTCCCCATTCCCCCGTCCAACGCGCCCCCTCTGCGCGTCCCTTCAACCACTCCCCCTCCTGCTGCCGCCGCCGCCGCTGCTGCTGCTGTCACTCCTCCCCCTCCGTCCAATCCTTCTCCTCCTCCTTCCCCAACCTCTTCTCTGCCCGCTCCCCCTCCCCTTCCGCCCGCCCCCTCCCGCGAGCCCATCTCCATCCACCCGCCGCGCGTGTGCCTCACAGACGTGCATCTGCTCACCATCGCCGCCTCCCTCCCCAACCTCACCTCGCTCAACCTCGACACGCGCGCCACCGTCAGCGTGGAGACCATAGGCCACCTGGCGGCCTCGCTGCCGCAACTCAAATCTTTCTCTCTCTGCTCAGATGCGGTTACCTGGGAGGTGGTGTCGCTGCTGCTCGCGCTCCTCCCCTCTCTGGAACACCTCTCCATCGTATCCCACGCCTTGGATAAACCAAGCAACCACCCCGCCGAGCCTCCTGCTTCGGCTGCCACAGCAGCCGATCCAGCTGCGGCCGAGGCTTTAGATTCTGAAACGGCTGCTCTCCTGTCATCGCTCTCCATTGCCACTCCCAAACCCGGCGACCTGTTCTACTGCCCACCAGGGTCGGCTCTGGCGCCCTGCCTCTCCTCCATCCGCCTCTACGTCTCCCCCCACCGCTCCGTTGCCTGGGACTCGCCCCCCGCCTCCTCCCTGCTGCTCGCCCTCGCTGCTCGTCCCTCCTCCACCTCTCTGCGCGCCTTCCACGCGCAGAACTCCCCCAGCTCCACGTGGCAGCTCGTGGGCCACCTGTTCCGCCAGCTCACCACTCTGGATCTCTCCCAAACCGAGCCACATCTCTCTTCATCCCACCTGAAGAGTGGCTCACCCGAGTGGAAGAGGAGCGAGGAGGTGCTCTGCCAGGCCATCCGGGGCCTCCCTCTCCTGGAGCGCCTAGGCCTTCCACTGGTGTCAGATGCCGTTCTGACAGCTGTTTCCGAGTCCTGCCCGAACCTCACCGCCTTGCATGCCCAGCCTCTGGCTCGCTTCATCGCTGTCGCCTCTGCTGCTGCTAGTCCTGCTAATGATTTCCTCCTCACCACCACCTCTTCCTATGCCAGGACCTGCCTGCGTGTCGCCCCCCCTCCTGTGCAATCTCATGTTACCGATGCCGGGGTGGTGGCGATCGCGAACGGATGCACGCGATTGGTGCAGCTGAGTCTGGGCGGCTTTGTGAACGTGGGGCCAGTGGGGCTGCGCCAGCTGGCGAGGAGATGCGGGCGGCTGGAGGTGCTGCGGCTGGCGCGCGCAGCGGTGGACGACGCTGCTGTCGTGGCAGCGCTGTTCGGCGACACCTGGCATGCTGACGCGACAGCTGGCGCTGGTTCCACTTCTTCGCTCCAGCTGCAGTTGCCCCGGCTCGTTCTGCTGGATCTTTTTGACTGCCCGGGTGTTTCCTCCAGCCTGCTGCTCTCTCTCTTGGCAGCGACCAGGGAGCTTGCTGGCAATGGTGAAGACGGGGAGGAGGTGAGGGCTGGGGGAGAGGGAACTCGTCCTGGACTGAAGGATTTCAGGCTGCGGAGGCTGCTGGTTTCTCATGGAGTTATTGCTGGCACGGAACGCAGGGAGGGATTGGAAGGTGAAAAGGAAGGAGAGGGAAGTGAAAGTGGTTCTGCTGGTGTGGATCTGAGGGTTGCAGCAAGGGAGGTTGGAATGCTGCTGCCTGAACTGGTGGTGACGTGCTGTAGGACGGCAGAGCATGTTTTGCCCTGGGATGGATTCTTTGGAGAGAGGAAGCTTGGTGTGGGTGATGCTGAGGATGATGCTGATGTGTAGTCCTTGCTTGGTTTGTATTTTTTGTTTATAATGTATGAGTTTTACATGACTAACATGCTGAGGTTCCTTCTGTGCCGAATCTATGGCGAAATCCGAGTCACCCTTCGCTTGCACGGGACTAACATCGTTAGCGACCAACTGGGTAACCAGTTGGAGCTGATTTGTTTGTTTTCCGCTCGGCTTGTTTCAACATCAGCCCTTCCACAACCGCTGATCACTAGGCAAGTCTACGCGGGACATGGTAGTGAGCGAAGAGGAGGGCCATCGTCGTGTTATTTCCTGTCAAAGGTGCTCGGTTGGGGCAGTTTGCCCTGATTAAAATCGACGTGTAGGTCCGCTCATGCGACAATGAAGGTGATCGGTCTGACGGGTGGTATAGCAAGCGGGAAGAGCACAGTGTGTCAGGAGCTCAAGTCGCGGTTCGGCTTTCCTGTAATCGACGCTGACAAGACGGCGCACGTATGTAATCTCCATCTCCATAAACACGGTCACGTAGAATGCATGTTGTTCGCTCAAGGGAACTGGATGTTTTTCTAGATTCCGTAATATGATGCATATATAGGGTTATCTCACTGCGCTGCAACGGCAAAATTACCCAGTATCACCGCATCCTTGTCCTCTGCGGACTTCTGACTCAGCAAGTCATGCCGCTGGTTGGTTGTAGCAGCGGGTCCTGCTCGTCTTGGTTAATGAAAGATGAAGCCTGCCTGCGATTGCGCTTCGCTTATGCTGACTGAACACTAAATCGCATCCCAAACGTTTTCTCTCCCCGTCCCCTCCTCTCTCCGCCCTTGTCCTCTCTCTCCCCCCTTCCAACCCCTCTTCCCATTTCCTCACCCACTCCCCCTCTTCCATCCTCAATTGCCACGTCTCAGGATGTGATGCGGAAGGGCACCCCAGCCCATTCGCAAGTGGTTAAGGAGTTTGGGCCTTCGGTGCTGACGTCAGAAGGGGAGATAGACCGCAACAAGCTGGGGGAGATAGTGTTTGTCGACGCCAACAAGAGGAGGAGACTGAACAGGTGAGGCCTGAAGTAGTGCTTCAAAGGGTACGGTAAGCGTGCAACCTTCACCCTCAAATCATGTTTTTGGTTTACCACTCTGCATTGCCAAATCAGGCTGTTATTGTTCTTCTTCAGCGTGCTTTCATCACTCTCACTGCATCTTTGTTTGTGCTGGGATCTAAGAATATGATTATAACTATGAAGACTTTGTTTCCATCCTTCACCCCATTTCTCCCTTCCAGCATTATGCACCCCCACATTGCCTACGCAATTGCTCGCCAGCTCTTCTCCCATTGGTGGGCCAATCACCCCCTGGTCATTCTAGATGCTCCTCTGCTCTACGAAACTGGTTTGAACCGGGCTACACGGGCAGTGATCGTTGTCTATTGTGAGACGGAGCAGCAGGTAGAGCGTTTAATGAAGCGCAACTCTCTGCAGGAAGATGATGCTCGGCGGAGAGTGGCCGCTCAAATGCCACTGGAGCTCAAAGTAAAGCGGGCAGATTATGTGATCGATAATACGGGCGAGTGGACCGATACGTTAGAAAATGTTTCAAGAGTTGTGAAGTCCATTAGAACCAACCACAGTAGTGTGGTTGATTGGCTGCTTGCGCCCAGGGGCGTAATCATTCTAGGTGTATTGTGTCCACTGGCAGTTGCTCTTTTTTTTTTGGGTTGCGAAGCAACCTATTACAATCGTTATGTACAATTTTTTTTTCATCCACGATATTGAGAAAGCTTGGTTTCTGTTCCTTGCAAGGCAACGTGCTTCATTTCAATGGGTTATTACAACATTCTCGTCCAACGATCAATGACGCATGATAGTACCGATGGGGGGGCGGGTGGGAAGTGGAACGGAAGTTCCGAAACGAAGACGTGGGTGGAGGCCTAATGGCCTCCAACCCTCGTTATGTACTCGGAATGAAGTTCAGCAGTTGCCTTGCTGCGTTATAGGCAGCTGCGCGTTCACAATATATATTTTTGGAAAGTGTATACACTTTCAAAAAATTCCATATTTATAGAAGATGAAGAAAAAATGTTATGGATAATATTGTAAGTGACGACTATATATTTGCCCTGGCAATTTAGCTTGTGTGCCATGGTACTATACATTCTTTGTAGTTCGCCCTGAATTTACTGTGGATGGATGCCTAAGGTGTATTGTGTGGATGAAATATTAACATGGTGTGGAAAAAGAATGTAACTGCGAACTCGTGGTGGCTGTTAATTTCGTAATGCATACGTAATATCTGTTATGCATTAATGAATCATGCATGCATGTACCAATATAATAATAGATACTAATGTAGCATGCGTAATGCATAAATAGCGTATAGTGCGGTATACTGCAGTGGTATGCCCATATTTACTTCTATATACCAATCCCTTGTATAATGAAATGAACGCACACGATACATGATGGAAATGCGTGATGTTGATTGACCCATACATTAGGCTACCGCATCCCCTGCCTAGCATGGGGGGGAAGTCAATAGCCTAATATATGAACCATCCAACCGTCACATGAAACAACACAATCTGTGAATCCTAAAAAAATGATCAATTCTATCAAATCCAGCTCGAGTGGACACACTCACTGAGAGCGCAAAGAGCCTTTTCGGAAATGATAGATCGATCATTTTTTTTTAAAACTCATAGATATGCATTGTTAATGCAATGCATATGAATGAATGTACACACGCACAGACACATACGCACTGTCGCACATACCGTATATGGACACACAAAACTCGGACACAAAGTTAAAAAAAAAAAAGAAAAAATCACAGACATGCATTGTTAATGCAATAATGGATGAATGCACACTCGGACAAGCAAACACATTCACAACAACCGAACGCATGAACAAAAAAAAAACGAGCCGGAAACCCAAGATTATACATAAAAGAGGCAAAACAAAGTAAAAAGGGCAATATGGTAAATTCTATAAGTGTCAACTACGATTTTCCAGATTGGACTCGCCTTCCTGATCAGCAAGACTCCTGAGAAAAAAAAAAAAAAAAATGAGAAAGGGATGGTAAGGTCAACATAACAGAAAACAAAGCACATCAAACAAAGCAGAAAACAAAAGCATAAAGCGGAAGTATAAAATGGAAGCAGAAAACGGAAGCAGAAAACCGAAGCAGCAAACCAAAGCAGTAAACATAATGAAGGAAGGCAGGAAGGAAGCTTGGAAAGTACGAGGGAAGGAAAGATGGAAGGACAGACGGAAGGAATGAGAGAGAGAGAGAGAGAGAGAGAGAGAGAGAGAGAGAGAGAGAGAGAGAGAGAGAGAGAGAGAGAGAGAGAGAGAGAGAGAGAGAGAGAGAGAGAGGGAACAAGATAGCGAGAGAGATAGAATGAGAACGAGAGAGAGGGAACGAGAGAACGAGAGAATTGGGACGAGAGAGAGAGAACGAGAGAGAGAGAACGAGAGAGAGAGAGAGAACGAGAGTGAGAGAACGAGGGAGGGAGAACGAGAGAAGGAGAACGAGTAAGAGAGAGAAAGAGAGAGAGAACGAGAGAGAGAGAACGAGAGAGAGAGAACGAGGGAGAACGAACGAGAGAATGAACGAGAAATAGAGAGTGAACGAACGAGAGAAGAAAGTAGCGTTCAAGTAAAACTTGCGTAAGGAGATACAAAGTGAGGCGGACAAAGGAGAGAAGTGGACGGACGAGGGGGAGGGGGACGAGCGAGAAAGTTGGACAAGGAGAGAGACGCCATACGAGAAAGAAAACCAATGAGATTATGAAAGATAACGAATAACCGACAGAAATATTAGGCCTTAAGCGACTTCGCGTCAAATAGGAGGTTATGACGGTTCTAGATCTAAGAACAACAAAAAGTGAAATATGCATACGACGAAAGGCTGAAACGATAAAGAACAAAAGAAATAGATGCTAGATATGCAGTAAGAGACGAAGATTAGGACCTAAGAAAGGCAAGGAAAAAAGGTGAAGTCTTTACAAACGGCCTCTACCCTTAACTTAAACAATCCGCATCCCTTCTAAATAACTAAGAGACGAGACTAGGAGATGTTAGTCTAGGTTTTAATATTCTAACTTAGTTCTACTAGAAAGCTTAAAAATTTTCTCACCTTAGATTGGTAGGTGGAGCGTGACTAGTGGGAGAATGTCTAAGAAACCTAGCGCAGCGAGAGGAGAGAGAAAGAAACCGTCAAAACCTAATTTGATTGGCGGGCTGTTTTTTTTATTCTGTAAACGCAAAGAGAAATGCTACCAACAGCGTCGTAGCGCTGTTGTTTTCAATTCGATTTGGATCAGAAAGGTTGCGGGTTCGAGTCCTGCAAGCCAACTATTGAGCTTTTGCAAACCTCTACCAGAAACACTAAAGTCATACTCGATACTAGAAGTTGCACAAACCTTTACAGATATAGTAAGAGAAAACGAAATTCAAACATTTACATTAATTGTTGCACAAAATGCATTTCTTCTGCGAAACGCTTCGCAACCCTAAGACGATTTCGTCGCCTCTTGTTTTTTTTTTTTTTTTTGATATCGTATACATTACAAGAATGTACAGACATCAGCAGTCGTAACTGACATTGGGAGGGGAGCACCACAATAGCTGGTATCGCAGATCCCCTCTAAAGCAGCTACGGTGGTTGATGTGTCATGCTGGGGTTAGCCCAGATTGAGCTGAAACTGATCTTCCACGTCAGCGGTGCACCGCTGCTGCAGATTCGTCGCATCACCGTCGCCTCATCGGCCGCCAGGTGTGCCCAGTCACCATCCAAAATCTGCCCCCTCTTCCGCGCTGTCACCTCGCGCGCCAAACAGTACACCCTTGCATGCGCCACGAAATTTATCACCGCTAGCCGAGCCACCCTCCCGGCCTGAAATGCCTCGTTCCTCCACGCCGCGTTACACCTCGCCAGCCACACTTGATGCAAAACAGTTGCAATCCACATCCCTTCCGGAAAACCTGTCTTCGTACTTCTTTGCATGAAGAGCAGATCTTCGAGATCCTGCCACGCTATCCCCGAGCTCATTGCCGCCAGCCCTCTTCTCAACAAATCCACCACCGGCTGCACTACAGGGCAACCAAGAAGGCAGTGGTCTGGGGTTTCTTCGCCCCGACAGTGCGGGCAGACCACCCCCATGAAGAATAACCTCGAGCCCACTTGCAGGTTTCTACAGTGGAGCCTGAGAAGGACTTCACGTGCCCGCCGTGGCGTGGCGAGGGAGTCCCTCTGTGTGATGACCCTGTCCCATTCGATTTCCCTCCTCTGCCCTTCCCACCTCCTTTGGTTCTCCTGCCTGCCAGCCGAGCTTGTCAGCACCTTCCTTATCCCTCTCAGAGAAAGCAACTCCCCTCCATCGCACGCTTCTGATAGCAGCAGCTTCGTACGCACATCACCCATGGCCCCCAGGAACACATCGCCCTTCGTGAACATCGGCGTCCCGCTTCGTAGGCCGAAGTCCACCCTGAGGTCCCCCGCGTAGGGCGCGAACCGTCTGCCGTCCTCTACGGTGCACAGCTTTCCCGCCACTTTGTCCCCTTTCGCCTCCTCGACCTGCCAGTAGGTAAAATCTCCGGCCGTGCCGTTGCGCGTCCGTAGCAGCTTCACCGTTGTCACGACTTCCTCGCTTTGCTAGCACCATCTCCCTCCAGTCCACAGGTGCCGCTTTGAAGTCTCTCAGCGCCCACTTCGCTTTATCCCTGCTCCCCAATTCCCTTGTCAGCTCCTCTAACCCTTTGAGCTTGCATGTTCCATCCCAGGAATTCTTGATCAGGTCCCCCATACGGATGCCCAGCAGTACCTCCGTTCCCTTCTGGTTCCCGAAGGGGCTTGCGCCTCTGAAAGGGATGTTCGATTGAAAGCCAGGTGCTCCTGCTCCACCTCCCAACGGTTTGTCGGCGTGCGCGGTCTACACAGTGGCGAATCCCAGAACTTCTCTACTAATTCTTTCCAGCGTGCGCTCCCCTTCTCCCAGTGGTCCCGCAACAACTTGTGAGCGAAGATGGTGTCGAGCCCCATGGGCATCTCAGCTGCCTTCTCCGCCAACCATCCCTTGACTGAGTTCGGCTTCAGCACCAGTCAGCAGACGTTCCGGATGGCGATGCTGTCTACCCTCAGCTCCGGGCATAACAACCCCAGCCCCCCTTCTTCCCGAGGCGTGCAGGCCAACTTATAGTTCCAGAAGATGAAGCGCCTTTCCTCCACCGCTTCTCCTTTCGAGACAAATGTGTGGCACAGTTTGTGGATTTTCTTCCAGATGGCCTCCGGCGGTAGGTAAACCTGTGCCTGGAAGAGGAAGATCGGCACGATGTAGCTGTTGATTATTGACACTCTTGCCGATGTGGTCAGATGTTTCATTTCCCACTTCGCTAATTCCCCCCTCGCTCTGTCCAACGCCTTGTTCCAGGATGGAGTCGGGTCGCCGTTCGGTGTGATCCAAATCCCCAGCAGACGCTCAGGATCATCTTTGTCTGCCCATTTGTTTTTTACACCGTGCGGCGTTGGCTTCCCCCGGTTCTTCCCCAGCGGGAAGACCACCGTTTTCCCTTCATTCACCTTCAACCCCGATTCCTCCCCGAAATCCGACAGCACCTTCGACGCCGTCTGGAGCTGCTCTGCCCCCTGCAGCAGGAGTGAGGTATCGTCAGCGTAGCCCAGGTACGCCAGCTTACCCACGCCCCTCTTACCGACCCCCAGCTTGTTCCGATTGATCTCTTGGCACAACGGCTCCACCGCACAGAGGAAAAGGTACGGCGCCAGCGGACACCCTTGACGCACACCTTTCTCCACCGCTACTTTTTCCCCCGTCCATCCGTTAATGTGCAAACACGTCCCTGCGTCCCTGTGTAGCCCCTCCGTCCAGGACACAAATTCCTCCGGTAACCCTAGCTTCCGTAACGTGCTGAAGAGGAAGTTGCGCGAGATCGAGTCAAACGCCTTCTGGAAGTCAATCATCAACAGAAACCAGTCCTCTTTTCCGTTTGCCCCCGCTTCTATGGCGTCTGCCACCACTGCCACCGCGTCCGCTAGCTGACGACCAGGTATGAAACCATACTGGTCCTCCGAGATGACCTCATGCAAAACTTTCTTGAGCCTGCTTGCCATCACCTTTGCCACGATTTTGTAAACAGTGCTTAGGAGCGTTATCGGCCGGTAGTTCCCAAGATCACCTTTATCACCCTTTTTGTGTAGCTGGATGGTCACCGCTGTTGTGATATTCTGCGGCAAATCCTCTCCCCTCGTAAATCTCCTCACCAGGTCCATCAGTATCGGCCCCAGCAAGTCCCAGTGGTAATCGAAAAGCTCCTTGGGCAGGCCGTCCGCTCCCGGCGACTTCCCCGGGGCGAGCTCGCGCACTGCCTTCCGCACCTCTTCCTCCGTCCAGGGGGCGCTTAGTGATCTCCTGCTTTCTTCACCCAGCCGACGCTGCATGGGACGGTCGACTGTGCCAGGTACTGCGCCACCGCCATGACAACCAAAAGCCTCGCGGTAGTGGTCTGTCGCTTCCGAGAGAACTTCCTTCACCCCTGTGAAAACGCTCCCATTCCTTGACACTTCTCGAATCGATGTCTTAGCCTTGCGAGTTTTGATCTGCGCCGACAGGATACCCGACGCCACCTCCCCGTCCAGCTCTGCTTCAACACCTGCCCATGCCTGCAGTTTTTCTTTGTGGCTTCTCTCATACGCCTCCAGCAGCTCTTCCTTCCTGAGCAGGATCCGACCCGTTCGCTGACAGTGCGGATAGCGCGTCACCCGAGCCCTGAGCCGCTCTACCTCGCTGGTAAGGTGTAGCCTAGTCGCCGTCTCCCTTTTCCTCTCCTCCCTTGAGTATGCCCTCAGACAGGCGGTCAACCTCTCCAGCAGCCTGTCAACTGGTACACCAGCAGACTCCTCGACAATCTTCTTGATTATCTTTCTGACACCCTGCCTTTTTGCTTGTTCCGCCCTCAACCTCCAGATGCCTGGTCCGTTTTTGACTGCGCCTGCAGATTCCAACACCACGCCTATTCCGCTCTAGTGATCCGTCATCCCGTTTGTGATCGCCACGTGCTTCGCGTCCACCAGTCTCCCCAGCAGCGGTTGTGATATTAGTGCCCTGTCAATCCTTGAGCTGGACCTTGTCGCCCTTGCGAAAAAAGTGTACTCCATTTTATCCGGATGCATGTGTCTGAAAGCATCCCTCAGATCCGTGTTTCCCCAGCAGTCCAGGAGCCTCTGATTCTCCGCCGCGGAGCCAGAGTGCGAGGTGCGGTCCAGATCCGGGTCCTCGACCACGTTAAGGTCTCCCATCACCAGAAAGTTCGGGAGCGCCGGCAGAGACTGCAGGAATGGTGTCAAGCTGTCTCTGTAAAAGCTGCTCCTGTTGACCGCCTGCGCTGGAATGTAAGCCGCCACCAGCAAGAACTCCAGCCTCCCCAGACGAACGACTACCGCCAGAAGCCTGCCAGACCTGTCCGTGAAACTGCCTGCAAGCACCAGCCCAGGTACGAAGCTCACTATCGCAACACCCCCCGCCGACTCCCCGGGATTTGGCCCACACACTGCAACCGCACTCGGATTGATTTGCGTCCAGAAATTGTGGTCCGCCTGTATCCTGGTGTCTGTGATTATTGCCACGTCTGTTTTCTCCCTCATCCATTTGCTGCACTTGTTTTGTTTCTCCACACCGCCGAGTCCATTAATGTTGAACTCGCAGAAAGTGACCGTGTGGGCCTTATCCATTAATCAACAACTGAGAAGCCCCCTCTCATCCACGGGCTGTAAGGTTACAGGAAACTACCAGACCAGGTGAGCCGCTGACAACAAAGACTACTGCTCCTCCTACACAACTGCTGATGCAACTGTCATCCGGACTGACTGGGACTATCACATCCAGCCGACACGTAGTGCTGACACTGGTGCATGCTACTTCGCAGGTTTCATGATGAACTCCTTCTTGAAGGCCTGCAACTTCTGGGAGAACACGCTTGCGCGCGTTGCCGAACCTTCCTTCCGCAACCCCCCCTTGTGACGGGCCGAAGCGATGTGAGCCGACGCCTGCTCGAAACGACTCCCCTGCGCTCGCAAGCTGACTGAACACAGACCCATTCCTCCCGCGCGCCTCCAGTGGAGGTGAGAATGATGGCGGGGTCTCGCATGATGCGCTTCAACAGGTCTGAGGCTTTCAGGGCCGCGGCTATGGGGAAGAGGAAGCAGATAGCTGTCAGTAAGAGGCGAGGAAAAAAGAGCGTGCAGGAAATCGAGCATCAGCAGCAGGTAAGACGATTCTCCGCTTATACCATTCATCTAGTGAACCTTTTTAACAGTCAGGTTCCAGTTGCTGAAAGTTTCCTGCCTCGGCGCAACGTAATGATCGTGGTAACGTGTCATGTGCTGGCCGCCGCAGAACCCGCAAACCAGCGACGGGAAGTGAAGCAGGTATCTCTTCCCCGTGGATGGGTCTTCCACGAAATATCTCCAGCGGTACTCGTCGTCAGCGTGAGGGATAAACAGGCCATGAATGCGATCTGTATCCAAGCTGGACACTGGATCCACCATCCGATGGAAGCCGAAGCCGCTGGCGAACGCGCTTTTCCCCAGTATGACCAGCTTCGACACCACCAGCAAGCGGCGAATCGGTTCCGCCGAAATATCCGCCGGTACGCCTTTAACAACGACTTCCTTCGCCGTGGGGTTCAACACACGCTCGCGCAAGAAACGAGCATCCTCCGGATGTTGCCAGGTGAGGTCAATGAAGTCGCCGTTAACGCACTCATGGCGGATGGTCTAACTCCAGACGAAATTTGCATCCCGCACTTGGTTAAAAGTGACTTGCAGCCGACCGAAGCGTTCGCCGGAGAAATACATTGGCGAGAGGTCTTGGTAAGTGGTGGTTAGAAGCACCTCAGACGATAACAACTCCTTCCATTCGTCCAGCAGGGCAGCAATAGTGACAGCAGCACGCTTAACTTCCACCTTCCTGGCGAATGGCACCAACAAGGTTAGTGAAAAGCGCTTCAGAGCAAGAATACTGTTAAGCGAGTCCGGCTCCAGGTGTTCATCAGATGCGTCGCTCAGGTAACCATCGTCCTCGTCGTCGAAGTCATCAGCCGGTTGCACATCAGCATCATCAGCCTCATTGTCGACCGCATTGGTCTCCACTTGCGCTTCACCGTCAGCAACCTTCTCTTCTTCGTCGGATGTCTCCTTAACCGAAGCACCATCCTGGTCGCCATCGATCGGCAGCTCAGGAAGAGCTTCGAAGGGACCGGTCACCGTCGCGGGGACAGGGCTTGATATCGGCTTCTCAGAGTCGGCGGACTCCTTCTCGGGCATATCAGGTACTTCCATGTCCGGAGCAATGTCAGTAGCCTTCTTGCCGCTCTTCCCGTTGCGTCCTTTCTTCATCGTGCGATGATGATACAGGCTATCCAGCCAGACTGAGGCTGAGAAATATAGCGATCTGAGCACAGACTGGAAATCATGCCATTGTTTGTACTTCTTATGTTTGAAAGCAAAGCGCTGCAGGTCCAAGCCGGTTGAAGCTGCTGACGACTTCGGGATGAGCGCGAGGCCTTGATAACTGGTGTTCTCGGTTGAACATGAACCTTGAGATGTGGTAGCATAGGGTTTGTTGGCAGCTGATGACGTAGCAAACCCGTGACCGCGATGTAATCCATGGACTAGCTCAGCAGCGCATTGATGTAGTCGAGATGATTCAGAACTTGAAGTTAGGTGTAGCAATGGCGTTAGCCTGGAACTCAAATATAAGGTGCTTAGGCTCCCGTAATGAGCACAAAGAAGACACCCTTCTGTAGAGCTTAAAGCCGCGAATCGCCTGAGCCCTTCAATGTTAGAATCCGACTCGAAATTCATACACATTCGCTGAGTTAAAGCTCTCCGCCATGGCCATGGCTCCATTGTCATTGTCATTGCAGTTGGCAGTTGCTGGCTTCACTATGTTGTGCTTTTCATGATGAGTTTTCATTCAGCATCATAATGTGTCGACTTAATCTTACCGTACTGATGCGTCCACTAGGGCGTCACGTTATGATAGTTAGTTCGTGTCAACACGAAACGCACGCTACACAAGATGCCCAACCCCTGCACGCAAAATTGCCTTGTACATTCCAGAAACCTTGCACTCGTGGTTTTTTTCCGAGCAGTTGCACCCACGTTACAAGCGCGTCAACCAATACGAACCACAGAAACTGAAGAGACCGAAGTCAAACAGTCAACGGTGAGTTACAAAATTTTGTTATAAGCCCTTTTTGCCCGACGCGAATTGACGAAACCTCCACGAAATGCAAGAATCACTTAAACGCCCCCTTCACAAGGCAACCTTGGGTTAGTCAAACGGGCATCGTGTGTACATCGTTTACACCTCGCTCCCTCGGCCGAATCCCTAGGTGAGCCATTTCTATTCTGAAGCATCAGACATGGCGTCTAGACGGGCATTTTTTCATGGCAGAGTAGCGATGTTGACTCACCGATAGGCGACTTATGCTTTGGTTGGATGGTCAGAAGAAGAATACGGAAGTTGTAGGAGTGGGATCACGTAAATGGTTTATCAGAATGCGCTTCTTGATGCGGTGCTCGTGCCAGCTGGTCTCCTGCTGCTTGCCTCGTACCACGCATGGCTGGTCACCCAAATAAAGCGCCGGCCCCTCGCCACTGTCCTTGGCGCTGCTCACGCCAACCGTCGCACTTGGGTGCAGTGCGTGATGAAGGCACGTACGGTCTTACCGACGTCCCAGATTCCTGCTTGAATTTTGCAGCGTTGGACTCGTGCAATATATGCTTACTAGAATCACGCGTAACAGTTTGTCGGTTGTATCATTTCTCTCAGGAAAGCAACGCCACCAATGGCATGCTGGCAGTGCAGTCGCTCCGGAACTCCATCATGGCATGCGTGTTACTGGCTTCCACTTCAGCTACGGGTGCAGTCGCAATCGCCACAATTCTCACCAGCATCCGTCTTGACAGCCTTCAAGAATCGTTATCTTCCATGACCGTTGGATCAGTCTCTTCTGACCTGCTGCTTCTGAAAGTCTTTTGTGTATTCCTTTGCTTCCTCTTCGCATTTCTATGCCACACTCAGGTGCGTTTTGAATAACCGTGTTTTTTTTTTTTTTTTGTGATTTGGAAGCGTGGCTTTTGAAGTTGTGGCTTCCCTTTTATTGTTGTTGGTGGTATTTACCATAACTTTCATGGTTTCCTCCCATCCATTTCCAGGCCATTCGATTCCTCAGCCATGTAAATTTCCTTATCACCATCCCCATTGATCCTGAGACTTCTCCTGGTCTCTCCATTTCTTATGTACAAAGGGTTCTTGCAATAGGAGACAACTTTTGCACAGTGGGCAACCGCTCATTCTACTTTCTCCTCCCTCTTGCACTATGGTTCTTTGGGCCTATCCCAATGTTTCTCTCAACCGTTATTATGATATTTGCACTAAGGATCTCGGATTTTTCTCGTGACTTTCTTGTCATCCTTACACCGGAGGCTCTGACATGACAGGAGTAGCCAGAAGCTTGTCTGGACTGTATGTCAGTGAGGTCATTGCTTTACTAATGCCTGTGCAGGCTGGGGTATTGAGTGCTCACTTGACCAACCATAGAATGGCAAGTCGTGTTGGAATGGAAGCTGGTTAGATCCACGGATGCCCGTTGTAGTTCTTTACTGACCTCACCAGATTATGGTAGCTTTGTATAACATGAAAGCAAAATCATGTGACTTCAGAGATACTGGGCTCGCAATTTGGACTTGTGGAGAGGTTTTGGAGTACGGTATGTTTTACCGTACATGGTCCATTCTTGTCAACTTCTCCAAAGGCCTAGGTCACTCAAAGAGGCGTACGTTCTGTTACCTGCAACCTATTCTCCTTCTGCCTTCCCTTTCTGGCTGCAGTTGCAAGCATCACATGCAGCGCGGCTGCCACTGCTTGCGTTGGGGTTGAGCTGGCCGACCTTCATTTCTCAGCAGCGGCAGTTATCCCCTCAGCTTCCCAGGAGAAGCAAGAGCAGCAGCAGCTAGACAAGCAAAAGCACGCAGAAAGGACAATTACGCCCTTGCTTTCTTTGCTGGCCCGCCACCCTCTCCTGCCGCTCCTTCCTCCGCGACACCGCGGCCATTTAGGATGCCGCTTGGCCATGCGCCAAAAGCAAACGAGCACAGTTCCTTCACGAATCGTCCCTATCTGCGGGGTAGTGTGATGCGTCGGTTGGAGCGATGCGGCGATTGCGTGGCAGCCGTGGTTTGACATCGGATATTTGCGATGCCGCCACGGAAGTATGGATGTCCCACGGACAAACGCGATAGTTCCGATCAGAATGGTTTCAGGTCCCGACACGAGGTCTGCCAGTTGCGGCGCGGAAACCTTGGGAGTGCCACATACACCTCGTCGGTACCGTCCCAACAGGGAGGGACAGCCTGGATGTCAATCTCCCGGTAGATGCTGCTGCTTGCGAGACGTACAGTAACAGCTGTCAGTACAGCGCAGTACTGTGCCGTTGCGTCGTTCTCGCAGTTACACGCAGCATCGCGTGCTCACTAGATACACGCAGCACCGTCATTGCATCCTAGATATTGCCAGACGATATCATTACCGCACGCAGCTCAGCGCTGGAGCAGCGCCAGCCTGGCGGCAGCGGCAACGGGAAAAACAACAGGCAACCGGCATTCCTGCTGATTGCGAGTCTTGACTCTTATTGCGGGAGGCTTGATTGAAAGTCCTGGGCCTTGAGTTCTGGCTGGAGTGAGAGTTTAGAGTTCAGCTGAGCGAAGGGCGCGCCTCGGGGGCAGGGAGTGCAAGCGAAAACTAAGCCTAATGCTTTCCGCGCTTCGCTTCGGAAGCAAGGCAAGATTCGTTTCGTCTTCCCCCGCCTCGCTAGTATATCGTCGACGATGGATGTGTCCGATTTAGCAGATTCCAGAATAGCAACAGTCTGTTGGGTGCTGTTTCTTCGCTCCAACTCATTAGATCCGAGTGAGTCTGCTTCCGAGTCAAGCTCCAGGGCCCATGGCGGCCTCCCAGGTGCTTCAAGCGTTGGTGAAGAGGCAGCAGAAGCGCGAAGAAGGCGCGATAGCCTCGATTGCCCACAAGGAGGAGGTGGAGGTGTGCGTTAAAAGCGAGATGCTGCTGGAAAGCAGGCGCGATTTTTTCAATGTTATTACCACAGATAGTGAGGGTGCCAGATTCCACGAGCAGTCGCACCCGAGCCGATTCGCGATGATTCCAAGTCTTGCAGCGCCGCCAGCGACCGACATCCAGCAGGTAGCTGGTCCTCACGGCCTTTATCACCTTCCTAGTTCTGAGAAGCACCAAGTTCTGTTGACAGCGGACCGGGGTCGAATCCTGCCGCTGAAGGGAACGGCCGTGGATGACGGAAATCGTTTGCAGTCTGTCAGAAGAGGAACGGAACTGCGACTCAGCCTCAGTCTCCCAGAACCAGAGCCAGATTCGTCGAGGCCAGTGCCAAGTTTGGAGTGCAACCGTCACCAGCAGCAGAGAAAGCGGCAAAGGCTCGTTTTTGAACAACCTCCAGTGGAGCCGTCCTCGCTCTGCGGCAGCAAAGATGACCGCTCTCTGCAGGATGTAACCGCTCCCTTGCCGGCCGCTGTCAGTCCTGCGGTGACGGCTCAAAAGGACATCGCGTCGCTCATGCTTGGTTGCCTTCACAGCGAGTCGCTAAACTCGACGCTGCTGCAGCAGTTCGGACATCAAGCGGCCGAGCCTCCGGTGCTTGGTATTTCCAATTCTTTTGCGCATTTCCAAGAACCATCGACTGTTCGCGAAGCGTGGCTCGTCGAGCAACTGCAGGAAGCGCAGGAGCGGGCAGAGAGCGGGAATCAGCGAGTGAAGCACCTTGAGCGACAGGTGGCGCTGATGCTGCGCGAGATGGGGGACGCGCAGCGCCTGGTGGCGGGGCTGTCGCGCAAAAACGCGGAGCTGCAGGGGGAGATGGCGCAGCTGATGCTGGCACACATGGTTGTGGGGCTGGCGGAGGCAGGAGCAGGGGGATTGGAGCTAGGGAACGGGAGGGAGGGAGGGGGAGAAGCAGGCGGGATGGAAGAAGGGAGAGGTGACAGCGAGGAGGTGATTCAGCCATCCAGTCGGCAGACGTAACGTGGTATCTTATCGTGCCTCTAATGCCTGGCTTCTAGCAACGCAGTCTAGGAACCTGGGGCTTCAGGCCAATCCTCATCAGCTTTCTGTGTACATACCGTAATCAACAAGTTCAGTTCGTTCTTTTGTGAACGGAGGAGAGGGTTCATCCTTCTGAGTAGTTATGGGGGGTGGAGTCTACAAGTTGCGTACAGATGGACAAGTGGCAGGTCCAAGTGTATGTACAGAACTATAAGCGTAGGCGTGGCCTACAAACAACTGAACCACTGCAAGAACTCTCTGAAAGATCGAGTGGTCTTCACTCGCTCATGCCCTGCTTCCGAGACCATATTTACAAGCACACCTTACCCAGCACAGCCGTGACCTTGTATATATACACGGCACATGGCATGCAGATGCCATATAGTACATGCCATGCATCATCACACTCACATACCTATACACAAGGAGCATAAGCTCTATGTACACACGACAGCCCCAGGCAACAGAAAGGCATATAGCAGTCATTGTTCCCTCATTCCAAAACCGCCCCTCCATGCCCTCCGTTTAAAGTACCATGCTTGAACCTTCTCAATTGCTGAAGGCCAGCCCTCAGAATTACACCCCTGTATGACTGACTACCGCCGTCTCATTAAGGTGTATTTTGAGGCGCCTCAAAATACACTGCTTGAGCCTCTCCAACTGCTGAAGGCCAGCCATCAAACCACACCCTTGTATGACTGCTGCCGTCTCATCACACCACACGCACCTCTTCACGCTACCCCCACCCCATCCAACCACCGCCACCTCCCTACCCCTCTCCAGTCTTGCCTATGCGCCCTCTGATCGCATCAAAGTACAACTGAGCCCTGCCCGGCTGCCACTGCCCCGCCCTCAGACTCTCATTCTTACCCCCAGAACACCACCGCCAATACTCTACCCCCCTCCAGTCTTGCCTATGCGCCCTCTAATCCCATCAAAGTACACCTGTGCCCTCTCTGGCTGCCACTGCCCAGCCCTCCCTCGGAATAGAACCCTTACAGGCGAGATACCTCATCCTACCACTGCCAATTCATCACAACAATACCACGCCTCTACCCCCCTCCAGCCTTGCCCAGTCGCCCTCTAAGCCCATCAAAGTACGCCTGTGCCCTGCCCGGCTGCCACTGCCCAGCCCTCAGCGCCACATGCCCATCGGGCCTCACCAGGTAGAACGGACATGCATCCCCATGGTACCTCTCGTATGCATACCCATGCGCATCCACACACACGCTCACATGCCCCCATGGATCACACACACCGCTGCTGCTGCCGCCGCTGCCGCTGCCGCTGCCGCTGCCACTGCCACTGCAGCTGGCACTGCTGCCGCTGCTGCTGCTGATGTTAACGTTGATGTTTACGCCACCAATCAGCTCACGGCAAGCCTGCACTATCCCCTCAGCTGGCGCCCGAGCCTCCAAAACGCAATGCACGGAAACTGGAATCTTCCAAGCTGCTTCCTCGCCCTCCGTCCCTCTTCTCCCCCCCACCGCTGCTGCCAGTGCCTCATCTTTGAAAAGCCTGAGCTGGCGCAGCAGGGATGGCTTTAAGCCGGTGCCGGCAAAGAGCAGCAGGTGGTGGGCGGGTGTGCCTCCGTCAGGGCTGCAGGAGGAGAGCAGATGCAGCACGGAGCACGGCTGCCAGCCCCCTCCTCCCATGTGCTGCGATGCTTTCTGCAGTTGCACTGCCCTTTGCAGCTGCTCTGCTTTCTGCTGCTGCTGCAGGGCCTGCTGCTGCGATCGAAGCTGTTGCTGCTGCTGCTGTTGCTGCTGTTGGTGTGTCACTGTCATGGCTTCTACTCTCCTGCTGCTGCTGCCGCCACCACTGGACTGAGGGGGAGACTGTGATGCCGCAGTGCGACTGTAACGAGGGGGACTATAGGGAGAAGCAGCGTGTGGCACTGAAGTGTGAGTGTAGTGAGAGGGAGGCAGCAGCAGCAGCAGCATGGCGTCTGGTGCACGTGCCCCCGGCGCTGCTGCTGCTGCCGCTGCTGGCGCCAAGACAGCAGCCACAGGCGGCGGGAGGAGGCGGAGGGGAGCAGAGAGAGGCGAGGAGAGGAGGGAGGAGAGAGTGGAGGGGAGATCGTGTAGGAAGAGAGAGGAGGGAGGGTATTGCAGGGACAGCTGCGCTACAGTGGCTGCTGCTGCGACCCTGAGGGACTGTGAGCGAGAGAGGAGGAAGAAAGCGGCTGAGCGGGAGAGTGATGTGAGTAGGGTCGGGAGGAACATAGACCGAGTTCCCACATCCGTGGCTTTAAGAACCTGTGCAACTGCCGCCCTTCGCTCCGTGTCGTATGTATTTAATAGCTCCCACCCTGCGATGCCTCTTCCCACCAGAGCGACCTTCCATGCTGCGTTATAAGCATCCTGCACTCCTGTGTTAAGCCCCTGGCCGCCTACAGGGCTGTGAATGTGCGCTGCATCGCCCAGGAATAAAACGCGGGAATGGAAGAAGCGGTTCAGGGAGCGCAGGTGCATGCTGAAAACGCTGCACCAATGGATGCTGTCCACGTGGGCGCCACATGGCGCGATGGCGTTGAGCATGGCTGACACGTGCTGAGGTGATGCTGGCTGCTGAGGTGTCTGAGATGTCAACTCTGGCTGCTGAGGTGTCACTGGGGAAGGGGACGGTGCTGTATCAGTGCTGCCACCACAAGAACCATCAGCGGCAAGACTAGAAGCAGAGGCAGCAGAAGGGGGAGTGGAAGGAAGCGGGGCGGAAGGGATGGAGGCCGGGCCATGATGGGCGGTCTCAGATACCAGTGCTGGGGATGAGACTCCTGCTGTCGATAGCGTTGATGATGCATTTGCTGCTGCGAATGGGGTGTCTGATGCTGATGGAGGGACCTCTGTGGTTTCACATACATCTGCTGAGGATGAGGACGAAATCCCTGCTGGGATCTCCACATACGGAATTTCACTCTTGTCATTGTCACCTCCTCTCCCTGTCCTCTCCCCAAGCCTCCGTTCCCCCACTTCCCCTGCTGCTGCCCCACCTCCCTCCGCTGCCTTCCCCTTGCCTAGCCTGCGGGCCTCGATTTGTTCAATCAGCCCCGCGGGAGCAAACACCCTGGCCGTCCCTTCATCAAAGATCAACCGCCACAAGCCATCCACCCCAAACGGCAGAGCCACTAAAACACCTCCCCCTCCCCCTCCCCCCCCTCTCCCCCCTCTTCCCCCCACACCAGGTGCCACCACTTGTTTACCTCGAGTGAACACGTGGCCCTTGTTCCTCGGGAATGGCCAATGGGAGAGAGCCACGTCAGCAAGGAGAGCGTGCATGGGGTATTGCAACCCGTCAAAGGAGAGTCCCAGCTGGCGGCGGCACGTGCTGTGCGGCCCGTCACATGCACACACCAGGTCAAATGTCGCCGCCTCCACCTCCCCCGACCCCACCTCACCCCCCTCCACCGATCTCCACCCCTCTCTCTCCATCTCACGCCCTGCCCCTCTCGTTGCCCTGGTTGCAGTCCCTGAGCCTGTCTCTGCTGCAGTGGCTGTGGTGTGGGATGGTGTGGCAGGGGTGCGGGGTTGCCTTGTGCGTGCATGCGCATGCTGAAGCTCCACGTGCACTGCACTCGGGTCCTGTGAGTGGATAAGATCGGGGGGGTTTACAGCGTTGAAAGCTTTGACCAAATATCAGGCCAACTTAAAGAATATCATTGCTACAGTGTGTATTCCGTTCAACGAATGTGTCATGTTTATTGACGACGAAGCCACGGGGCAGGAGCCAAGAAATAGGAGCCACCCTTTTACCAGAGCGCACCTGACGGATTCTGACAAGCTCCGTCTGCCACTCCACATCCGTCCCGTACACGTCCTTGAGGCACCGCGCCAGAATCCGTTCCGTGTCGCTCTGCGGCACCATCAGCACAAACGGGAACCGCGTCGCCCACACGCTCGGCCTCGAATCGCCCACACAATCAGCGGATTGCTCCTCGCGGCGCGCCAGGCCGTGGTCCCTGCCGTGCCGTCCGCCGTCATCTCCGGCGGGGCAGCCGTTTAACTCGGAGAGAGAGAGCGACGCTGCCAGGTGTCCGTCTGTTCGAACCTCGATCCCCTGGCGGATATGTAGACATCGGACAGGGGCATCAGAGAGGAACATCAAAGCGGGACATTGGACAGGTGGGAGGAAAAAAACAACTGCTGATCGAACCAACCTTGGAACACGAAAACAGGAATTAGGGTTACAGTTTGTCACTAAATCGTACGAAACGGTGATTCGCACCTGTCTCATTAGGGTTACTTTTCCCGCGGGAATTTGGCCCTCACCTCCACTATGGTTCCAGCGGAGATTAAAGCGTCCACGACGCCGTCATGCGCGGATAAGATCTCGAGCGTGCGCGCGTGCAGCGCCAGCGCCTTAGAGTGCTCCGACGGCGCGCGATTCCGCTCGACGACGCGGACGTGCAGCCCGTGTCGCCGCAACTCGCACGCCGCGACGAGACCCACCGGGCCTGCTCCCACCACCAGCAGACTCGGCGGCTCCAGCGACGAGGTCGGTGCTGATGGGTTCTGCGCCATGCGGTGGGATTTAGCGTGAAGGGACTAACACTACCCTCAAACAAGCCTGAAAAAGAAGAAATGATAGCCCAGGCTGGAAGAATCAAGTCTAGCTGTATATTACGGGCGAAGAAATTCCGCCAAAACAACCCTGGGAGAGAAGATCGGGCTAAGGTACGAATGACCCCCCCAAATGCTTCAAGCCACTAAAAAGACTGGATTGAGACCCAGAATAGCTTTTGTTCAGGATTCAGGATTCTGACGGAGGAAGGAAAGGAGGCTGTGCCGTGTGCTTGTGGTTGGATTGGAGCGACGAATTCGAGGGGGCAATTTGCCTTGGGATCTCATCGCGTCGCGATTTCCTTCCCACCAATCAAGGGCGAATTATGTCGACGTCTGCAAGAATTCCCCCACATCAAGGTCAAACCTGGGTGTGATGGTAGTGACAGCTGGAGAAGACGTAAAAGTGGTCCAAACAGGCATGCGGAAGCCTACCATCTCAGAATCGCTGTAAGAGCTCTCAGTTACAGGTTAAAGGTCTAACTTCACGGCGTATGGGAAACAAGCTGTTTAGAATAACCAAGAGAATAATTTGTTCAAAAGGATCGAAACATATCCAGATCGGTGTGTCGTTGTGTCCCCCCTCCTGCTTCCGTGCTATTGGTAGGCAGCGTTGTTGCACGGCCTTGGGATTGGATGCGAAAGCCAACGTTCACTGCTGTCCATCCCCTGCATTGCAAGAGCAACAGTGTTCGCCGTTATTCTTTGTAAGCGGTTATCGTGCTTCACCAATTGACATCGTGACGCAGCGAAATAGACCGCACAGAACGACGACGTAGGCTCTCAACCTGTGAGAAATAAATTGATGAATGCTGGAAAGCTGATTAGTCTGTAGGTAGGTGTATGAAATTCGATCTCCTCTAGCGCCGCGCTCCTTATGCCCAGTTTTTTGGGGCTAACGTTGTTGGTCGCCGTTTCAAGAAGGCAGTAAAGCAGTGAACAGATTGATCAGCATTTGTGATTTCAAAATGGCTGACGGGTAGTGCTGACCGGCTGCGGTGACCATCCAGAATCTTCTGTCCATTCTAAAAATCTCTATCTTAAGAGAAAGTGTAGGATAGCAGTCTGGGGCTGATTGTCACTGTCGAATCGCGCATTCCCACCTTGAACACCGTTGGATCCCGCGCTCTGTGCGTGCACGTTCACTATGTGTCGTCCGAATCCAAAAAGGAATCATAGTGTACTGGAGCTCAGCGGCCTCTCAGGAATTTCCAAGAGTGACTTGTGGCTTGCGCTCGTCGTCTTCCTCCTGGCCTGCGCCGCTCGTGGTGCATGTGGTGATGATGCCAACGGACCTGCCATCATGCATGGTAGCAACGGCAGCAGCCGGAGTCATGTCATCCTGCACAGCAACGGCAGCACCAGTGATGTCATCAAGCACGGCAACGTCAGCAACGGCAGCCGGAGTCGCATCGTCATGCGTGGCCACGGCAGCAGGGGGCATCGGAGGCAGCTGCAGCTGGTGGGGCAGGTGAAGGCGTTCGAAGCCGAGCTGCAATACTACGTGCCTGTGCCCATTAAGTAAGCAGTCATGCTACCCATCAGGTGTGCTATCAATGCATGTGTGTTTTTGAGTCGACTCACAACACAGCTGGTGGGGCAGGTGAAGGCGTTCGAAGCCGAGCTGCAATACTACGTGCCTGTCCCCATCAGGTGTGCTCATTTCTCCTCCTGCTCCGCTCGCCCGGAGTTCACCGCGAGAGGGTTCACCTGCTAATTGAGCCTCTACGCTTCGTCCTCAGCTCGTCCAACCAGAAGCGAGTGCTGCTGCACTACCCCCCCCCCCCCCCCCCCCCCCCCCCTCCCTCATCCTGTTCCGCTTGCTCGCCGCAGGACCCACCACGAGAGAGCCAGCCGCAGGACTGTAACAGGACGGAATTCACCATGCGAGATGCATGGGAATTCCTGAACAGGTTGTGCCTAGCTAGCTACGAACTGTACCACTTGCTAGCCTAAAACGTACTCCCGTATCCCTGTCAGGAAGAATAGTACAGCAAGGCATGGCATCGAGGCGCTATGCCAAGATGCCATGCGAGAAGCTTGGCGACGCGGGTTTCCCTTCCGAGTCGCGCTTATTCTCCCTAGAATAAATATCTCTTCCTAGATCTTGTTGTATCATCTTCAGATATTCTTTTCTAATCCAAGATTCTTCCCTCAAATTCTCTCGACTACTTCTCTTGAAGCTAGGCTTCTCTCTCCAGCCTAGCTTCCTTCCGTAGCCTTGTTTCAAGGACTCAACTCGTCCAACCAACAGCGAGTCATGCTGCACTACCTGGAGGCTAGAGCACCACCCCTTCATCCCCTCCCCTTCTCGTCCTCCCCATCACCCCTCCTGTTCCTCGCATGCCAGGACTCACCACGAGAGGGCTAACCTCCTTGTAGAGCCTCTGGGCTTCACGTTCAACTCGTCGAACCAACCAGCAGCGAGTGCTGCTTTGCTGCACTATTTGGAGCGTTTTGAGACGTCTCGAAACACTTCTTTCTTCGCGAGTGCTGCTTTGCTGCACTATTTGGAGCGTTTTGAGACGTCTCGAAACACTTCTTTCTTCGCGAGTGCTGCTTTGCTGCACTATTTGGAGCGTTTTGAGACGTCTCGAAACACTTCTTTCTTCGCGAGTGCTGCTTTGCTGCACTATTTGGAGCGTTTTGAGACGTCTCGAAACACTTCTTTCTTCGCGAGTGCTGCTTTGCTGCACTATTTGGAGCGTTTTGAGACGTCTCGAAACACTTCTTTCTTCGCGAGTGCTGCTTTGCTGCACTATTTGGAGCGTTTTGAGACGTCTCGAAACACTTCTTTCTTCGCGAGTGCTGCTTTGCTGCACTATTTGGAGCGTTTTGAGACGTCTCGAAACACTTCTTTCTTCGCGAGTGCTGCTTTGCTGCACTATTTGGAGAGTTTTGAGACGTCTCGAAACACTTCTTTCTTCGCGAGTGCTGCTTTGCTGCACTATTTGGAGCGTTTTGAGACGTCTCGAAACACTTCTTTCTTCGCGAGTGCTGCTTCGCTGCACTACCTGGAGCACCACCCGTTCTGCCCTCGCTCTTCCTCCCAATCTCTCAGCCTCTCACTCTGTTTCGCTTGCTCACTCACTGCAGGACGCACCACGAGAGGGCTAATCTTTTCGTTGAGCCGCTAGGCTTCGCGTTCAACTCGTCCAATCAGCAACGCGTGCTGCTGCATTACCTCGAGCACGACCCCAAGTGGGGCATTGTCGCCCAATGCCGCGGCGACACCTGTCCCTCCATGGCCTCCTGCGGTCCCCGCTTCCCGAACCTCCAGGCCTGCTGGATCCCGAACCTAGTCGAGCGGGAAGTATATTGGCCTGAACCGCCAGTGAACTGCCCCAAGAAAATCGAAAGGCCATTGGAGGAGGGGGCAGGAAGAGGAGGGGGAGGGGCAGGGGAAGGGGGCGGGGAAGGGGGCGGGGAAGGGGAAGGAAGACAAAGGAGACGATTAGGAAGTGGAGGAGAGAGAGAAGGAGAAGAAGACAGAGGAGAGGGGTGGACATCGAAGCACGTGTATGATGGGTACGATGAGTCGTGCTCGCACAAGCAGGACTTCAGCCCGCACAACCCGAGTGCGCTGCAGCTGATGCAGCTGAGGGACGTGTATGTGACGGCCAAGGGGGCTGTGTTCAACCGCACTCACAGCTTCGTGCGCCCGGGATGCGGCCGCTTTAATGAGGTGCGTGGTGAGTAAGGCAAAGAGATCGGGATGCCTTTATTTGGGTGTGTATGTGACGGCCAAGAGGCTGTGTTCAACCGCACCCACGGCTTCGTGCGGCCAGGCTGCGGCTTCTTCAATGAGGTGCGTGCGAGAAGGGGAGGTAGGGATCAGGGAATAAGGACAGGTGGTGAGACTCCCCGAGTGCCCCTCAGCTGATGCAGCTGCATGACGTGTATGTGACGGCCAAGGGGACTGAATTCAACCGCACTCACTGCTTTGTGCGCCCGGGCTGCAGCCGCGTTAATGAGGTGTGCTGGGAGCAAGGGAGGAAGGGATGGAAACGGCCAGGGGTAGGTGGATGGATGGCAGGGATGCAAACCGGTTCAGGGAGGTGTGGATGTGTCGGCCAAGGGGTTTGTATTCAGCCGCACCCGTGGCTTCGTGTGCTCGGAATTTGGCCGGCTCAGAGGGGTGCGTTGGGAGGAAGAGGGGCAGGGATGAGGGAGTAAGGACCAATGGTGGTGGTGATAGAGATAATGGAAGCGGCCGGGGAAGGCTGTACACGTGTCCTCCGCTCCTTCGGAGCCGGAGGACACTCCCCGGCCGGTAAAGGCTGCACACGTGTCCTCCGAAGAAGGTGAGGCTCCTCAAAATGCTTCCTCGCCCACTCCTCCCAACAGGTTGTCTACCCACTAGAGCAGCAGGTGCACGTGCTGCCGGCCGCGTTCAGCTGGGCCTACTCGCAGGGATTCAACTTCTCCACTTCATTGTCGAAACCATGCCGCTGCTGCCCCCCTTCCCCCCACCACCACCATTTCCCCCTCACGAGCAGGTTGTCTACCCACCAGAGCAACAAGTGCATGTGCTGCCAGCAGCGTTCAGCTGGGCGTACTCGCAGGGCAACAACTTCTACCACTTCATTGTCGAGACCATGCCGCTCTTTACCGCTTCCTCCTCTGTACCCCCCTAGCAGGTTGTCTACCCACCAGATCAGCAGGTGCACGTGCTGCCTGCAGCATTCAGATGGGCCTTCTTCCAGGGATTCAACTTATACCACTTCATTGTCGAGACCATGCCTCTCTTCCTTTACCTTTACCTACTCCCTTCGACCCACCCACCCGATACCTTTCCCCCCCCAACAGGTTACCTACCCACCAGAGCAGCAGGTGCACGTGCTGCCGGCCGCGTTCAGCTGGGCCTACTCGCAGGGCAACAACTTCTACCACTTCATTGTCGAGACCATGCCGCTCTTCCTTGTGTCCGCGCCGCTGCTGCCTCGCCTCCTGCCTTCCATCCCCATCATTGCTGAAGACATGCAGGTGGGTTGTATATTCACCGCTGCTGACTGTACTTGACTGCTGTTCACCGCTCTTTACCACTGCTGACTGTTGCTGACAGCTCTTGAACATGTTTATCTCTCGTGTCCGCGCCGCTGTTGCCTCGCCTCCTGCCATCCATCCCCATTATTGCTGAAGACATGCAGGTGGGTTCTCTGACCGTTGTTGACTTTTGCTGACCCCGTTGTTCGTGAAGATTCTTTTTGTGTGATGGCATGCTGAGGGCATGCAGCGTCTGTTCCTAACCCCTTGACCACTGTTGACTATTCTCGACCATTCTTGACTGTTGTTAACCGCTTTCTACCGTTCTTGACCGTTGTTGAGTCCTACTGGCTTCTGCCAGCCATTCCAAATTACTCTCACCTCGCAACAGCACAGCAACACCTCGCCTTCTCAAACCCCTCCCTTCTGCAGTTGACTTTTGAGGCACCTCAAAGATCCCTCTTCCTGTGCTTCATGAGGCCTCTTCTTGAACTCATTATGAAGCCTCCGCCTTCCCTTTTCTGTGCTTCCTTCCCGTGCCTCCCTCGTGGCGTGACCCCAGTGGGACGAATACAAGCGCTTCGGCGAGGCGCTGATAGGAGTGAAGTACGATGCAATGCGGTCGCTGCCCCTCGTGAAGGCAGACCTCTTTTTCGTTCACACTCTTTACGAGGTGAGTGCTCATGCTGGCGGGCTGGCTTCATCACATCTCATCTCAAATCACGAGGCTTTTTCGGATCGTGAAGAAACATTCCATGATGTGTCAAACCATGAAGGAATGTGGCCGCTGCCCCCCTTCGTGTGTGAAGTGAAGTCATCTCTCTTGCTCATTCACTCTCTACGAGGTCAGTGCTCATGCTGGCTGGTTACCACCTGCCTGGTTACCACCTGCCTGCGACCACCAGGTCACAGTGCGTATCTGCCACCACCTGTCACCCACTCAACACATTCTCAAACTTTTCTTCCCCTCTCTCTCCCTCCTCCCCCATATCCCTTCGTCAAGCCCATGACTCAGGACTTTGGCAACCCCTCCAAGGCCCTCTGGCAATCGCTCGGGCGAACCCACCTGCTGCACCCACGCAGGCTGCCTCTCTTCCGCCCCGACTGGTCCTACCACCCAATCATACCTACCCTGCTCATGCCTGTCACCACCCTTGCACCCACCCCACTGCCCGCTCTTTCCAGCACATGACTCAGGACTGTGGCAACCCATCAAAGGCCCCCTCTGGCAATCCCCCAGGGGGGACCCACCTGCTGCACCCGCGTGGTCTGCCTCTCTTCCGCCCCGACTGGTCCTACCAGCCGCCGCCACTGCTGTCGCCCCAGCAGGCACAGGCGCTGCCGCCCGACTGGGTCGTGGTGCTGGCAGAGTGCTCTCCCTTGCCCCCACCTCCTCTCCCCACTTCCTCCCCCCATCCCCTTCTTCCTCCCTCCCTTTTTCTTCCAGCCCATGACTCAGGACTGTGGCAACCCCTCCAAGGTCCTCTGGCAATCGCTCAGGCGGACCCACCTGCTGCACCCGCGCGGGCTGCCTCTCTTCCGCCCCGATTGGTCCTACCAACCGCCACCGCCGCTGTCGCCCCAGCAGGCGCAGGCGCTGCCACCCGACTGGGTGGTGGTGCTGGCGAAGCGTCTCTCTAAGAAGCGATCCATTAACAACTTCAAGGACGTGCAGGTGGTGGTTGAGACGGTGTTTCCTAAAGAGAGGATCGTGCTCTTTACAGGGTCTCTCACGGTTCTCGAAGGTACGATCATGCCTTTTCCTGTCGCGCAGTTCTCGCACTACTCCTGCCCCTCCAATGGAGCCCCAAGGCCCAAGGGGGAGCCGTTTGAGTCGACTCAAAAGTCATCTCAAAAGTCAGTAAGTCAGCTCGCGCCTTGTTTCCGCGAGCACACCTCTTCACAGCAGGCCACGGGCAGCGCTCACCTCACCAGTCTCCTCTCCCCCTCCTTTCTCTTTCTCCTCACATCCTCCCTTCTCCAACCTCAACCCTTCTCTCTCTCCCCCAATGCAGCTCGCGCCTTGTTTCGGCGAGCGCGGCTGTTTGTAGCAGGGCATGGCGCAGCACTCACCAACCTGGTTTTCATGCCGGAAAGGGCTTCAGTGCTGGAAATAAGGCCTGATAACTGCGCTGTTGTGTGCTACAACCACCTCTCCTACGCCTGCTCCCTCACCTACCACCTCGTTTTCAGCCACGGCACGTGCTTGGATACTGTACAGGCGAATGCTACAGTAGTAGCAGATGCGCTTAGAGATATAAAAGCACGTTTTGACAGAGAAGATGCTGAAGGTATATAAGAAGCAATAATTGGGGTGTAATTAATTTTTTCTTGTACCATGTGTCTTCGTAAGCTTCATGTACAAGAGTGTACAATACAACTGTACACATCCCTTTTATCAGGTCAATTCAATCTCAAACCACCTGCAGCATATGACTGAGCTCTGCTTCGTGGACTCTAAAAAAAAAGCTGTCCCACGTGTATACACCTCCCTCTGCACGCATCCCTCTGCACACACCTCCCTCTGCACGCACCTCCCTCTGCACGCACCTCCCTCTGCACACACCTCCCTCCACTCTGCACCTCCCTCTGCACGCTGCACATATTGAATGAATCCATCAGTCTCGGTTGCTCTGCATCAGACTATTGAGCTCCGCTTGGTGGACCTTCAGCAGCGTCTCCACCATATGCACCTCCCTCTGCTCCTCTGCACCTCCCTCTGCTCCTCTGCACCGCTCTCCACTCCACTCCACCCATACAAGTCTTTCCGAATGAATGAATCCATCAGTCTCGAATGCTCTGCATCAGGCTGTTGAGTTCCGCCTGGTGGGCTTTCAGCAGCGCCTTCACCATGTGCACCCCCCTCCACTCCACTCCACTCCACTCCACCCATACGAATTTGGTATAAAGAAACCCATCAGTCCCGAATGCTCTGCATCAGGCTGTTGAGTTCTGCCTGGTGGACTTTTAGTAGCGCCTTCACCATATACACCTCCCTCTGCTGCACCGCCCTCCACTCCACCCCCAGCTCATACTCCACTACGTTGGGCTGTGCACAGTGCGATGTGGTTAAGCTGTTCTTCTGTTGGAGGCAGGAATCAGGGGGGAAAAAGAATGTATGAAAAGGGAGTGAGTGAGAACGAGGCAAGAGCAATGGCTCTGCTGCACCGCCCTGCACTCCAGACTCCACCCCCAGCTCGTACTCCACTACGTTGGGCTGTGCACAGTGCGATGTGGTTAAGTTGTTCTTCTGTTGAAGGGACGAAAATGGATGGAGGGACGGGGAGGAAGGGGCAGAGGAAGAATCGGCCTTGGGCAGGGGCAGGAGAAAAGGATGAGCGAGCGGCCTTTCTCACCTTGTCACCTGAGTACTCCCAGGGGCCCCGCTTGTTGCAAGTGGCAAAGTAGCCCGGCCCGTGTGACACCAGAGGCGGAGGGTGCACCAACTGCCGATGGTGCCACGGCTCACACCCATTCTGTGAGCCTGTATCACTGCCTCGACCCTAAACCTTGCATATCTCCCGTCTCACCTTGTCATCCGAGTATTGCCCGGGGCCTCCGCGTTTGTTGCGGATGGAGACGAAGCCAGGAGCGTGGGACACCAGAGAGGCTGAGGGTGCATCCACCGCTGATGGCGCCACTGCTGACTGTTCGCCTTCCACGTCTAACTTGCCTATCATCAGTATCACGCATCCCTCACCTTGTCATCTGAGTACTGTCCGGGGCCGCCACGTTTGTTGCGGATGGTGAAGTAGCCAGGCCCGTGTGACACGAGAGAGGCTGAGGGTGCATCCACTGGTGATGGCGCCACTGCTGGTGGGCGCTGCAGGCGACCAATCAGAGGGCTGCACGTGGCAGGAGGAGTGTGGAGGATAAGGGTAAGGTGGGAGCATAGAGTGATGAGGGATGGGAGAATTTGGATTTTAACAAGAATGGGGGAGAGAGTCGGCTAGTCCTGTCGGCGGAGGAATGGGAGGGCAGAATGCATCTAGGGGGCAGGAGAACAGCAGCAACGGCGATCGATAGTGGCTGCAGCAGCAGCAGCAGCAGCAGCAGCAGCAGCAGCAGCAGCAGCAGCAGCAGCAGCAGCAGCAGCAGCAGCAGCAGCGATAGCAGCGATAGCAGCAGGAGCAGCAGGTAAACCAGTGATACACGTCTGAGATGAGGTGCGTACCGTGAGGAGTGGGAGGGCACGACGCATTTGGAGGAGAGAAAGAGCACAGCAGCGGCAGCAGCAGCAGCGGCGCTTGCGGAAGATGGCAAAAGCGTGAATGGAGATGGGGGGGATGGGCGTGGTGGCTGGCTGCACTCGCACCGCCACCACGTCTGAAAAGAGCTCTAGCATGGCCTCCTGTGAGGATACAGGGAAGGGAGGCGAGAGGGGGAAGGGCCGCGTGGGGAGGGAGAGGGGCGGACGAAAAAGGATGGGCGTGGTGGATGGCTGCACCCGCACCGCCACCACGTCTGAGAAAAGCTCTAGCATGGCCTCCTGTGGGCGACAGGCGAGGGGAGGGGGGATGAGGGGGAGGGGAGGGGCAGGGGGTAGGGCAGGGAGGGAAGAGCGAAGCGGCAAGGGGGGAGTGGGGAATGAGCATGGTGGATGGCTGCACTCGCACCGCCACCACGTCTGAAAAAAGCTCTAGCATGGCCTCCTGTGGGGGCACCGGGAGGGGCAGGGGGGGCGGGGAAGGGTAGTGGGAATGGTTTTGGGGGGAATGGGCGTGGTGGATGGCTGCACTCTCTCCCGCCACCAGATGATACAGGAGCTATTGTTGCAGCACATGCAAGAGGGTTTAGGCATGTGAAGAACTGGTAAGAGGCCATATCAGAGATTTGTTTCACGATGCCTTGAGACTCACGTGCAGGTCTACCGCTGAAGGGTTCCTTCATCCATACACCATTGCCTCGAGACTCACGTGCAGCTGCTGCGACGAGGTGCAGGGAGGAATGTTGTCGATGCGCATCACCCGCTGCTCCTCCAACGCGCCCTCGATGATGCTGTTCCACTGCAAGAGAGGGGAGAGGGCAGGAGGAAGAAAGGGGCGTGGGCAGTGTCATTGGAGGGGTGAGTGGGAGAGGTGAGGGATGTTGTCGATGCGCCCCACACGCTGCTCCTCCAATGCCCCCTCGATGATCGTATTCCAGTGCAGGGGCGAGGGACACAGCGAAGTGGGTAGTGAGAGATGCGGGCGGGTAATATTGGAGGGAGGGTGAGAGACGAATGTCCAACTCTTAAATGGTACCGTTTAAGAATTCTCAAAAGTGACTCCCAATGCTTCGAGTCGACTCACAACTCGACTCATCAACGTTTGAGAATTCTCAAAAGTGACTCCCAATGCTTCGAAAATATGACATCCAGTCGAAGGTCGTGCGGGAAGGAGGACGGTGGGTACGTGCGTAGGTGGATCGGGGGAGAGGCGGAAAGATGGACAGGTGGTTAGGGAGTGAGTTGGAAAGAATGGAGTGTACCCTGTATCCCTCTGCCTCTCTCTTCTCTGCCTGCCTCGCCTTCGCCCCAGTAGCACCAGCCGCAACGGCGGTGGCAGCACCAGCCGCAGCGGCTGTGGTGGCAGTAGCAGTGGTGGCAGCAGTGACAGCCGTGGCAGCGGCGGCAGTGGTGGCAACAGGAGACGCAGAAGCAGGAGGAGCAGCAGGCACGGGCCAACAGAAGCGTGTGTCTATGACTGGTCTCTCCTCCTCACTCTCGTTTTCACTCCTCTCCTCCTCACTCTCTTTCTTTTCCTCACTCTCTATTTTCTCTTCCCTCTCTTTCTTCACCTGCAGTCCCTCACGATCAACACTCTCCTTGGACACTGCAGTCCCAGTATCGCCCTTTCCTTCCATCCCCTCACCATCAATTCTCCTTTCAGTCGCGTCACCCTCGTTTTCTCCCTTCCCTGGATCCACCACTTCAGCATGTGCCATGTCAGCAGCACTCGGCTCTGATGTGGCAAATTCCGGCGCTTCTGATTGGACAGCTGTTGAGTAAGCTTGCGCTGCTGCTTTTTCCATTCCTGCAGTAACAGCTCTAGCAATCGCAGCTTTAGCAGCAGCATCTGTAGCAGCCGTGGCTGTAGCAGCAGCATTCGAAGCAATAGCAAGTGTAGCAGCAGAATCTGGTGGTGGTTGTGGTTCAGGTGATCTTAACGAAGCTGCCTCTGCATTAGGTGTCTCCATCACAGCTGCTTTTCTTCCTGACGAATCCGCTGGTATTGCTTCTGCTGTCGCTGCTGGGACGGGTGTTACTGCTGCTGGTGCCGATTCTGTCTCTCCCGCAGTCGCACCTGCTTCTGCTGCTTCTGCGGGTGTTACTACTGCTGCTGCTGAAGACTCTTCTGCTTGTGCTTCTGTGAGAATTTCCAACGCTGTGCTCTCCTTTTCTGCTTCTGCTACAGCTGCCTTTGTGACAACTGCCTCTGCTACAGCTGCCTCTGCTTTAGCTGCTTCCGCTATAATAGCTTCTGCTACAGCTGCCCCTGCTTCAGCTGCTTCTGCTACAGAATATTCTTCAGACGCACCATCCAAGTCGTTGCCAGAATCAGCAGCAGCAGCAGCAGCAGCATCAGCAGCAGCAGCAGCAGCAGAAGCAGCAGCAGCAGCAGCAGTAGAAGCAGCAGCAGCAGCAGTAGAATCAGCAGCAGGAGCAGTAGAATCAGCAGCAGCAGCAGCAGCAGCAGCAGCAGCAGCAGCCGTAGCAGCACCTGCATCACTGACAGGCTTCCCTCCCTCCTCTTTCCTCCTTGCCTCGTCCCTCCCCTCCTCTTTCCTCCTCTCCTCCAATTTCAACCTCGCCTCTTTCCTTCTCTCCTCTTCTATCCTCCTCCCCAATGGCACCACCTCTTGTCCCTCTGGCAGCTTCCCTTCTGCAGCACCCCTCTCTCTCATCCCCACCCTCTCTCCTCCCTTGCCCACCCTCCCTGCTCCCTGCCCCTTCTTCTTCCCTTGCAGTTTCTCAAACAAGCTCCTCCTATTGGTCGGAACATTAGCCAATGACAACACACCAACCACCTTCTTCTTTCCCCCGCCCCCTACCCCTTTCCCCCCACCTCCTCCTCCCTCTCCGCCTCCACCTCCTCCTCTCGCCCCAGCAGTCCCAGCCCCAGGGGGAGGTGTTATCCGGGGGAGCTTCTTCTGGGAGGGGCGGACAGGCAGCTTGGCTCGAGACCCGGGCCCATCAGGGGCAGCTGCAGGCTGTAACCCCTGCGGCAATCCCTGCGGAAATCCCTGCCTAGTCCCATCCGTGCCTGCCTGCCCTGCCAGGGCCGATTTCTCAGTCAACAGTTTCAGCGCACTTGACTTCGTGGGCGCTTCCTTTGAGAGTTCCTCCGAACCTTCTTTTCTCAATCCCACCCCCTCTTCCTCCTCCCCGTCCTCCCCCTCCTCCTCTTCTACATCCTCCTCCTCGTACACTTGCTCATCCTCTTGCCCTTCCTCCACTTCCTCCTCCTCCTCTTCCTCCTCCTCCTCCTCCAAGTCCCACGGGTCTCCTGTCTTCTTCTCCATTCTCTGCTTCCCGCCCTTCTCCCCCACCTGATCCTCCACCTTCATCCTTTTGCTTAGCCGTTTCTGCTCCCCTCCTCCGCTTTCCCCACCCTTTCCCTCCCCCATCCCCGTTTCTCCCCCTTTCACATCCGTGTCGATTCTCAAAGCACCATCCTTCTCCTCCCTGACTGCCCCAACATTCCCCTTAGCCCCATCTCCTGCTTCCTTGCCTGGAGCTCCCTCCTTCTCCTCCTTCTCCTCCTCCTTCTCCCCTGCTATCGCCCCACTGGTTGGCTGCTGCTGCTGCACCCATGTCGGCTTGTTGAACACTGCCTCTTCTGTGCCATGTAACATGCGACATATGCCATGTGCCATGCATGACATAACAACCATGATGTGCCATGCAATGATGTGGGAGGCGTCATGTCACGTGCATGCATCATATGCGATGCGCCACATGACATGCACTATGCACCATCATCATGCATCATGCACCATGCACCATAACCCATGCTATACCACATGCAATGTCAAGCAGGGCACCACACAGCATGGCACACACACGCCAGTCCCAATGCTCCGACTCACATTCAGCACACATGACACGAAAAGCACATCACAAATGAACGGTGCTGACTTTGCAGCAAAGAGCAATTACCCACAAAAAACCACCTGCTGCCCAGCTAAGTTCCACCTGAATACTCACCTGAGCCCAGGTCGTCAATGGCCACCTGAAGGTCCTCGATCACCCGTTTCTGCTGCATGTCCCATGCTCGGCGGAACACCAGCTCTGCTGCCTCCACCTGCGCCGCACTCGGCTGTGGATTGCGCGGGTCGGCAGACACACACAGTATGTGCGCACGCGAGTCCACCACAATCTGTGCTCCACACAGTCAAAAGAAGGTGAGGGGGAAGGGGGAGAGCAGGGGGGGAGAAAGGAGACGGGGTCAGCAGACAGACACACACAGTATGTGCGCACGCGAGCCCACCACAATCTGTGCTCGGACAGAGAAGGTCAGGGTGGGATGAGGTTCCAGGGGGAAGTGGGGGGTGAGAATGGTGGACGGAAAGGGAGAAAGGAGGTGAGTGAGGGGAGGAAAGGGAGGTTCAGCAACCACGCAGGGCATGCACGCTCGGGAACCGCCAGAAACACCTCGCTGGGGCTCACGTTCCTTGGGAGCTCCCCGCCCTCCCTGGCCACTCATTCATTCACTACCGGTTCCTCCTCACTCGAATGAGTTTCTCACTCACCACTTTATTGGCGTCAGTGACCTCCTGCGTGCTCTCGGGAACGGCCAAACACACCTCCTTGGGGCGCGGCGCACGTCCCTTGGGAGCACCCCGTCCCCCCTGCCCACGCCTGTTGATTTTGCTTCCCATCTCACCACTTTATTGGCGTCAGTGACCCCCTGCGTGCCCTCGGGAACTGCCAGGAACACCTCATTGGGTCGCACGTCCCTCGGGAACTCCCCGCCCTCCCTGCCCACTCACTCACCCAATGCCCCATATGATTTTCATACTCACTCACTCACCACTTTGTTGGCGTCAGTGACACCCTGCGTGCCCTCGGGAACTGCCAGAAACACCTCGTTGGGGCGCACGTCCCTTGGGAGCTGCCCGCCCTCCGCCTGCACGTCAGCCGCGCGGAAGAACCAGCGGATGTCCACCTTGCGCTCGCCTGGCTTTCCGCCTCCGCCTCCGCCGATGCTGCTGCGCTTTCCGCGGCGGCTGGGGGGGAGCTCGTACATGCGCACGATCTTCCCCACGTACGGGTCCATCCCCTCTTCTGCCTGACGCGGTACAGGAAACAAAGGTAACACGGACCTTGGGTTTTTTAACGCGTAGGCGAGGTATCACCCATATGTTTCACGGATAAGAAGCACTAATATAGGAGTATTCCAAGAAAACGGACGGATAAGGTACTAAAAAGGCGGCGAACCTGGCAGTACACGCAGTCATAAAGGTCGAAGCGCTCCCCTCCCTGCTCGAACCACAGGTAATACCGCTTGCCGCCGCGACTCGGGCCCGGGGCCGGATCGCCCCAACGAAACGGTAATTCCTCCTCTTCCTCATCCTCCTCGACGTCAATCGCGGCGTCATCTGCGGTTGACGCCATGAGTGAGCAACAGGAAATGACGAGTCTAAAGCACTGGTGACTGAAATAGTCACCAGAACTCCAGTGGAAATAGTCTGCCTAAGGCGTAGAGTTGTGACGAGGATGAGAATCAAAACCGATAAAAGTCGTGCTGCGAGGTGAAGAGAGAGGTCGAAAATTCTTGTACGATTAGATTCCACGGTTCTGATTCGCACGCGAAAGTTCGCGAGTGTTAAAACAAATTCATGTCGAGGCTCTTGAGGCCCGTACAGGCAACCTGTCAGGCCAATCATCCTACTTCGTTGTTTTCGCCATCAGGCATTCGCAGGGTCTACTGCTCGCGGAGATGGTTACGTGGGCAACTGATCACAGCATTTTCCTCCCCAAATAGCTGACCCCTTTTCAACCATTCCTCACAAATCAGAGTTCTGAACTGAAATGCTCCGTAAAATACATTATCATAATCTGCCATTCAGTCTGGCCAGACGAAATCTAGCGGATGATCAGGCAGCTAGCGAGTTTCTAGCTGACAAATTCAACTTTTTTATTTCCGCGTTCATTGCAGCGACGTAACCTTACGCCGTCTCCCATTCTCACCACAACACGCACCTAGAACCTGCCTTAGGAATCATCGAGTCTCGCCTTCAGTAGCGACAGTCACGTGTTAGCGCCGCGCCTGTCGCGCGATGGAGTGGGCGTCGCCTCCGGTCCCGCTCCCCCTCCTCGCGAATCCCAAGGCGTACGGCGCCGCAATCTCCGCGGGGCTGAGATGCGAATCTGACGATCCGGCGCTTCTGACGGAGAAAGAGACCGCATTGATCAGCTCTTTCCGCGAGAGGATCCCGCTGTGGAGGTACTTGTGGCGCCTGTGGCCATGGTTCCACGTGGCGTGACGTGGCGTGACGTGGCGTGCGTGCATCCTTGACATACTGTTCCTCAGTCGCTTTTTCTCTCACCATACCATACATGCATGCAGTAACATCTCGTAACGCACCCCGCCATCCCATGTTCTGCCACACCCCACCACGCCATGCCACACCACACCACACCACACCACGCCATATCACACCCCACCCTATCACACCCCACCCCACCGTGCCATGCGATGAGCAGGCAGCAGGCAGAGAGTGACGCATCAGTGGACAACGCAGCAGAAAAGGCTGCCAGATTCGAAGAAAGGTGATCATGGGGGGTCTGGGAAAGGTAAATGAGTGCTTGGCTTGCAGCCAAAGGAGGCCTCCGCCTCCCCCCACCCTTGACCACGTCACCATGTCACCGCCATGTCGCCGCCATGTCGCCGCCATGTCACTGCCATGTCACCATACCACCATGTCACTGTATCAACGTGTCCTTGCCATGGTGTCCATGGCAGGCTGGCATCCATGTTGGACGATTTCAGTAAAGACCCCGAGAGCCATGGAGGGCCGCCAGATGTCATGGTATGTGGTGTTGTGTGGTGATATGTGGTGTTATGTAGTGTTGTATGGTTGTGAGTGATGGTGCGCGATGGTGTGCGGTGTTATGTGGCATGCGGTGGTGGTATGTAGCGTGTGATGGTATGTGGCATTCTGTGGTGTGTCGTGAGGGTGCATGATGATGTGCGGCATGTGATGGTGTGTGGAAGGGGTGCATTGGTGTGTCTTCTGAGTGATTTTTGAGAATTCTCAAAAATCACTCGCAAGGTGTGTCTTCTCTTCATTCTTCTTCTCTTCTTCCTTCCTCTGTGTGAAGTCACTGTTGATATCTGCCCACCGCTCCCTCTGCTTCTCTCCATCTCTCTCCACCGCGCTCCACCCCATCAGCTGCTGTATCGGCTGAGAGACCTCTGCCTGCGGGAGCTGGGCTTTGAAGACATTTACAGACACGCCAAGGTGATGCAGGGAGGGCGAGATGATGCGGAGAGGGCAAGGCATTTATGTGCATTGGGTTCGTGCAATTCTATGCCACACCATACGATGCAGCTACCACCCACGCGCACAACACTCCATGTTTTCTATCTACCCTCGTTCCGCCCTTCCTCGTTACTCTCCATTCTTCCATTCCCGTATTTCCCCACCTTCCCCCCCTTCCCTTCCTTCCCCACTTCCACCGTTCCCCCCTTCAACCCCCCCCCCCCTCCCCCTCCCCCAATAAAAACATCCCAGGACGAGTCAACAAGCATGGCCCTGCAGCAGCTACCAGCCGTCCTTGCATCCATAGATGACATCAGCGATGACGTCACCCGCTCCGAAGCCCTCATCCGGGGCATGCTGGCCGGCAATCTGGTCACGCTGGACGGCGCGGACCCCTCGGTTGGGTCGGCAGACTTTTTGTCTGTTACTGACAGTCTGCCGGCCAAACCGTGGACGGCAGATGACATGGGGGCGGCGGTGCAGGCATGGAGCAACCAAGGGGAGGGCAAGTGGAACAAGGTAAGGTGCAGTTGAGAGGTTGGGATGGGGGGACGGGGATGGGGGCGAAGTCAGAAGGTGGTGTGGGTAGGGAGACTTTTGTATCAACTCAAAAGGAATTGACAGGTTGGGATGGGGGGACGGAGATGGGGGCGACGCGAGAAGGTGGTGTGGGACTTTTTGGAAAAGATGCACGATAGGCTTGTAAATCTCGCAGGGAGACGGAGATGGGGGCGAAGTGAGAAGGTGGTGTGGGTAGGGAGACGGTGCAGAGGGTTGAGCCAGCCAGCCTACCCTTTCACGCTCATTCCTCTACCTGCCACGTACTTTCCCATAGGATTGAGTAAACAGTCAAACACCTGTTCGCCCCCCCACGATCCCATCCCACCTCCCCTCATCTCAGGCAGTGGTGCTGTGTGCAGGGGCGGGTCGGGAGACGGTGCTGGGGGTGCTGCCTTTCTGCCCTTGCACGCTCATTCCTCTTCCTCCCATGTACCGTCCCCCCACTCTCCCCACACCCCCATCCCAGGCAGTTCTGCTGTGTGCAGGGGCGGGCAGGGAGACGGCACTGGGGGTGCTACCAGCAGTGAGGGACTTGACCAGGCGAGGTGTGCAGGTGGGTGGAGAAATAGGCTTCTGCGCTGGTGTGGGAGGCTGTGGATATGGGTGGGGATCGGTTGAGTGGGGTTCGGAGCGGTGCCACCTGCTGGATACGGCTGCTGTGCATGATGGTCGTTGCTTTGCTGCTGTGCTGCTGCGCTGTTGCTTCCTGTTTCGACCCGCTCGCCCTTCTGTTGCAATCCCCCCCCCTCTCTCACCTCTTCCCCCTCCTCAGGTGCTTCTGGTGGCGCCAGACATGCCTTCAGGTGCCGCCATTACACACGAGGACCTGATGAATCTCCTGAAGCAGGTGATAATCACATGCCTGAGAAGCCTCTCGTGCCTCTCATGCATGCCCCTCATGCCTCTCATGCCTCACATGCATGCCTCTCATGCCTCACATGCATGCCCCTCATGCCTTTCATGCCCCTCATGCCATTGAAGCCACTGTTGCAGCAGATGATCAGTTGAAGCCTCCGGCTCTCATGCCGCCGTGCTTCCCATGCCTCTCATGCCTCTGGTGATGCTGTTGCAGCAGGTGATTCGAGAGCAAGACCACATGGAAGGGAGGAAGGGAAGGGAGGGCACGATTGCCGCTGTCCATCTTCCCTCCCCATCCTGGGAAATTCTCATGACATATGTCGTAACTCGATATGATTGAATGGCTTGGCATGGCATGGTATGGCATGGGATGGCATGAGCAGGTGCAAGCAGCAGCACCAGAGGATGACCTCAGCACGGCCATCAGCAACAGTCGCATTCTTGTCCTCAACTCCGGGTCTGACCTGCAGGTTTGTTTCTTTTCACCTGCAAAATTGTTCTATCACCTGGAGTTTAGCCTGCGCCTTTGCCTTTCACCTGCAGGTTTGTCTTTCACCTGCAGGTTTGCCTTTCACCTGCAGGTTTGTCTTTCACCTGCAGGTTTGCCTTTCACCTGCAGGTTTGCCTTTCACCTGCAGGTTTGCCTTTCACCTGCAGGTTGGTTTGGTTGTTGACCGGCGGGTATGTGCATGGCATATTGAAGTGTGTGCTGTCTAGAGTCCCTCCTTCCAGTCCCACTCAACCTCAATCCATGTATTCCTATGCCTTTTAAGTTGACCCTGAGAACTCTCAAAATCAATGCTCATCCTTCCGGCCTCCCTCAACCTCAGTCCCTGCATGCCCTGTATGTGCATTTGTATACCCTGTGGATCTGTGCCCTTCCTCCCTCGCCCTCCCATTTAAACCACCCAGGCTCTGGACCTATCTGCCGTTTCACCTGAGCTCGGCTATGCTGCATCGGATGCAGATGTCATCATCTTGCACGGCCAGGTGTGAAAACAACAGCTGCTTGTAGAGCCATGTTACCGGTACCAACTGTTTAGCCGTGTGACTGGTTGATTTATGATACAGTGAAACACGTGTAGCCAGTAATCCAAGATATACAGCTGGATTTGCAAGTAATTTTACCCTTTACATGACTGTGTAACATGCGCCTTGTTCCTGCCACTGTTCTGCCGTTGCTGTGCTCCGCATGCAGACCCATGCATGGGAGACCAACTTCACTGCAAGGTTCAAACGCCCGTCTCATCAGGTTGCAACTAGAGACATCTCAACTGCCTTTGTTCTGCCTGTGCTGTGTGCTATGTGCTGTGTGCTGTGTGCTGTGTGCTGTGTGCTGTGTGCTGTGTGCTGTGTGCTGTGTGCTGTGTGCTGTGCTCCGCATGCAGACCCATGCATGGGAGACCAACTTCACTGCGAGGTTCAAGTGCCCGTCTCTTCGGGTTGCACTGGTACGTGCTGCTGCTGCTCCTGCTGCTGCTGCTGCTGCTGCTGCTGCTGCTGCTGCTGAAATTTGCCTCTTCTGTGCAAACTGTCTGGGTGTTTGCTATGCTGCTCTTTGCTATGCCTGTGCCTGTTGCCGCTGAAGCTCTCTGTTGATGGACGTGCATTGTGCATGCCCATCTGCTGTGCGGCAAACGGGGGCCCGCTTTTGCCTGTTGACTCCTTGTTGCCCTCCCGCTTCCGACATTCTTCCTCCCTGAGTTCCGCCGTGGTAATAACTGTATGTTGCAATGCAGGTACAACAACGTGTCGGCAATCCCGGGGAGACGGAGTTGAAGTGTATTGTGAAATACACTACATCTCTCTAGGCAGCTATGCTTAGCATACGAAAACTACTAGCACGAAGAGCCCAACTGAACGCCTTTTGCATATTTTACATCTACTAGAATGTCCACTCAATGCATTCAAAATCCTGCTTCAACTCTCCGATAACTCACCTTGTCCAAAACCTCCAACTCTATATTTTGCACTATGCCATTGAACCGCACACAGACACCTTTCTTCACCCTTTTCGTTACCATTCATTGAGAGTCAGGCATATGCCACCCTCCGTGCTGTTATGGCTCTTGCATACGGCCCACTGCATAGCATGCGACCCGACCCTTTGCCTCAAGTTTTCCCAACATGATATGCCTGCTCTGCTGTGGCCACGTTTAGTGTTCATGTTGCCTGCCTGTTTTATCCCTGCATGGGATAATCCCTGTGATTTTGTTTCATGGCACACGGAACAAACATCCCTTGGCCTTTGAACTCTTCCCTGGCCTATGCTGGACTCTTGAAAACAACAACAATATCGTAAGAAAATCAAACTCATGGTGCGTGTAATCTGTCTAGTGTATGCAAACGAGCGTGGATACATCCAAATTTGTCCACTTGGAATTCCAAGTCGTCTGCATCCTCCTCAAATGCAATGTGGTGTCGTCGTTCACCAATGGCATATGTTTCAGCAAGATCCCCTTGGATTTGCGTTTTAGCACCTGCGCCGCGATACAGATGAGCGGGAGGAGTTTTCAGGCACAACTAGACAAAACCCGAAATCGTACAAGCTGGACCCATTTTCCCGGTCAGGTTCACAATCGTTTGTGAATACCCGTTAGTATAGACAAAATATTAGCATAACACACCTACAACAGAAGTGTAGATTTCAATCCAATATTACATTGCTTCATTATCAAATGGTGAGAGCAAGCTTGACTCGGCTCAGGTGAACACTCAGGCAACGATATGGGGGCTGCTGGTGGCACAGTTCCATCTCATATACTGTAGGTGGGTGATCAGGGGAATTCTAAGATGCGATAAGGACCGTGCCATCAGTTCCGCACAAGCGCGCCACGTCCAATCCGATGCCGGCTGGCATTCCTCCGGACCTGGCAGGGTCTACCGTAGAGGGGAGGGCAGGCCAATTTTGCGGAAGCAGGACCCCCCCTTTACCGGGCGCTTTTCCCCAGCTCGAGTTGCCCGCCCGCCCGTCTCCCGCCATGCTGTATCGTGTACAAGCATGGCGTGCGGGCAACTGCGCGGCGCACAGCAAGCTGCTGGAGTAAGGGCGTGTCACTCAAGGATGTACTCATGCACAGTGCGTTCACAGCTCATAAACCACTTGTTCAGGCTGGTATGTGGCGGTTCAAAGCGGTGAGGCAAACATACCGCTCTAAAACGCACGACACTGTGGTCAACCGCTTTGAATGAACTGAAAGTTCACCAAGCATGACCGCCCTAAGCCTCGCAGAATATACGTTCCATTCCAAACACCGCAGTCCTACCCCCACCACAACTTACCACAAACATCCAATCCCATTTCCTGTCAGTTGACTGATATTGCTGCTAATTTTGGTTCCCCGAGAAGCCCCGTCCTCAGCTCAGCTTGTTCCTGTCTTCCGAAGCTCTTCAACTCGGTTCGTCTGACAATTTTTCTCGCCGCGATCTGCCGCCGCTGCGATGTGGATGGCGGCGCGACAGCGAGCCGCCTCAGCGCGACAGCTCGGCGCGCCGGCGTTGCCACTGTTGTTGCTACTGCTGCTCGGTGAGATCCCGCAACAATAGTAGCAATCATGCAACAGCAGCGCGGGCAACGCGGAGCTGTTCTCCCACGCGAGCCTAGGATAAACTATGCCCTACTACTTTCGTCGCACGATGCTATCATGATTGGCAATCATGCACCATGTGGTCCATTATGAAAGCCTTTCATCATGCTTTCAGATCATGCACCATTTGTTCACCATTTTGTTCCATTCAGTATCATAACGGGCCGCCCTCTCATAAATCCACCGTCCTCCAATTCTGCTTTCCCCCCTGCCCGCCCCGCCGTCTGCGCCGCTCCGCCCGTCGACCCTCTCAGGTTTCACGGCTCCGCGCACTGTTTCCGCTCGTAAGTTCCCTCTCCTGCTATCTCAGCCTGCTACTTCCTTCTGTCTCTGCTATCGCGTTTCCGCTCCTTCCATATTTGTCTTTCCCGCCAGCCATCCCGCTCTGCTCTGCTCCGTTCCGCTTTTTCTTGCTCCGCGCCGCCTTCTGAGAATTCCGTTCCGCCTTGTTCCGCTCATCTCTCCCCTCCCCCTCCCCCTGCCCCTCCCCCTTCCCCCCCAGAGTCCTACTTTCTCGCGCGCCTGGTGGACGGCGAGTCACGAGCGGCCATCTTCCTCAGCATCTCGTAAGCCGCCTGTGCTCGCGGCTTGAACGCACGCACGCAAGCACACACGCAAGCACACACGCACGCACGCACGCACACACGCACGCACGCACGCACACACGCACGCACGCACGCACGCACGCACGCACGCACGCACGCACGCACGCACGCACGCACGCACGCACGCACGCATGCTCAACTTTCCGCCTCGTCAGCCCTGCCTGCTCTCCACCGCCCTCGTGACCGGCCCACCTGCTTCCCTCCCTCACTGCGCTCCTCTTTGCACCCCTCCCCATACGCCTTCCCCTCCCCACCGGCGCCTCCCCTCCCCCCAGTCCGCCCGGCAGTCCAGGGGCGGGCATGATCGTCGCGTACCGTCTCTTCACAGCCCTCGCGTCCGGCCCGCCCGCTTCCCTCTCCTTCACGAATACCACCGTCCCCGGGTGCGACCCGGCCAAGTGCAGCCTCGCGCCGGGCGCCATCACGTGGCGCAGCGCGGGCGTCCCCTCCGTGTACGAGAGCTACAACGGCATATTCTGGTGTTCGCCCGGAAACGAGCGCTACAATGTGTACATCCAGATTCTCGCGGGGAGCTACCCGAACGTGGCGATGACGTACACTGATCCGCAGACGGGCGCTGCGCGCACGGCGGTGTCGGAGCCGTTCAAGCCCACCACCTTCTCGCAGTATGGTGAGCCTATGCGAGCGTGCATTGCCCGTCCGTGCCGGTGGCCGCATCATGATCGTTATACGCGTCATGGCTCTGGCTCGCGTTTCTGCGCATGCTTTGTCGAAACGCTCCGAACGCTGCTGGCTTGGGGGATTTCCGTTTCCCTCGAATCTCATGCTTATTTTGCCTGCGTTGCATGCATTCTCACCCGCTCTGCTCGTGTGCACCTGGCTGGCAGGCATCGGCATCCCCATGACATCCCTCACGTACAACTTCAAAGTCCGCTTCTGATGCTTATGTTGCCGCCCTGCCTTCTTGTGTTGCCCTTTTCCTTGTGTGCGTCTCGCAGGCATCGGCATCCCCATGACATCCCTCACGTACAACTTCAAAGTCCGCTTCTCCTCCTACATGCCCGGAGGCGCCAACCTCTCTCTCGCCCTCAAGTGAGTCCCCTCCACAGCCACGCAGCCAGAGCCAACTCCTTTGTCGCCACACACCCCTCCGTCCGCTGCTGAAAGCTCGCAGTTATTTTGAATCAGATTGATTCCTCTCTTCTTCTTCTTCTTCTTCCGCTTTTCAGCATGGATTCGGCGCGTGAAGCCTGTCACCAGCCGCTCATGCTGTCTCAGTTCAACAACACGCATTTCATCCCTCCCTCCCTCCCTCCCTCCCTCCCTCCCTCCCTCCCTCCCTCCCTCCCTCCCTCCCTCCCTCCCTCCCTCCCTCCCTCCCTCCCTCCCTCCCTTCCTCCCTCCCTCCCTCCCTCCCTCCCTCCCTCCTTTTCCCTCCCACCTCTTCTCACCAGGAGTGACGGATACACGTACCGACTGGACTACACGTGGATGGCAGTGGCGCCAACAGAGGAGCCCGTCACCAGCCGTCTCATCATCTTCTACGAGACCTCTGCACCCGCCACTACCTCTCCTTCCACCGGCCGCCGCCGCCTCCTCAGTGTTGACCCTCCTCCCGCTGGGACAGCGGTGAGCAGCAGTGGCAGTAGCAGCACGGACCAGAAGACAAAGGAGGAGGCGCGGAAGGAGAGAGAGGCAGCGATCGCGGCGAGAAAGGAGGCCATTGCAGAGAGGAAGGCGGCGATTGCGGCGAGGGAGGAGGCGAAGCGGGAGAGGGAGCAGGCAAAAGAGGAGGCGCGGAAAGCCAAGGAGGAGGCAATTGCAAAGAAGGAAGCAGCAAAGAAAGCCAAGGAGGAGGCGATTGCAAAGCGGGACGCGGCAAAGAAGGCGAAAGAGGAGGCTATCGCAAACAAGGAGGCGGCCAAGCTGGCGAAGGAGCAGGCGATTGCCAAGAAGAAAGAGGCTATTGCGATCAGGGAGGCGGCGAAGGCGGAGAAGGAGAAGAAGACACCCCCATCGCCTCCGCCCTCCCCGTCTTCCCCTCCGCCCTCCCCTCCACCATCCCCCCCTCCGCCTTCCCCTCCGCCACCATCCCCACCCCCATCCCCTCCACCCTCCCCGCCGCCCTCCCCACCTCCATCCCCACCCTCCCCTCCCCCGTCCCCTCCCCCATCCCCGCCCCCATCCCCTCCTCCTCCTGCTGCTCCCACCGTCGCATCTGTTTCCCTCCCTCTCGGCGGCTACTCCAACACCTGCCCTCCCGGCACCGATTGCCCTATTTTCTACGCCGTCATTGGCGCGCAGCAGTGGTTCTTCTCACCCGCATGGGGTTACCCCACCCAAGAGGCTCGCGAGGCGAACCCCATGTATGTTGCGCTGACGGCGCTGATGCAGTATGCGCAGACCGGGGTTAAGGGGCGGCTGGTGAACGCTAGCATGAAGCTGGAGGCGGCTGGGAGTGGCAATGGGCCGAACGATTTGCTGCAGCGATATTAGTGCGTTGGTATGTGGCGGGTCTTACGACCGTGGCATTTTGGAGCCGGGTCGTGCAGTTGGCCTCTGCTAACATAGTTTCTGATGGCTTCCATCGGCCTTCTGTTTTGTATTGTAGTTCGCTTCTGCTTGTGTTGTAGATGTGTTGGGTTGTGTTTTTGTTGGAAGGTGTTGGATCAGACCACAGCAGGTGTGCTTGGTAAGGTTTGATCAGTCTAGTAGCATTTTGATTATTGTGATGGAATTTTATTAATTATGTTTTGGTCATTTTCTTCTGCATCCAGCAGGTGTTGCTGTATGCAGCGTTAAATTTTGATGCGTTCCAGGTTTGCGTAGGTTATCTGGACACGGACGGGTGGGTTTGGGGGGGTGTTGTGCGTGTAAGAACGGTTCTTTTTCACCTTTCCACGTTTCGGTACAGTTCAGAACAGAAAATGAGCTCGTGTTTCACACCCTCAGATTTCCTACAATTCCATTTTCCAATTCCGAGCCGCTTGACTCAATTGAACATACCGCACCGCTGTAATTAACCCTCCAAACCACCAGCACCAGGCGAACACCCAGGCGATGTCACCAGAGCAAAGCAGAAAGTTCTGTTTGTTTTTTACGAGCCAGGCGTTTCTTGCAGCAACAGAGGACTTGTGAAATTGGACCCACCCAGTCACCCAGACCAGATCAGGACCTTCGAACCGCATACGGTATGTCCAAACCAGAGCCAAGCAGTTTTCTTGCTTCTTGATTTTCCAAATTCATGTCGACCGACTCGGCTAAGTTCTCGTGTGACTCCCCAGCCACGTACGGTAGCACCCAGCGCTCTGCCGACTCACCACCAGTCCCGAAATTCGTGTGAGCGTAATGTAGTGGGGCGAAAAGCTTATCCAGTTCAAATGGACGAATTTACCCAGTTACTTTCACCACACCTGATTTTAAGCCTCGGCGGAAGTCTCATCAGCCTCGATTGGCGTTTGTCGATCCGCGAGGCGTTTGTCAAAGCAGCGATCGAGTCACTTGGTGCAGCGCCCTGCGCTCATCGGGCGAGCATTTCGGAGAATTAGCATTCGCAGTCCACTTTCGCTCCTTCTAACCGCTCATTCAGTCCGCCGCCATTGTAATCGCGATCATGTCGGGACTGTCGCGTCGGACGCGCTCGCAGAGGCCATCCGCGACGGCGAATTACCTCCCTTACATTCTTGTTATCGGTGAGCTCTCCCAGGTTCTGATCGTTGAGCTCCGCTGATTTGTTTTCTGGGAATTCTCAAAAAACAGACTGACAATCCTCGGGAAACAGATTGAGAATTCCCAAAAAAACAGATCGAGAATTCTCAGGAAACAGATTCCCCCTTATTCTTGTTACTGGTGAGCTCTCCCTGGTCTTGATCGTCGAGCTCCGCTGATTTCAGAAGCCGAGTCGAGCGCCGAGTCTAGTCGACATGGATTTAAACCTAAACCATAAACAAGACACCACCGAGCCGCCAACTTGCACCTCCTCTTCCTTTCCACCCCCCTCTCCCTCTACCCCCTCTTCCGCCAATCCTCCCCCTCAATCCTCCCTCCCCCACCCCCACCCACTTTTTCCTCTCAGCGCTCTCTGCCTCCAATCTCGTGGGCTCGACTTCCGCCGCCGCCCCTCCGCCCCTCGGATCACCGGGTAGCGGCAATTCTGGTGCGAACCATTCCACCCTTTCCCCCCACCCTCGCGCCGCTCGTGCTCCTCCCACCCTCACGCCACTTTCCCGAAAATCGTCTGCACCCCCACTTCGCACCCTCGCGTTCCCCGCCATTTCCCTCATCCCCCTTGCCTCCCTCGTCCCCCTCTCCCCCCTCTCCCCCCTCCTCCCCCTCCCCGTTTTCGTCCCCTCGTCGGCCAGACACATATGTGTTCGCGGAAATGGTGGATGGTGACTCGCGCGCAGTCATCTACCTGCGCCTCTCGTAAGCTCCTGCGGCGCCTTTCAACCTTATCTAATCCGATCTACCCGGTTGTTTTTGCCTTGCCACCATTTCCATTTCTGCCACCATTTCCATTTCTGCCACCATTTCCATTTCTGCCACCATTTCCATTTCTGCCACCATTTCCATTTCTGCCGCCATTTCCATTTCTGCCATCCTAGCGGTCTACAAGTCCTTTGCCGCCCTCTCCCCATCTTCTTACCAATTCCATCTTTGCAACTCTCCAATTATTCCCCCAATTCCATCCCCCAACCCCCCCACATGCAGTTTCGATTCCACGACTGCCACCATCCAAGCCACCTACAAGATCTTTGCCGCTCTCCCCGCGGGCCCGCCAGTCTACATCACCCTAGCAAACACAACCGTCCCCGGATGCGACCCGTCCAGATGCAGCCTCCCCCCAGCCGCCCCCACATGGGTCCAGCCCGTGCCGTCCGTGTGGCAGACCATCGGCGAATTCACCAGCACCCCTGCCACCGACCCTGAGCGCTACGCTGCTCTGCTACAGCTGATTGACAACTCGTCGGCGTTCCCTGGGGTGGTCATGGCGTATGGGACTAACATGCAGGCGGTGGGGCAGTTCCAGGTTGACGCCAATGTGAATTTCCGTGAGTGTGGGGAAGGAAGGGAGGGAGAGGTGGCAGTGGGGAGGAGGAAGGAGACCATACGGATGTTAGACTGGCTATAGAGAGATCTGTCTTGCAAAGAAGAGTAGCAGTACGATACTTGCCGGTGTCTAGCCTTTCCTCTCTCTTTCTGATACTACTGCCTCACTTCTCTTCTCTCACCCCGATCCGTCGTCTCTGTATCCACCTGCCCGCAGTGGAGGTCGGCCCGGTCCCAGCGACTGTTCCCAAACCCAACTACGTTGTTCGCTTCCGCTCATACATGCCTGGCGGCGCCAACCTCGCCTTCACGCAGTCGTGAGCTTCTCTCTCCCCGCAATATCTGAGTCTCTATAGAGAATTCTCGAAAGCATCTATATCGTTTGCTTCCGCTCATACATGCCTGGCGGCAGCAACCTCACTTTCACCCAGTCGTGAGTTTTCCCCTCGCAATTGCCGACATCTGGTAGCCTTTGCTCTTTTGTCAGGATTGCTTTTGAGGCGCCTCAAAAGCCGTTGCTGGCATCTGGTCACTGTTGCTCTCTCGTCAGGGCCATGTTTGAAGGAGCACATTTTCCTCTCGCCTCTGCAGCAACCACGTTGCAATGCAATTCCCCTACAGTGTTCTTCAGGATGCATATTTCTCCCTCGCCCTTTGAGATGTGTCAGAAGTCGCAAAATGCTTATTAGGATGCAAAATTATTTATTGTCCGCCTCCATCCTCTAATTCGACGTCGCTCTGTTGCCGCCTATGCGTGTTTCCACTCTGTGTGGCAGGGCCGACGGGCTGTCCTTCCGAGTGACGTCTTTGTCATGGTGGAGCCCACACATTAGCCCTTCACCTCGGGCCTCCAAGTCTACTTGCGCGTTCCCCGCAGCCCCTGCTCCCATCCTCTCACTAGCCTCACTCCCTCATTTCCTTCTGTCCTTGCTTGCACGTTTTCTCTTCGTGTGGCAGGGCCGATGGGCTGTCCTTCCGAGTGGATGTTGTCTTTGTTGTGGTCGTACCCACTGATGAGCCCTTCACCACCGGCCTCCGAGTTTACCTGCGAGACATCGTCCCGGCCTTGCCTTCCTCCGACCCAGAGCACCCAGGCGGAGCATGCAAGAACCAGGAGAAGGAGAGGGATAAGGGGAAGGAAAAGGAGAAGGCGAGCAACAAGGATAAGGGGAAGTTGTCAGGCACGGATAAGGAAAAATGCAAGAAGGGAAAGAAGGGGGGCGGGTGCTGCGACGAACCAACGGTTACCATTTCGGAGGCGAATGTATCGCTCATTAGCAGGAATGGTACTTGCGACTACACCTGCCCATCTGTGTTTGTGGTGCACGGTACAAATGAGTGGAACTATGGTGGGTTCACTCCCGAGGTGTGGGCAACGATTGGCGAGTTTAATGCGCTGACGGCACTCATGCAGTATGTGGTAACCGGGGTGAAGGGCCGGCTGGTGAATGCGAGCATGAGGATTGTCTCAATTGACATGCCTAATGGACCTACCGACCTTCTTGAGAGAGTTTGAGCAAGAATGTATGGAGTTACCGGATCAGATCCAGCGTGCATTTTAGTGGACCGTATCAGCCATGAGTGTCGGTTGTTCATGTGGGCATTCCTTCCCGCGCTAGAGCATCCCATGTATACGAGGAAGCGAGTATTGCCAATAAAGGCACCAAGAAAGAAGAGTGAGCGACATGACGTGTCAAACATGTTGCATCATGCTCCTTATGTATACTTGCAAATAAGGCCAGTCTCATTATATGGTGTGTCCTACACCAGGCTATACAGTATGCTATATGAAAAGCACAGCTGCCTCTGTGGTTGTAGTGCTGTATTGGAATTTGGGAGCAAGCATTGTGGAACACTGTTTTTCGATACTGTGTGCGATGTCAAACTATGCTGTCTTCCTATTGCACGCCGAACGAACGACTTGCAAACGTGAACGCTCCCAGCTTCGTACCAAAGTTGTGAAGGGTAGTCACCCGTTGTTTTTTCCTGCAGAAAAAAATTGCCGATATGAGCTTCCTCCGTTTACTGGCTCAGCTCACCTGACGGTTATTATACGTTACTGCAACCCGTTGGAAGAGAAACAATATTTTTCGTCGACAAGACCGTTACACACTCGACTCTGGTTTGAAGGAATGGATTCGGCTGTTTCGGGATTTGGCTGCGGTCAGATTTGTCACGTGATGAAACCTCGATGATGACAAGTTGTGGCTTCTAGCGCGCTGTTGCTCAGCACGCACCCCCTAGGCTCACGTGACGCTAACGACAGTGCGGGACGCGGCCAGGCTTATATACAGTATTCCATGTTCAGCAAAATTCCACCGTTGTGCGAGCTTTTAGGACGTGGGCCCAATCGACTTTGATCGGCTCTGATCGGATCGGGTTGGATCGGATCGAATTGCTTCTGATCGTTTTTCCCGCGCCGCCCGATCAGAGCTGATTTTCCTCGAATATTTTGTGCTCTTGCTTGACAGCCGTCCACTCATTACCTGGTAGTTGCATCCCAACTTTGGCGAGATAAGCGAATTCAAGTATCGTGGTAATGTCGCGAACTTAGCAGTTAGCACAATGTCTTCTCCAGAATCCTCGAACTATCGCGAGAATTTTCGAGACCTCATGGCGAAGCTTGTTACATTTCGCGTACGCGCCCATGTCCCCGATCACATGCAATCAAGTGATCGGGGCTGATTGAGTCTGATCGGGCTGTTTGATGCGATTGATCGAGTAGGCGCGATCAGCTGATTGCGATCAGCTGATTGCCCCCGATTGCCTGAAAATGGCTTCCCGCCTTCCTCGAATTTAATGATCGCTTCTGATCGCGCCGATCAAAGTCGATTGGGCCCACGTCCTTATGTTTGTGTATAAGTTGTGATATCTTTATCGTCAATACCATTGATGAGGCCTGTAAACTAGTGGTTTCTCGGTTTGGCCTCCATTCCATCACCAAAACAGGAGTCGGGACTCGGGCCTTTCCATGACTGTATGAATGGGTAACACGCAGTTGGACCAGAGATTTGAGAGTTGTTTGTAGAATTGAGCGAATCATGAGATATCTGTCCGGAGCAACATCGTGAAAGGACATCCTCACATCTGCACAGTAATTTCGCCGCTAGAGACAGCTCGTGCCGTACCATGTGATGGGCGTGGAAGTTCCACGCCAGGGCAAGACCCGTGACCCATACAGTCTCAGTGTCGAAAATCTCGTGAGTAATGTCCGTCCGATAGAACCGAATCAGCCAATGTGCTCCATCGCAACCGTCGATAGCGCCACCGCCCATTTCTTGCGTTGGTGTTTCCCACCAATCCATCCGCCCACTGGCTCCGTGGCGTCTCCTCTCCGCCCCCGTTTCCGTTTCTGCTGGGGCCACTTTTTCACAGGCACGCGTTTGTGGTTGTGGTGCAGCCTAGGAAGGTGAGGAGCGAGCGGCGCATCACCGCGTGATTCCCCCCAAGGTTCTGGCTCTGGTTCTTCTGTGGTTCGCTCTGTCGGTTGGTGGCGGAAGACGAGGTAAAAAAGCTGGTGGAGTTTGTTGAAAGCTGGCGGTTTTCACTGTCTCCAGTGTTATTTGTGATCATGTCGTTAGGTGTGCTCTTCTTTCAGTGATGCTTTAGAACGCCACGCCTGCATTGACCTGCCGAGGACAAATGACGGTTCGGCTTTTTGACTAATCAATCAAGACCGTCACGAGCACTTAGTAGCGTTCAATACAATCAATCCGGCGTAACTAGCACGCCATTCCGCTTTGTTGGTTAGTTCCTGCCAGAAGCATTTTCCCGCAATTCCGGCCGTTCATCCGTCCACGTGTTCATCTACCTCTACCTGTGCACTAGGGAATTAATCGAGCCGCAAATGGCGGAGATGGATCAGGAAGTGGTGAAGGGGCCTTGGAGCCCAGAAGAAGACGAGAAGCTTAGGGAGTTAATCTCCAAGTACGGACCGCGTAACTGGTCTCTGATAGCCCAAGGACTCAAGGGGCGGTCCGGCAAGAGCTGTCGCTTGCGATGGTGCAACCAACTGAATCCCGAAGTAAGTTTGACGAGATTCTCCCTAATTAGTGTCGGACGCAACTTCGGCCGAACACCAAGAGCGATGCCCCTATTGAATGCCTTCCGTGCATGCTCTTAGCTAATACCCTTAGGATCTCGGAGGTCATACGTGCTTCTAGGGTTGCCGTCTACGGTCGGCAGTCGCGGCTATTCCTGCGTCCTACATCTACATCCTACATTCAGCAAGCCGAGGAATCGTCCAGTGGAGTATGAGGAGATTTAGGGCAGAGACCGTCATTCTCGGTAGCGCAGAAAGTTAGGCTCGAGGGGTAGGAAAATCGAGGAGAACGAAAAGGTGGGTGCGATGTCATGTCGGCGCGAAGAGGACGAACGAGACGAAGAGACGAACTGGGCGAACGGCTAATGCAATCCCGCACTTCGTTCTTTGGCATTCTTATTTCAAGTGGTAGATTTCTTACCACTGACCTTTCCGAAACGACGCTCTTGCGAAATCTGTAAAGCCCAACACGAGAGATAGAGAGAGCTATTTGTTGATCCGCTCCTCCTCATCGCACCTGTGCCGACCTTCCGATGCGTGACACGTGGCAGGTGAACAAGGATCCGTTCACGGAGGAGGAGGATCGCATCATCGTGATGGGCCACGCGGAGCACGGCAGCAAGTGGTCCATCATCGCTAAGAGCCTCCCCGGTCGCACGGATAATGCCATCAAGGTACGACGATGGTCGGCTCCTACCTACTCGTGCGCACATTTCCCCCCCCCCTCCCCTCCCCCCCTCCTCCCCTCAACCCCTCCTCTTTTCCTTTCCCGGTCTGTTGCGTGAATGTTAGATAGAGCTAAAGTGTTTTTCTTCTCTCTCTCTTTCTCTTCGCGATGGCTGGTACGCGGTGATGGCAGAACCACTGGAACTCCACGCTCAAGCGCAAGTACCCCGCCATTCTCGCCGACATCATCAGCCGACGCGTGAGTATTCTTCCTCCTCCGTGGACCGCGCCGCGCCCTGTCGACCGATTTCAAACCCATGCCCCGTTTCACAAAAATTGACCGTGGTGTTTCTCCCCTCCATTTTTCCTCCGCCGCTCCCTTTCCCCGTCCCGCGCCGTTTTCCTTTCCCTACCTCCTGTTAATCCCCTTCCCCCCCATTCCCTTCCCCCCCGTCCCCTCTGTCTCCCCCCATTCTCTGCGTGCGCAGACCTCCCGCCTGCTTGACTCTCCGCGCGACAGCATCAGCGGAAACAGCAGCGCGGGTCCCGCGTCCCCCGCGTACGCCGCCATGTACCGCTCCGCGTTCCCCGACAGCCCCACATTCTCGCCCGGGAGCGGCGCCGGCACACCCGGGAGCGGGCGATACGATTCCGGCCGGTTAGAGCATGTGAGTAACCCGCTTCTTGCTGCAATTCGCGCGTCCCTCGTCGCAGCTTCTCGCGAGCGTCGCAAGTGTCGCTTCTCGGTTCCTGCGGAAGCCTTTCGTAAATTTGAACGACTGAGCTTGTTTTCCTCATGCCCCTCTTTCCCCTTCTCCCCTCCTTTGCCCCCCGGCGCGACTCTTCCTCCGCTCCGCCGCTCCGCCTGTTCCAGATCCGCGCGCTCACCGATGTGCTCCGCCGCCTCGCGACCACCTCCGCCGCCGCCTCCACTTGCTCTTCCCCCAGCGGCCTGCACTCCGGCGTCCCCTCCCCCCATCCGCTCTCGCAGCCCTTCTCTCCCCACGGCCTCTCCGCCAGCAGCGGCGCGCCTTCCCCCGGCTCCGCGCAGCCCTTCCCCTTCGCCGCTGGTGCCGGCGCAGGCGCAGTCGGAGGTTTTGGTTCCGCCATGACGGGGATCGGCGGAAGCGGAAGCGGAGGCGGAGGGGATGACCTGCTCGACTTGCGCCAGCAAACCGCGAAGCGCCTGCGCCTGGCCGCCGCGTATTCCGGGATTCCGTTCTCCGAACTCCCTTCCCCGCAAGAGGTTCTCGCTTTCCCCAAGAGCGCAAGCCTGGGGGAGCCCTCCGCGCCCTCTCCGCCCGTAGTCTCCCCCCTCTTCCCGCGCTTCCTCTCCTCCGCCGGCGGTGCTGGCGCAGGCGGGAGCGGCGCAGCTTTCGGCGGAGATAACGCGCTGGCGGCACTTGCAGCGGGGGCAGGGGGGTTGGGTATGGGTGGCGGCACAGGCGCAGACCCCAGCGGGTTCGGGGGAATGGGCGCGGGCGCGGGCGCCGGGGTGGGATCTTCCCCCCTTGGCTCCCCGAACAACATGTTCCGCGCAGGACTCGGTGGTGGCGCCACCGCGAAAACGCCACCGTTCTCCGCCTTCCACCACCGCTCTCTCCTCCGCTCCTCCTCCTCCCCCGTAGAGCGCGCCCCCCTCACCGGCCTCTTTCCCTCCGGCCTGGGAACCCCGAGCCTAGGAGGTTCCACCTTGGGATTGTCGGTCTTGGGGGGAGGAGGCGGCGCAGGGGGAGGCATGGGGCAAATGGACGGCGGAGCTGGCGGCGGCGCTAGCAGCAGCAGGCCCAAAGGGCCGTCGATTCTGGGCCGGCGAAATCTGACCATTGATCTGTCGGTGCTGGAGCAGCAGCAGCCGTCGTCCGCTAATGCCACACCACAAGGCACGCGCGGCTTGCCTGCCTCCGCAACCGCCGCCGCCGCCGCCGCCGGTGCTGGTGGTGACGTGTCCGCTGGTTCCTCCGGCGGTGGTGGTGCTGTGGCTGGTGGTGGCGGGTTTGCTGGTCCCGTGGGAATGGACGAAGGCGCTCATCTGTCCCTAAGTCAGCAGATTCACAACCAAGGGTCGCCTTTTGATGCTGCCACCCTCCAGCAGGCGCAGCAGCAGCAGCAGGCGCAGTTCGCAGGGCTGGAATCGACTCAGAAACGGTCGAGGTTCGCCATGGCAGCTGGAGCAGGAGCAGGAGCAGCACGGGGATTGGGGGACACGGAGAGCGCGTCTATGTCGAGTGGCGGACTGGCGGAGCGACCAGGGTCGCGCATGGAAGAGGACAGCGCGGAGTACCAGCAGCAGCAGAGGCAGCTGCAGCAGCCGTGGCAGCAGGGGCAGGAGCAGGTGGAGCAGCGGGAGCGGCAGGGGGGAGGAGAAGAAGAGGGCAAGGAGGCGATGCAAGGCGAGCAGGGAGAGTCGCAGGAAGGGCTGCAAGCGCTGCAGGCGCTGCTGGCCGCGCAGCAGAGCGCCGCTGGGGGCAGCCAGCTGCATGCTCTGCGGCAGCTTCTCCAGCAGCAGCTGATGCAGCAGCAGGGCATCCAGATGAGGCAGCAGACGTTCCAGCAGCAGCAGCAGCAGCAGCAGCAGCAGCAGCAGCAGCAGCAGCAGTTTATGCAGCAGCAACAACAGGAGCAGCAGCAGCAGCAGCAGCAGCAGTTTCAGCAACAGCAGCAGCTGCATCAGTTTCAGCAGCAGCTGCATCAGTTTCAGCAGCAGCAACATGAGCAGCAGCAGCAGGAGCATGCTGTTCCTGGTGGGGGGGGAGTTGGGGGGGAAGGAGCGCAGCAGCTGAATGAGCTGGTGGCAGCAGGAGGCTCATCCTCCCTGCTTAGCTTCCTAGCATCTGATTGGCCACAGCTGAAGGAAGCTGTATCTACAGGGGCTCGGGCTTTAAATGTTTCAAATGTCCCACCCACGAGCGAGTGAAGTATGTGAGTGAGGGGCTGTGCAGGGAGGACATGGAGGTTGGAGGCATTGCGTCATTTATGGTATGATACATTGTGCAAGAAGGGGGAGAAGCTAATGAACTGCTATTGGTCACCCCAGCCAGCTTGTTCTGGTTGGTGATTATGATATCTACTAGTTGCTGCGAGAGGTTAGAATCCCTTATTTAACAGCTATTGATTTACGAGATGCATTGTACAGATCTCTTTGGCTCCTCTGTGTGGGCCTTCTGTAAATTACTTGATAATGTTTTGTTCTTAGCTTATTCGAAATTGATGTCGGGACTGGCGAATTAGTTCTGAATATCCATTGCCGTGGACCGCAACAAACGGATCGTACTGTGGCGAGTATACCCTCGCCAGCACTGTCATCGTGAATTCGCGTTTGCTGCCACATGGCATCCAGTCCATCCTGTACAATCCCGTGCCTCATCCCGCCGAGCAACATCCTTCTGTCCATTTCCATCCTCGTTTTCCGAGAACCTCACACGATCACACCCGCTCGCCAGCGCGGCCGACAGAGCCCATCCAATCCAACCCCGAAACCTTCAGGCCAAGCACCTTGCGTGTCCTTTCAGGCCGAGGCAGGATGTGGCAGCAACGGAAAAGTCACCACCATCATGACCCGTTTTTTTCACCAGTTGCCCAAAAAATCTGCTCTGCTAAGTCGTTTCCCGATGTTGCCCTGCGGTTAGTTTCAACCAATAAGAGCACTTGAAACCATGGTTACCCTAATTCTGTTTGTGAGCGTTTCCTTTTTGTCGCCTGCGGAGCCCATGACAGCCATGGCATGACTTGTGGCTTGCCTCTTCCATTCTCCCTCTCCCTTAGCTCAGACTCATTTGTATACACCACCAAGCACTATCCGCCATGGTTCTGTTCCACTAGGCATCCATATTCGTTTTCTCTTTATGTCGCAAGGTGTCGATCCAGTCTCCGCTTGACGCTGTGTCCATCACAGTAAGCTGAAGGTTGAGCCGCAGTCCGCATTCCGCGTCGACTTCGCTGGACCCCTCACAAGCAAATTTTACGGAAATGCGTTCATGGTAGCTTCTTCCCTTGCCTTGTCTCAGCCCTAACATTGCAATGGCTCCGCGAAAAGGCAAGAAGGGGCGATCCGGCAAGTCCGGCAACAACCACGGCAACGCTAGCAACATCAATTCCAACATCAGCAAGCAGCAAGTAAAAAGCGGGTCCAACACGCCGGACCCGCAGTTACCCGCGGAAACCTCGCCAAATCTGGCGGGAGGGTTGGACCAGTCGCTAGAAACCCCGCAGCTGTATGCTCATGGTCCATCTCTCGCCAAGGTTGCAAGCAAAAAGGCCGTTGACCCTGTGCGATCCGGCGACAACTGCTCGTCGCACGGATCATCGTCAGGCCAGTTAAGGCCTGCGAACCAATCAGGGCTTTCAACGCAGTCAGAGATTTCAACGCAGTCTGGGCTTTCAGCTCAGTCAGGCTTTTCAAGCCACTCAGTCTCGTTAGGTCAATCAGGCAGTCAGTCAGAGCCTTCGGGCCCTTCAGGCAATTATTCCAGTCCGTCGGGGAGCCATGGCACGGGGAAAAATTCCATCGCTCCTGTAGTAGCACCAACAGTAGCGGATCGCGTCCCCGTTACAGGACATGTGCATGAAGCTTCGATAGTAGCAGCGGCCGTGGAGGATGCGGAAAGGGCTAGAGCGGAGGATGCGGCGGACAGAGCGAGTCACCGCAACAAGCGCAAGTTCCGCCTCGACGCGCCGTCCGCTTCCGCGCAGGGAAGCCCGCCGGCCGCTGCGCCGTTAGCGTGTCCGCCGATGGCGGAGACGGACGGCGGTCATGCGCGCCAGGATGTAACGCAGGTCGGATCGCAGGTGAAATCTCAGGTGGGATCGCAGGTGGGAGCGCGAAGCGGTCAGGGGTTAGCGGGGTCGGGGGAGAGTGACTTGGGGAAGCTTCAGAAGCAGCAGCTGAGGCTTGCGACGAGCACGCAGCAGCAGTCGCAGTCGCAGTCGCAGTCGCAGTCGCAGTCGCAGGCGCAAGGTTCGGCGGCTGCGCGCATGGCGCGGATGCAGATGACTTTCCGCGAGACCGCGGAAGCGGGGTCGTACGGTGCAGGGGTAGCTTCGGGTAACCGGGTTATCATGCGGGGGGATGGTCTTCGCCGTTGGGGGTCGCAGGGGGAGGAAGGTCTGCGCGGATTCGAAGACGAGGGGGGTTTGGTGTCTTGTACCGAAGATGCTTGTGACGGGTCGTGCGTGGGTGGCATTATCCACGTGGAGGATGAGTATTATGACGAGGACGGGGATTACGATGACGGTGATGACGTGGACACTGTGGATGCGCAGGAGGATTACGACGATGACGATGACGTGGATATAGCGGATGATGACATGGAGAGCGAGTTTGATGACGCGGATGACGTGGGAGGGGAGAGCGATCTGGCGCAGGTTGATCCGCGTTATGAGCATCAACAGTCGCAACAGCTCCAGCAGCAACGGGAGCATCAGCAGCAACAGCATTATCAGCAGCAGCAACAACAGCAACAGCAGCAGCAGCAGCAGCAGCAGTACCAGCAGCAGTATCAACAGCAGCAGTATCATCATCAGCAGCAACTCCAGCAGCAACAAGGGGCGCAGCAGCAGAGCTATTATGACCCGCAAACCGCAGTTACTGTCTCTGTTGCTGCACAGGATGCTGCTGCTACTGCTGCCCACGTTGCCGATTCGGAGTCTCCTGAAAATTACATTTGGGATGATGCAACCGAATTCCGCTTAGAGGAGCTTCTCTTAGAGAAACTCGATTCGCTCCATAGCGAAGCGGTGGTCAAGGTCGCTAGCTTCGGCTACACCGAAGAAGCGGCTCGGCAGGCTGTCGACAGGTTCGGCAGCTGCTTCGGCGAGAAGGACGCCCTGACCAACATCGTCTCCAATGCTCTCCTCTTCGGCAGAGGCCCGGAAATCGCAGCCATGGCCGCAGGCAGGTCCGGGAAAGGCTCGGGGAGCAGAACCCACACCTCCAGCTTCGGCACTGGCAGCAGCTTCGGAACGCGCCATGCCTCCGGGTCAGGCTTGGGGCAGGGCACGGGGGGGAGTCCGAGCCTGGGGTTTTCGACTCGGAGGGAGCTGCAGCAGGATGGGGTGTCGCGTATGCTGTGTGCGCTGCAGGCTGTGTGGGGGCCGCAGATGAGCCGTGGCGATGCCATGTGGTGCTTGCTCATGAGTGATTTGGACCTTAGAAAGGCGTGTGAGCTTGATCTGCAGCCGCCCCCGCGCATGGCTTCCGCCCCGCCTGTTGTTTCTCCCGCCGCTGCTCCCGCTCCTGCTGCTCCCGCTGCCGCTGCTGCTCCTGCTCCTGCTGCTCCTGCTGCTGCTGCTGCTGTTGCTGCTGCTGCTCCTGCTGCTGCTGCTGCTGTTGCTGCTGCTGCTCCTGCTGCTGCTGCTGCTGTTGCTGCTGCTGTCGCCCCTGCTTCTTCTGCTGTGGCTGCGCCTGCGCCTGGCAGTGCGGGCGGGGGAGGGGGCGCAGGGGCACTTGGACAAGGGGTGGGAAAAGCAAAAGCAGGAGGGCGGGGTGGGGAAATTAAGGAAGGAGGGATTGCTGCTGGTGGTGCTGGCGGTGCTGCTGCTGGCGGTGCTGGTGGTGTTGTAGCCGCACCAGCACCAACAGCAGCAGCAGGAGGAGGTGGCGAAACAGTAGCAGCAGCGCCAGCAGGAGCAGGAGGAGGAGGACTAATAACAGCAGCGGCAGCAGGGGCCGCGGCAGGTGCATCCGCGGGTGAAGCGGCGCACATGCCGTTTGCACCGTTGAGTGGCGCTCCATCAAAGCCTCTTTCGTCCTCTCGTGGCAAGCAGCTGCTGCGTGCCTCGCTGTCGTCACACCCACCGCCCTCTAGTGCTGTTGCTGCTGCTGTTGCTTCTACTGCTGCTGCTGCTGCTGCTGCTGCTGTTGCTGCTGCTGCTGCTCCTGCTGTTGCTGCTGCTGCTGCTGTTGCTGCTGCTCCTACTGCTGTTGATGCTCCTACTGCTGTTGATGCGTCCGCTGCCGCTACCGCAGCTGCCTCTACCGCTGCCTCTGCATGCACTGTTTCTGTCACTCCACCCAATGCGCCTGCTGCAGCTGCAGGCAATATTGCGGCTACAAGCGTATCTGCGACAGCTGCGTCTGGCGCAGGTTCCGGTGCAGGTGCATCTGGTGCAGGTGTATCTGGTGCAGGTGCGTCTGGTGCAGGTTCCGGTGCAGGTGCATCTGGTGCAGATGCGTCTGGTGCAGGTGCATCTGGTGCAGGTGCGTCTGGTGCAGGTGCATCTGGTGCAGGTGCATCTACGACAACTGTTCCTGTGGCAGGCGCAGATGTAGGCAAGCAGGCGGGGAAAGGAGGAGGGAAGCGGAAAGGAGCCAAGAAGAGCAAAGGAGGAAAGGGCGGAGGGGCAGGAGCAGCAGCCTCAGGAGCAGGAGGGGGAGGAGGAGGAGGAGGAGGAGGAAGAGGAGGAGCAACAGGAGCAGGGGGATCAGGAGGGGCAGTTGCAGGAGGCGGGGCAGGGGCAGCAGCTGGGGATGCAGGAAGCGGCAGCAGTGCTAACAGCGGTGCTACTGCCGCTAAGCCATTCGACGAGGAGCATGAGCGGTGGGTGCTACGGCAGTCAGAGGCGTTCCGGCGGCTGCACGAGCAGCAGCAGCAGTACCAGGCGACGCTGGAGCAGATGCAGCAGTACGTGCAGGGCAACCCCGAGGACCTGCAGCTGCTGCAGCAGATGAAGATGCTGCCCAGCCTGCTCGCGCAGTCGCAGCACGACACGCAGCAGCTGCTGCAGCGCCAGGCGAGGCACGTGCTGGGGCAGCAAGGGGCACAGCAGGGTGGGCAGAAGCAGCAGCCGTTGCAGGCGCTGCCGCAGCAAGAGCAGCACCAGCAGCAGCCGTTTTGGCAGCAGCCGTTGCAGCTGCCGCTGCAGCAGCAGCTGCTCCAGCAGTCGCTGTCACAACAGTCCCAGCCCCAGTCACAGCAATCACAGTCGCAGGCACAGACACAGCAATCGGGCACTCAGAAACCCCAGCGCATCTCAGACGAGGAGCTACAGAAGCACGTAGCGGAAATCATGCAGCAGAAGAAAGCCATGGAGCAGCACATGAACCCGCACCAGTTGCACCTGCTTGAATCCCTCAACTCCCTCCGCACCTCCACCACGCCCGAGCAGCATCCGCAGCAGCTGCAGCAGCGCATCGAGCAGTACCACATGCAGCAGCAGCATTCGCTGCAGCAGCAGCTGCTGCTCCAGCACCAGCAGCACCAGCAGCAGCAGCAGAGCCTCGCGCACGCGTCGTCGCGGCGGCGCCGGCGCCGGCAGCAGCTGGTGCAGCAGCAGCAGGCGCAGCGGGAGCAGGCGGGGAAGGAGCAGGCGGAGAGGGAGACGCAGCAGCATGTGAAGAGTCAGCTGGATAGAGCGATGGTGGTGCTGCAGCAGCAGCAGGAGCAGCTGCACTTTGTGCTCCAGCAGATGCTCATTCGCCACCAGGAGGCTGCTGCTGCCGCCGCCGCTGCTTCTGATTCGGCTGCTGCTGATTCTGCTGCTGCGGGCAAGGGCGATTCTGATGGTGCTGGGAGCGGGGCTGATGGGGATGCAGGGAAAGGCGCTGCTGATGGTGCCGAAGGAAAAGATGACGCTTCAACTGCCTCTGGCGGAGCAGCAGGAAGTGCTGCTGCTGTTGCTGGTGGTGCAGCAGGAAACGGTGGTGCAGAGGCTGCTGCAGCAGGAGGTGGGGGAGAAGGGAAGCCGGGCACACAGGCAGGGGGGTCCTCATGCCCTGCAGGAGAATCTTCAGCAGCAGCAGCAGCGGTAGGGGCAGGAGTAGGAGCAGGAGCTAGGAAGTCAGGAAAAGGATTAGAAGTAGCACCACCAACTGCCATCGAAGCTACAACAGCAGGCACATCACCAGCAGCAGCAGTAGCAGCAGCAACAGCATCAGGGTCACCAGGCTCCTCCTTCTCTGCACCCTCTCCCCTCACTACCGCTACTGCTACTGTCACCACCACCGCCGCCACTGCTACTGCGATTGCTGCCTCACCCTCCTCCACCTATCCTCCCGCACAGGCCTCCTCTCATTCCCCCACCTCTGCCCCCACAGACAGTAACGTCCCACCAGCACTAGCCCCAGACCAGCACACACCCGCCCCGCTCCAGTCCGAACCGGAAACCCATCCCAACACCTCAGCACCTATACAGGCTGCTCTGGAGGCTGGCAACCCATCGCCAGCACAGATCGCTGTCGAAGGAAACAGCTTAACTCCCGCTTTGGAAAAGGCCAGCCAAGAGACGGTTTCAAAAGCATCAGCGGAAGAGCCTTTGGAGGAGCCTTCAACAGGAGCTCACTTAGAGTCTGCTCTTGTGTCAACTCAAAAGCTTTCAACAAGAGCCCACCCAGACTGCGAATCCAGAGAGTGTGGTGATGATGGCGTGGTGGATACCATTGAACTGGCATCACACAGCGAGGCAGCAAGTTCCACGTCAGCGGAGCCACCGGGTGCCACGTCAGCAGAGACGTCAAATGCTGCGTCCGCCGAGGCACCGAGTGCCACGTCAGCGCAGGCGGAGCAGAACTCGACTGCGTTCTCCATGGCGCTGCAGAACGTGTTCGCTGGAGCCATGCTCAAATCCATTGCCAACACCACTGGTAACTACTCACCCAACCCCTTCCCCTCCTCCCCACCTTCTCCGAGGTGACTTCTGAGTTGACTTCCGAGGTGACTTCTGAGTTGACTTTCGAACTTCTGAGTTGACTTTCGAACTTCTGAGTTGACTTTCGAACTTCTGAGTTGACTTCCGAACTTCTGAGTTGACTTCCTAACTTCTGAGTTGACTCAGAAGACACCTTGTCCTTTTCCTCCAAAATGCGCCCCCCCTCCCCAGGTCTGTTCGGAGGCATCAACCCACTCATCCTCTCCACCGTCTCCCACCCCCCTCCTCATGTGCCTTCCCGTTTCCATCTTCCCTCCCCCCTCCGCTCCCCCTCTCCAGGTCTGTTCGGAGGCATCAACCCGCTCACTCTCTCTACCTCTCCCACCGTCTCCCACATCGTCGTTCTCCCCCCCAAATGCGCCCGCCCTCTCAGGTCTGTTCGGAGGCATCAACCCGCTCACGCTCTCCTTCGTCTCGCACCTCGTGCTCCGAGACAGCAACTGCAGGCCCGATCAACTCGTTCTTATCTAAGGCCCTCAACCCTTCCTTCGATCTCTTCCCCCCGCCCGTCTCCCCCCCACCCAGGTCTGTTCGGAGGCATGAACCCGCTCACCCTCTCCTCCGTCTCGCACCTCGTGCTCCGAGACAGCAACTGCAGGCCCGGTCAACCCGGTCAATCCAGTCCACCCAGTCCACCCGGTCAACCCAGTCAACCCTGTCAACCCGGTCAACCCGGTCAACCCGGTCAACCCGGTCAACCCAGTCAACCCGGTCAACCCAGTCAACCCGGTGAGGTTAGTCCGATGGCCTGGGTGCATTCGTTGAGGAGACAGTTGGATGAGGAGAAAGAGCGGCTGAGGAGGAGTGAAGGGGAAGGGGAGAGTGGGAGAGTGAAGGATGGGTGTGGCAACGACTCTGCGCTGCTTCCCGGCTTAGATGGCGATGGCGATGGCGATGGTGACGATGCTAGTGCTGATGCTCGTGATGATGATGGCGGTGGCGGTGCTGGTGCTGGTGCTGGTGATGGTGCTGGTGGTCGTGACGGTGCTACTGATCGTTCTGCTGTGACTGCTGGTGCTGCAGGTGGGGAAGCAGGTGGGGACGATGAATGGCAGGTGGGGGGAGGTGAGGGAGAGAGAGTGCGTGAAGTTTCAGGAGGGGAAGAGGGGAGAAGTAGAGAGGAGAAGGCGGGATGTGAGGGTCAGTCTTGCCTCAGAGGGGATAGCAGCACCGGCAGCAGCATGAGTAGCAGCATCGACAACAACAGCAACAGTAACAGCACCAGCATCAGTAGCAGCAGTAGCAACAACAACAGTAGCAGCAGCAATATCAGCACCACCAGTAGCAGAAATAATAGGGATGTGCTTAGGGACGAGTCTGGATGTGACTCAAACGAGGGACAAAAGCAGCAGCAGCAGCAGCAGCAGCAGCAGCAGGTGGCTACAACAATCACACCTGTCCAGTCCAACCCTCCTACCACTGCACCTTCTCCTTCTTCCTCCGCCGCTCCCGCTGCTCCCGCCTCTGCATCTCTGACCTCCATGTTCCCCCTCTCTCTTCCTGGCTTCCTGCCCTCCCCTGCTGTCCGCCTCTACTCCTCCTCCTCCACTTCCGCCCCCACAAACATCCCCCCCACCACCAACGCCGCCACCGCCACCGCCCCCACCAGCACTGCCCCCACCCCTGCTGTTGCTGCCACTTCTGCCTCTGTTGAATCTACTGCTGCTACTGCTGCCACCAACGTCACTGCCACCAGCAACACCACGACCACTACCAGCAGCAGCAGCAGCAGCAGCAACAGCAGCATTGCTACCACGCCTGGTGCTCCTGTGCCTCTGGCATCTCCCTCCGCTTCCCCTCCCGTCCCCTCCCCATCCACCCTCAATCCCTCCGGCAAGTCAAAGCAGAAGGTGCTGGGAAGCATCGTTGCTTGCAGCAACGCCCCTGCCTCTGCTACAGCTGCTGCTGCAGCTGCTGCTGCTGCTGTTGGGCTGCCCTCGCTGCCCGGTGCAGCAGGAGCGGCGGTGGCAGCTGCAACTGCTGGAATCGCCACTGCCTCTGCTTCTGCTGCCGCTGCTTCTGGGGCTGCTGTAGCGGATGGTGCTGGAGCAGAGAATGGTGTGAGTGGTGCGAATGGTGCAAGTAGTGTGAATGGTGCAAGTGTTGCAACAGCAGGAAGCGTTACCAGCGTTGCTGCAGCTCCCATGTCAGCATCTGCACCCTTCTCCTTCTCCTCCCCTGCTTACCCCCACGCCCACCCCCCACCTTACACCCACCCGCAACCTCCCCCTCCTGCCTTGGCCCAAACCTCAGTTACCTCCCAAGCCACCTGGCCAGGCTCGGCAACTTCCACTCCGCAGACCGTGTTTCCGGACCTGCTTGTGCAGCCAGGTTCGGCAGGCGGGGAAGGGGTGGGCGTGGGACGAGTGGGAGGCAGCGTAGGGGCAGGGCTGGGAGGGGGAGGGGGGAGTGAGGTGGGGGGAGTAAGGGGGAGGAGAAGGCGGTTGGTGGTAGCACAGAGGAGGCGAGGGGAAGCGGGTACTGGGGAGGAGATGGGGGGGACAGGGGGAGCAGGAGGGGCAGTGTTAGCAGCGAGTGCAGGGAAGGCAGGAGTTGCAGGGGCAGGTGGGGCAGCACGAGAGGCAGCAGGAGGGGGAGAGGGCCAGGAGAATCGTAGTTTGGTGCACACAGGGATGGGTGGAGGCGCGGCCTATGCTGATGGTACTGCAGGCTGCAGTGGTGGCTGTGCTTCCGCTGCTGCCCTACCCAACCGTACTGTAGCAGCCAGTGTTCCATCCAACTGCGCTGCTGTAGCTGGTACTGCAGGTACTGCTGTAGCGGGTAGTGCTGTAGCAGGGACCGCTATGGCAGGTTCTCCTGCCGTCTCAGCAGCTGCAGGAGCAAGTGCCAGTGCAGGGAGCCAGCACGCTCTGTTGAATTCACCTGCTCTGTTGAATTCTCCTGGCGTGGCGGCGCCGTTTGACCCGCTTCAGTCGCAGCAGGGCGCGCCAGGTGGTGTGCTAGCTGGTGCGCAGGCAGGCAGGGTGACAGAGAGAGCATGTGTGGCGGGGACTGCTGGGTCTGCTGCTGGGGTCACCACTGGTGTCACAAGCAGCGGCGGTGTGGCGAGCAGTGGTGGTATGACAAGCAATGGTGTAACGAGCAGTGGTGGAACAAGCGGTGCGCCAAGCGGCAAAACTACCAGTACCACCAGCATCATAAAGGCTGGGTTACCAGCAGTTTCAGCAGTTTCAGCAGCAGCAACAGCAGCAGCAACAGCAGCAGCAGCGGCAGCAGCAGCAGTGGCAGCGGGAGCAGGGGGGAAGGGAGTGGAGAGTGCGGAGGGGGTGATGGAGCGGCTGGAGCAGCTGCATGCCACGCATGGCGCCGTGCTGAAGCAGTGCGTGCACCTGGAGAGACGTGTTGAGGAACTCGAAGGACAGGTGGGTGCAGAGCGGTATGTGCAGGTAGGGAAGGACTGGGGGGCTGGGGTGCTGGAGCAGCTGCATGCCACGCATGGCGCCGTGCTGAAGCAGTGCGTTCACCTGGAGAGACGCGTGGAGGAGCTCGAAGGACAGGTGGGTGCAGAGTGGTACGCGCAGGTAGGGAAGGGTTGGGGACAAGGGGTTGAGGAAATGGGTTGGCCGTGCTGAAGCAGTGCGTGCACCTTGAGAGGCGCGTTGAGGAGCTCGAAGGACAGGTGGGTGCAGAGCGGTATGCGCAGGTGGGGAAGGAGTGTTGAGGAATGCATACCACCACACCACCCATGGCGCCGTGCTCAAGCAGTGCGTGCACCTGGGGAGTGCGTGCAGAGTGGTATGTGCCTGTACGAATTGTTTTCCACCCTCCTCTCCCCTTGCATCCGCCCTCCCATCCCCACTCCAGGTGGACCAGAGGCGGGAGCAGCACACAGCATGGCTGGAGGCGAGGGTGAGAGAGCTGGAGGCTCTGAGTCGACCCGCAACCCACACTACCATCCTCCCCCTTCCCCTCCCCTTGCATCCGCCCCTCTCACCCCCCCTTGCCAGGTGGATGAGCGGAAGGAGCAGCACACGGCATGGCCGGAGGCGAGGGTGCGAGAGCTGGGGGCTTTGAGTCGACCCGCAACCCGCACTACCATTCTCCGGTCTCCCACTTTGGATTTTTCACCCTCCTTACACCCCAGGTGGACGAGCGGAAGGAGCAGCACACGGCATGGCTGGAGGCGAAGGTGAGAGAGCTGGAGGCGGCTGTGGAGGACAGCAAGCACTGGGCGCAGCAACGGGTGAGTGGGTGAATGGAGAAGAAGAGAGATAAGGGAAGCAGGTTGAAAGGGTGAAAGGTTGACTGGATGAGACGAAAGAAGGCAAGCAGGGAGCTGGAGGCAGCAGTGGACTGGGCACGAAGAGGTGTTTTGGAGGGGTGGCAGGGGGAAAGATGAGGGGTTGAGGGGGGGGGGGGGAAGGAGAAGGCGGAGCACGCGCACATGGAGCGGATTTAACTGGAGAGAAGGAGAGTGAAAGCAAGCAGCAGAGCTTGAAAAGCAGCAGTGTGAGGCATGCCGTATTGTGGGAAAGTGCGGGCCTGGGAAGAAAGAGGAGATCTGCTTGAATACTTTTTACTCTTTCCGTCCTCCTTTCTCCACCCGTCCTTCCCCTTTCCCCCAGGTGATGCAAGTGGCACAGAAGTTGGTGAGGGAGAGCAAGGAGCTGCGGCAGCTGAGGGCGGAGCGCGAGGAGTGGGTGCGCAGCCGGCGCGAGCACGACGGCAAGGAGGAGAGCTCTCTTCCCTCGCCCCCTTCCCTCCCGGTCACGTTTCCCCTTGTACCTACCCCGTCCTCCTCCTTCCGCCTCCGCCGTTCTGTTTTCCTCTCTGTTCCCCACTCCTTCCCCCCATCCTCTCCCCCAGGTGATGCAAGTAGCACAGAAGCTGGTGAGGGAGAGCAAGGAGCTGCGGCAGCTGAGGGCGGAGCGCGAGGAGTGGGTGCGCAGCCGGCGCGAGCACGACGGCAAGGAGGAGAGCGCCGCGCGCCAGCTGGGCGAGATGGAGGCGGCCCTCCGGAAGGCGTCGGGACAGGTTGACCGGGCTAATGCTGCCGTTTGTCGTCTGGAAGCAGAGAACGCTGAGGTAAATGGGTTTCGAGTGCAGGGTGTAGGGCTTTGGGGGTGTGGCAAGGCAGCTGGGCGAGATGGAGGCGGCTCTCAGGAAGGCGTCGGGGCAGCTGGACCGAGCTAATGCAGCCGTCTGTCGTTTGGAGGCGGAGAATGCAGAGGTATGTTGGAGGGTCAGAGTTTGGGGTTTAGGGTGTGTGTGTTGGAGGAGAGCGACGCGCGCCAGCTGGGCGAGATGGAGGCGGCCCTTAGGAAGGCGTCGGTCGGGTCAGGTCGACCGCGCCAACGCTGCTGTTTGTCGTTTGGAGGCGGAGAACGCTGAGGTGGGTGGAGGGTGCAGAGTTAATGTGAGTCATAGGTGAGCTGTCATAAAAGCTGATCTGATAGTCATGGATTCACCTCTCCCCTGACCTCTACCTTTGGGTTCACTATTATGAATTCTCAAAAAACTACTTCTTCCCTTCTTCTGCGTCCTACTTCCTCTCCTTTTCATCTGAGAGCGGTGCTGCAGGCGAGGCGAGTGGCAAGCTGCTGCCATTTGCGCTGGCTGCTGTGCACTCACTTCTCGTCCAACCCAATCAGTGTGTCATGTTATCTTCCCCCGTGCCTCCCTGGTGCCGCCCTTGGACCTTTACCCTGTCCTTCTCCTTTTCAGCTGAGAGCGGAGCTGCAGGCGGCGGGGTTGAGGGTGAGCGAGGCGAGTGGCAAGCTGCTGCCATCTAAGCTGTTTGCTCACCCCCCACCCCCCTCACCTCTCGTCGACCCCCCTCCCCCCCTGTGCCTTCCTGGTCCCTTTTTCCTGTATTCCTCAGCTGAGAGCGGAGCTGCAGGCAGCAGGGCTGAGGGTGAGCGAGGCGAGTGCAAAGCTGGCAGAGGCGGGCAAGCGGGAGGGCAAGTCGCTGAAGAGGGTGCAGGCGATCGAGAGGGTCAAGGCGAAGCTGCAGGTGGGTGTTGTGGCCGAATGTTGTTGTTCCTGAGAACTCTCAAAATTGCCCGCCAGCTTGCATTTGCTTTGTCAGACCACCCGACCTTGCAACCACCAAATCAGCCCTCTGGTTCACAACAATCACCCAACCTAGCAGGCGCAGGCAGCGTAGGAGCAGAGAGAGAAGGCACTACATGTTGGCTGAGTCAGTTTACAGGAATTCTCACAAGCCAACTGATTCCCTTGTTCCACATGCCCCCCTCGCACGTCTTGTCCCCACAGGAGGAACTGTCCGATGAACGGCGCAAGCTGGCGACTGCTCTCTCCGATCTCGACGCGACACGGCGGCAGCAGCAGCAGGCAGAGCAGCGGTGGCGGCAGGAGGAAAAAGCACGTGAAGAAGCAACCGCTCGCGCTGACGCCGAGTGCCGAGCACGCGAGCAGGCAGAGACAGCGTGGAAGCAGCGCGAGGAGACGCTCCGAGCCAAGAGCGAGGCGGATGTGAAGAGGGTGCGCGGCGAGGTGGCGAGACTAGAGCGAGAGGTGGTGCAGCTGAGAATCATGGCTGGGGCCAGCCTGTGGGGGGGGAGCGGTGGTGGTGTTGGCGGGGGTGGGGGTGCGGGGGGGGGAGGAGTTGGGTGTGTGGGTGCCGGTGGGTCGAGAGGCGGCGGTGTGGGTTTGTTAGGGAGTGGCGCTTCTGGTGGTGGTGGTGGGGGGAGTGGGAGTGGAGGTGGGAGTAGCAGTGTGGCTGCGAGTGTGGTGGCGGCTGCGAGCGCGCAGGCGCTGAGAGAAGCGAATGCACGGGGCGTCCTCTTTGACTTCCCCCTGGGGACTCCTGCACTGAATCCTGCTGCTGCTGCTGCTGCTCCTGCTGGCGCTTCCCCTGCTGCTTCTGGCGTTTCCCCCGCTGCTGCTGCTGCCGCTGCTGCTGCCGCTGCCGCTGTTGCTGGCGGGCAGAGGGTGATGGGTCAGCTCGGTACTGTAGCAGGGATGGGTGGGATGTCTGGAGCCGCAGGATCGGCAGGATCGGCAGGAGTAGCAGGAGTGGCACCGCTGAATGGGATACACTTCGGGGGAGCAGGCTTGGGAGGGGCAGGGGTTGCAGGCAAGGGGGGAAGGCAGGGAGTGGCAGCAGGGCACGGAGGGGGGCGCAACCCTGGGGTCATTGGGGGCGCACGGGGGAACGGAGGAGGGGGCGGGGCAGGGGGAGGGGGAAGCGGAGCCGGAGGGGGAGTCGCAGGAGGAGGGGGGGGGAGGGGGGGGGGGGGCATTCTCAGTGGCGGTCTTACCAACACCTCTGCTTCTGCCGCTACTGCTGCAGGGACCACAGCAGGTCATGGCGCCCTGCTGCCGCACATTGGGCTCGGTGGGATCGTGCTAGGCGGGGCAGGAGCAGGAGCAGGAGCAGGAGCAGGAGCAAGCCTGGGAGCCGGGCTGGGGGTGGGGCCGGTGTTCGGAATGGGCATGGGAGGAGGAGGGGGAGGGGGAGTGAGGAGGGAGAGGGAGTGTGTGATGTGCATGAGTGAGGAGGTGCAGGTGGTGTTCCTGCCGTGCGCCCATCAGATCGTGTGCCTCGCCTGTAACGACGCTCTGCTCGCTCGCCGCATGCCTGACTGTCCTACCTGCCGTGCGCCTGTTGCCCAGCGCATCCGCGTCTTCGGCCCGCAGTAGGGTGAGTGGGTGTGACGTGAGGTATGGTGGCAGTAGGTACGTGTGTTGGTAGTTGCAAGTCACGTGTCATGGGAAGGGAAGAATTAATCAGATCGTGTGCCTCGCCTGCAACGTGCTTGCTCGCCGCATGCATGACTGCCCCACGTGCCGCTCGCCCATCTCCCAGCGCATCCGCGTCTTCGGCCCGCAGTAGGGTGAGTGGGTGTAGTGTGAGGTATGGTGGCAGTAGCCACATGTGTTGGTAGCTGCAGAAGCCATGTGAGTTGGTGAGTTGCAATAGGCACGTGTCATAGAAAGCATTATACCAGATCGTGTGCCTCGCCTGCAACATTGCTCTCCATGCCCAACTGCCCCACATGCCGCGCCCCTGTTGCCCAACACATCCGTGTGTTTGGCCCGCAGTAGGGTGAGTGAGTTAGTGCATGAGGACGCGTCACAAGTCAAACATCGATCCTGCATGGAATCGGTGTTTAGGTGGTTACTAATTTTCGTTAAGTTTCGTTAACATGAAGTTGTCCCTTCAGAGTCAGGCGATCGATGTGGCCTTGTCACACATCGATCGTGCAATTTCGTCCACATCGGGCAATTTTGCCCCATGTTTTTACGATCGTGTCACTTGAAGGCCCGCGATTGCAAAAAGGCAGTCGTGGCACACCGATATGGCGATCGGTTTGGCAGGATCGGTGAACAACCCCGATCCTTCCTCAGTATTTTACTTGTGACGCGTCCTGAGGCCCGAATTAGGGTGAGTGAGAGTGAGCGAGGAAGGGAGTGTTCTGCCCGCAGTAGGTTGTGAACGAGTGAGTGTGATTGGCCTATAGGTGGGTGAACGTGTGGGTTCCTGTACACTCACTCATTCCCTTGCTGTCTTGCTTCCTGGCAGGCGGCGAGTCTTCTCAGGTCTGCGCGCCTCGCAGTGCCACGTCAGTCTGGTTTCATGCAGTGCCACGCCAGCAGTGCTGCCGCCGGCCGGGTGCCTTTCTGCTGCTGACAGACCTGTCACGTAACCTGCTTGGTTCCTGGTTCCGCAACTAATCCGCAAAAGGCTTTCCCGAAAGGACTTATGCGCGTGAGCTGCGTAAGTGCAGACCAGGCATGTTCGCTGAAGCGCCCGTTTCTTTGTTTGGCGTGTTTCATTGCTGCTTAGGCCAGGTTTGGATATTACAGGATATTTTATCTTGAGATTATACACATCCCATTTTCTTAAAGCGGTTGGATTGGATGGATTTTCAATGCATATACTTTCTGTCGGTACTCAGATTCTTCTTCTATGATATGGTAGTCTGTGAGACATCCCAGCTTTCTATTTGGAGCTAGTCATATACGCGTATTCCGGCGAGAACGATGTCATCACTAACGGATTATGACGCAGACTGCCAAAGTGATTGTGACCACTTGCGTGGCGCGTTGAAAATGAAAGAATTGTCGGCTGTAGGGATGGGGTGGTGTACTGTAGAGAGGCGGGGAAGGGACGGACAGGTCGAAAGTTGCCAGAGACCCCCAGATCTTCCCAAGAAATACCTCGCCGAACGAACAAGCCCCTTCGCAGACCGACACAGCGAAACTTGCTGCGCAACCGCAACGAACGGTCAAAAGATTTTGCGAACAGTCAGATACCAGGATATATTGTCGCTCAGCAAGTCGCGAAGATCGACTCGATTCGCTGAAGGTTGTTGGGAGCGGAGGGTTTTCCACCACCCCCCTCGCAAAAGGACAAGCGCAGCCTCCAGAAACAGCCGACAAATCTGCCTCCTAGATCACTAAGTTGAATGGTCTCCTCTCCTCTCCCAGCCGCGTGATACGCCAGCTGGCTTTTGAACATTCCTGCCTCCCTTCTCTCCCCGCCGCGCATCCACCACCCCACCACCCTTCATCCACAACACAAACCCTCGCTCTGTGGGCGTTCGTGATACGATATAAGATGGCTCGACGCTTGATCTACATCCAGTACACAGTAACGCAGCTTGTTCGTTCCTCTCGAATTCCATCTCCTCAGCCTGTCAATCTCTTCCCGGTGTTTGAAACCCTATCATCGCCGTTGATCTCTGGGACAAGCCAGTCAAAAAAACGCTGAAGCATTTCAAGATCTATAAGCAGTCGCTGTCAGACGTAAATCCCAGCGACCATGGCTGTCAAGACGACTCTTTTTGCGCTCTTCCTCCTCTCGCTCGCCCTGTCATGTAAGTGCACTCGCACCCTGAACGTCACAAGCATCACCCCGCGAAACTCGGATTACTTTTGTCTCACATGCCTGTTGCTTCGCTAACCCTAATTCCTGCCGTTGCCCAAAAAAAACTGCTGGTAGCGACCAGAACACAGCCTGCAACGGCTTTGCAATTTCCAAAGGCTGCTCGTGCGAGCGACTTGGGATTCCACTCGCGCTGACGTCTGGTCTTGGCTCTTTTACCTCTCTCGCTCACTGCAGGTGCGGCCTACAGGATGATGCCGGGCTACGGTCAGGGTGGCAGAGGCGGCGGGGGCTTTAGGTGGGGCCAAGGCGGATGGGGACAGTTCGGCGGTCATCCAGGCACTCGCATCGGTGATTTTTTCCTCTCTCTCTCTCTCTCTCTCTCTCTCTCTCTCTCTCTCTCTCTCTCTCTCTCTCTCTCTCTCTCTCTCTCTCTCTCTCTCTCTCTCTCTCTCTCTCTCTCTCTCTCTCTCTCTCTCTCTCTCTCTCTCTCCCTCTCTACCTCCCTCTCTACCTCCCTCTCTCTCACTCACCAATAACCCACACATCTGCAATCCCTTCCCTTGCCCACCCCTCAGGCGCACTGGCGGCGCGCATGCTGGGAAACAACGTGGCTGACGCATCAGGCACAGTCACGGGCGACGTCAACGCTACGGGCGTCGTGCTGCTCGCCGTCTACAAGTAAGACGCTCACCGCAAGCCTACATTTCTGTGTCGACGATTGTGTCTCACTGCTGTTTGTGGGTTGTCTATATCATATTGGCATGCATCCTGTCCGTGCCTCCTATTTGTTTTTCCGCCAGCCCCAGTCTTACACCTTGTTCTCGCTCCTTCTTTGCAATCACTCGCCTCGCCTTCCCGCCCGCAGCTACAGCGGAGACTACAACATTCGCTACGGTGCCGCCCTCAAGCTCACCGATGCGGGCCTGCCCACATCCATCACCATCAACGAGAACGCCACGTCAGCAGTCGTCCTGGATTTCGGCGCCAGTGCCACGTGGACCAATCTTACGTGGTCCGGAAACTGCTCTGCACTCAACGCCAATGGTACCTTGAAGCGCGGCGCCCGCCGCCAGCCACCCTTCCCCAAGTTCTTCGGCTTCTTCCGCCCGCCCGTTCCCTCGGGATTTGTTTACGGTTTTGCTGGGATGTGGTATAACGCGAGCACTATTACCACTGCGGCCGGGCCGACTTATAAGGATGTGATGGATCTGCTCTTGGCGAATCCTGCTTCTTACTATGCGGTGGCCACCACTGATGCGTATCCCAATGGTGTTGCTCTTGGGTCGTTTGCGGCACGTAACTGTCCTGCTGATACGTCTTACTGGAACCGCCACTAGAGGAGATGTAGAGGGAAGACTGTGTATGGAGGTAATTTTGGTGAAGGGTTAGATATGCTGGTGTGTACAGGGTGTTTGTGATTGGGGTGGGGTGGGGTGCGGTAGGTGACGGGGAACAGCCTTGCGTCTTGGCTCCTTCATGCTTACAAATGCAAGGCTGTTTATTGCTGTCATATGCTGGAATGATACCCTGCATTTGAATGGAAATTATATTACAACAATGATACGAATGTGTAACAATGTGTTTGGTCACGTCCTCCCCAGAAATACAACACGGTATTCTAGTCAGCATCTCGACTAAACGTGGCACATCCTGATTGCATTCCGAAACTTCCAAAGCCCTTGCCAATCTCGAAAACTCCACGTGGCAGGAACTAAAATTTCACCCCTAGCCTACAGCGCTCCCCTTACCTTACCTCTTCTTGTTCCCTGCCCGCTGAATTTCTTTTCTTCGTTCGTCTGGCACGCTCATTCCTGCTGCAGTGAGCGAACATTAGTGACAGGAGGGAGAGATTCGGGTGTAGTACGGTTCGGCGCGTCGGCTCTTTTAAACGACATTCCTCTTCGCGCGCCTATCCGTTCTCGCCATGTCAGGCGTCCTCGCAGCCTCCCCGCTCGTCGCGGCGGGCAAGCTTGTCCGCATTCCTCAACACCGAGCCGCGCGCAGCCAACTACGTTCCACGCCCGCCTTTCACGCGAGCCGTCACAATGCCGTCCCGAGAAATTCAGCTTCCAGAAGAATCATCACCCGCGCCGATGCACCGCGATTGCAGCCCGTAGAATGCACGCGGGTTTCCAGTCAACTCTCTTGCACGTCAGAACGTGACATTTACGAAGCAGGCGCATCGGTTCAGCCCGTCGTTCCCTTTCCTCCTCTCCCACTCTCCCTGCTGTCTCTTCTCCCGCTGTTTCCGCTTATCCTCGCCGATCGGGTCCTCGCGGAGTCTGTTCCGCTCTTCGAGAACGGCGCCGACGTGCTGACGGCTGCGGGCAGCGGCGAGCCGGTTACCAACGGCATAATTTCGGTGCTCTTCGGCATCGCTGTCGTCGGACTGGTCGTGCTGACCGGCGGGGTGAGTGCATTAACGAAAATATGGGAGAATGGTACCGATTATGTAAGTCCAATCAGTGGTCAGACACGAAAACTGGGAAAATTCTCAAGTCCAATCACGCACTTTATGATTGAACCGCTCAGAACCGCGTGACCTTGAGAATCCCGTGAAAGGAACCTTCTAAGGCAAGAAGAAAACTGGACGCAGGTCACTGAAAGCTCACCTCCTGTCCCAGTCACGGCCATTTGGTCCTTGATTCTGGTCAAGAAATAACGGCCCTGCTGTCGATTTCTGAGTCGGCTCAAGAATCTGAAAGCACACCTCCTGTCCCAGTCACGGCCATTTGGCCCTCTTTTCCCCCACTCCAGGTGAGGGGGTGCCTGGTGTACACGGACTGGCAGGACAGGCGGGAAATGGAGAAGCTGGCAGCAGCAGAGCCAATGAATCCCCTCTGTGTAGCCCCCCTCTCCCCTCATCTCTGTCCTCTTCCTCCCTTCCTCCCCTCCCTCTCCCTTCCTCCCCCCTCCCTCTCCCTTCCTCCCCTCCCTCTCCCTTCCTCCCCTCCCTCTCCCTTCCTCCCCTCCCTCTCCCTTCGTCCCCTCCCTCTCCCTTCCTCTCCCCCCAACTGGTGGGGTGTCTGGCATACACGGAGTGGCATGACAAGAAGGAGATCGAGAAGCTGGCAGCAGCGAAAGCCCGTCCTCTTCACCTATCCCTGCTCTCTTCTCCCCTTCCTCTTCCCCCGTTCACCCCCGCTCCTACCCCCCCTCCAGGTGGCGTACCTGGCGTGCGCGGACTGGCAGGACAAGCGGGAAATGGAGAAACTGGCAGCAGCAGAGCCGGTGAATCCTCTCTGTGTAGCCCCCCTCTCCACTCACCCCCTACCTCTCCTCTCTTTCCCCCGTGCCCAGGTGGCGTACCTGGCGTACACGGACTGGCAGGACAAGCGGGAAATGGAGAAACTGACAGCAGCTGAACCAGTGATTCACTTTGTGCGAATTCCTTTTCCCATGTCCCCACCTTCCCCTCTCCCTTGCGACATGAGCAGGTGGCGTACCTGGCTTACACGGACTGGCAGGACAAGCGTGAGATGGAGAAGCTGGCAGCAGCAGAACGGGTGATCCTCCTCTTCGCCCATCCCTGCTCTCCTCTTCCCTGCCCCTCCGTCCTCTCATCTCCCCCCCTCCCAGGTGGCGTACCTGGCATATACAGACTGGCAGGACAAGAGGGAGATGGAGAAGCTGGCAGCAGCGGAGCCGGTGAAGCGGCCAACTGCCACATCGGAGATCCGCGCTGCCATGAAATCGCCTCCCCGGGCCACGCCCAAGGGGTTTGGGAAGAAGTCGGACAAAGAGATTGCGGAGGAGAGCGATGCTTGAGTGGATAAGAGGCAAAGACTGAAAGGCCCTTCCACCCAGGGGTTTGGGAAGTAGTCGGACAAGGACACCGAGGACCAGAGTAATAACTGAGTGGATCAAGCGTTGTAGATAAGGTTTTGAGGTGCCTTAAGAGGGTGCCATGGGCGCCTCGTCCACCCAGAGCCACATGCATTTTTTTTGGAAAGGATTGGGATAAAGAAAATCAGGGAGGGAGAGTGATGCTTAAAAAAAGAGTGTTTTGTTGAGAGTGTGCACAACAGGAGGAACGAAAACTTAGGTGGCGGTCACTACCATGGATGTTCATGTTTAGTTGCATGGATAGGGGTTATTTTTTACAACCCATGAAAGTAGCGTATACACCCTCACACTTATATCGTGAAATATATGACGTTCTTACTTTTACCTTTCTCGAGCCACCTTATGGCGATTTGTTTTTCGCCCCTATTTGAGTGTCGGCCCACCGCAACACGTGAAATTCGTTGGCTCAAATGCGCCAGCGTGTGCAGCGCTCCACTCGCTACCCTACCGTCCTTCATACCCGTGCTACCCGTACCCCTCGCTCATTCACTTGTTGCTACCTTCTCCGCACCACGCCTCTTCCATCTGCTGAGGTCAGCCTCGAGCTCTTCTGACGTCAGCTTCAGCTGATGAGTCACCCGTTTTCCTTCGACCAATCAGGAGCCATCCTCTCCCCAAGCGATGATTCGCCCCGGTATTCCCGAGGTGCCACGTCAGCCCGCTCCGGCGCGCGCTCGAACGACAGGCTCGGGATCTTGGCACTCACGAGCCGCCTGCTTGGCGACATCCCGCATTTCTCGCCGCAACTGTCGGGGCTGTTCCTCATCGGATTGCTCCTCTCGCTCTCCTGGTTGGCGGGCCGCGTGCGCTTCGGCCTCCTGCCCGTGTTGCTAGTGTGCCTGTTCGTCTACCATGAGGTAGCTCAAAGCCAATTACAGCTATACAGGGTTGTGGTCGCTTCTGTCCTCCTTTATTTTGTTAAATTTCTTTTGATAATCTAGTTCCCACAGGGCAAGTCAGCCCCCCTTTGTCTACCCCCCTTGCACCAAACAACCGGTCCATGCCTCCCCCCAATCCTTTCTTCCCACACCCCCTCCCGCAGGTATCCAAGAGGCAGAGGGTGCGAGAGATGAAAGCAGCGCGGGTGGCGGCGCTACAGGCAGTGCTACAGCGGCACCCCATGGGCGACATGGAAACGGCGCACCTTTGAGTCGACTCAGAGAGCCCACCTTCCTTCCGACTCCCCCAACCCCCCTCCTTTCCAACCCTCCCCCACAGGTGTCCAAGCGACAGAGAGTGCGAGAGATGAAAGCAGCGCGGGTGGCGGCGTTACAGGCGGTGCTACAGCGACACCCCATGGGGGACACGGAGACAGCGCACTGGCTGAACGCGCTCGTGCAGCGCGCCTGGCCCGTGTTTCTCGAGCGCCTGCTGTCTACCCAGCTCGCCCCCGCTCTTGCCCCTTGGTTCTTCGAAAAATACCGCCCCTGGCAAGCTGTGAGTTAGTGCATTAGGGGTGGGAATGGGCGCACTGGCTGAACGCGCTCGTGCAGCGCGCGTGGCCCGTGTTCCTCGAACGCTTGCTATCTACGCAGCTCGCCCCTGCTCTCGCGCCCTGGTTCTTCGAAAAATACCGCCCCTGGCAGGCCGTGAGTGCAGGCATAGCCGCACAGGGGGTGGAAATGGGTGCACTGGGGTGTGGAGGGGTGGGAATGGCCGCGCTGGCTAAAAGCGCTCGTGCAGCGCGCCTGGCCCGTGTTCTTCGAGCGCCTCCTCTCCACCCAGCTTGCCCCCGCCCTCGCGCCCTGGTTCTTTGAAAAATACCGCCCCTGGCCGGCCGTGAGTTGGGGCATTGGTGGTGGGACTGGGTACACTGGGGTGTGGAGGGTTGGGAACGGGTGTATTGGGGTGTTGAGGGGTTGGGAGTGGGCGTGGATGGAGCGGCCGGATCTGGGGTGATTCTTGCCTCGACCCAGGCAACAAAACCCCCTCTTCACCCGCGAACCCCCCCTTCTCCCCCCCGATCCCGCCCTCTCCCCTTCCCGTGTGCAGCGCAAGGCATGGCTGGAGCGGGTGTATCTGGGCACGTCGCCGCCCATCATTGCTGCTGTCAGGGTCGTGCACACCAACACGCTCGACGACCACGTGGTACGGTACGGTGCGGTGCAGTACGGTTTAGAGTTGTGAGATGTGCCCTGGTGCCATAAAGGCAGGGTTAGAGCGGGTGTATCTGGGCACGTCGCCGCCCATCATTGCTGCTGTCAGGGTCGTGCACACCAACACCCTTGACGACCCGTGGTACGGTGCGGTGTGGTGAGGTGTGGTGCGGGGGGTCTGCTTGTGGCTTTGTAATGTTATGGGACTGGTATGGTCTGGCATGGTATGTTAAGGTATGGTATGGTATGGTATGGTATGGTATGGTATGGTATGGTATGGTATGGTATGGCATGGCATGGCATGGCATGGCATGGCATGGCATGGCATGGTATGGTATGGTATGGTATGGTATGGTATGGTATGGTATGGTATGGTACGGTATGGCAGGGGATTACAATCCTGCTGTTTGGACTCCTCCTTCCACCATCCTTCCTCTCTCCCTTCCCCTCCTCTCATCTCTCTTCTTCCTTTGTCCTTTAGAATTCTCTTCCTCCTCTCTTCTTTTTTTCCATCCTTCCACTGTAGTTGATAGAGGCAGCCATGGAGTGCGGCTGGTTAGATGCGGCTGTTTGGCATGTACGCGCTGGTGGGGGTCAAGATGCGGCTGTTTAGACTCCTCCCCCCCTCTCCTCCCTTCTCCTTCCCCGTTCTACTCTCCCCTCCAGGTCATAGAAGCAGACACGGAGTTCGCAGCGTGCAGTGACATGTACGCACTGGTGGGCGTGAAGATGCGGCGACGCGTGGCACTGGGCATGGTGGCACAGGGGCACGTGTCAGGCGTGCACATAGAGGGCAAGGTGAGTCGCTTTGTGGCATTTGGAGGGGGTGCACCTGGAGGGGGTGCACCTGGAGGGGGTGCACCTGGGATGTGGGATGAGTGGTGCTGCGTGATGCTAGGCATGGTGGCACAGGGGCACAAAGAGGGGAAAGTAGGTTGCGTGGGAGGTGCCAGGTGGAGCATGGGGGAGGTGGGAGGTGGGATGTGCGATAAGTGATGCTAGGCATGGTGGTGGGGTGGAGGGGCACGTGTCGGGCGTGCACAAAGAGGGGAAGGTAGGGCGTGGGGAAGATGGGGCGTGGGGGAGGTGGGATGTGGGGGAGGTGGTATGTGGGGGATGTTAGGTGTTAACATAACATCGCTGCCTCTCTTGAGAATTCCCAAAAGTGTTACTCCAACATTACCATCTCTTCCCATCATATTCGGAATCCCAACCCCCTCTCCCTTTCTCCCTTTCCCACTCTCTTCAACCCCGCCTCACCTCCACACTTCGGAAAAAAAAAAAAAAAAATAATAATAAAAATCATTCCGAGCCTGCAGACTCGGATCGGGATGAGGTTCACCTCGGAGTTTCCGTACGTGAGTCGTGTGCGAGTGAGCTTCGTGGGGGCGCCGTTCATCGGCCTCACTGTCAAGCCCGCCGCGCACATTGGCTTCAACCTTGCTGACCTTCCCTTCTTCAGCTCCTGGCTGGTGGGTAAGGGGGTGACTGTATGGCATGGCATGGCATGGCATGGCATGGCATAGCATGGCATGGCATGGCATGGCATTGCATGGCATGGCATTGCGATGCATCTTGGAGTCAAATCACATGGCATCAAGCTCACTGTCAAGCTCGCCGTCCACATTGGATTCAACCTCGCCGACCTGCCCTTCTTCAGCTCCTGGCTGGTGCGTGTGTTGGCGCTGGGTGGTTGGGTGGGTGGGTGGGTGGGTGGTGGGAAAGTGGGGTCATTTTTCAAGCCCTGAAGGTTTCCAGCATTTCTATTGCGTTCTCTTCTCTGCCCCACCCGTCCCTCACGTGCTACCATTGACGACTCTAACAGGACGAGATGCTAGCAACGGCACTGGAGTCAACAACGGTCCCACCCAACGTGCTTGTGCTCGATGTCCCCCCCCTCGTCCTTGATAGGCATAAACTCTTGTCTTCCCCTCCTCTCCTTTCCTCCCTCCCCCCCTGCACACATACACACACGCGCAGGACGAGATGCTAGCAACGGCACTGGAGTCTTCTATGGTCGCACCCAACATGCTCGTGCTAGACGTCGCCCGCCTCTTTGAGGCGCCTCAAAAGCCCCCCTCCCTCCTCCCTTCTCCTTCCCTTCCCCTTCCCCTGCATGCACTCACAACAGGACGAGATGCTAGCAACAGCGTTGGAGTCCTCAATGGTCGCCCCCAACATGCTCGTGCTCGACGTCGCCCACCTGGCCCTTGACATGCATAACCCCTGTCCTTCTCTCTTTTCCCCTCCCTTGCTACCTGCATGCATGCACGTACACATGCACACAAACAGGACGAGATGCTAGCAACAGCTCTGGAGTCCTCAATGGTCGCCCCCAACATGCTCGTATTAGACGTTGCCCGCCTCGCCCACCTCTTTCTCTCGCCCTCACCCACCGCTTCCTCTCTTCCTCACCCCCCTCACCCTTCACATCACTCCGCCCACCACCCTCACCACCCACACTGCCCTCACTGCACGCACTGCTCCCAGCAAGCAAGCCAGGCAGCAGGCGCTGCTGTCTCACCTGCTCCCACCGCCACTTCAACTGTTGCTTCTTCTGTCCCCAGTGCTGCCACTGCCACTTCAACTGTCGCGTCTTCTGTCCCCAGCGCTGCCAGCATCTCTCCCATCTCCTCCTCCGTGCCTCCCTTCCCGCCCGCCATGTTCGCAGCAGCCCAGGCAGCTGGGATTTCCCAGTTCGTTCCTCATTCCCCTGGAACTACCAATCCCACAGCAGCAACACCCACACCCACACGCACTCCCCCAACTCCCCCAGCACCCTCAACCCCCTCAGCACCCTTTGCAGTCCCAGCCTCCCCAGCCCAGCCGCACCAACTACCCCCTCTCACCGCCGCGCTCCACGTGGACTCCTCCCGCCCGGTGGCCTTCGTGGCAGTGGAGATCATCGAGGCGAGGCACTTAAAGCCCGCCAACCTGGACGGCACGTCGGACGCGTACGTCAAGTGCGCGCTGGGCGCGGCGCGCTTCACCACGCGCATCGTGTGGGGGTCGCTGCACCCGCAGTGGTTTGCGGAATTTACAGCTCCGGTGTATTCATGGCGTTTGAGCAACCTGCTCGTGCTGCGTGTGCTGGATAAATCCTTCCTCTGCTCCAAAGACCTCGGGTGAGTGCTGCCTAGCGCGGCGCGCTTCACCACGCGCATCGTGTGGGGGTCGTTGGATCCACAGTGGTTCGCTGAATTCACTGGCGTTTGAGCAATGAAGTGCAGTGATCCACAGTTTTTTCCTGGCGTTTGAGCAATCTTCTTGTGCTGAGGGTTCTGGACAAGTCTTTTCTGTGCTCCAAGGACCTCAGGTGAGTGCTGTGAGCAGTGGGCTGGGCTTGCCTTTACCATGCGCATCGTGTGGGTGAGTGGGTGCTGCCTGTCTGGCATGTGCTGGCAGGTGCTGGCAGGTGCTGGAAGGAGCTTGTTTGCAAATGTTTTGGCACAGAACGTGTTTCTGGACGTACATACATTATGCATGCCCTCTCTATTGTCTGCAATAAGTGCTTCCTGGGGACAGTTGGCGATCTCACTCTCCCCTCCCCTCCCCCCACCAGGCATTGTGTGGTGGACGTGGGGAGTTACCGGCGGGGTTGACTTTTTGATCGATTCAAAAGTCACGTCAACAGTCAACTCACCCTCCCTCCCCTCCTTCCCCCACCCCCCCGCCCCCCCCCCCCCTCCTCCCTCTTTCCCACTCTCCCCTTTACCAGCTACTGTGTGGTGGACGTGGGGAGGTACCGGCGGGGCGGCAGGCGGGAGATGTGGGAGACGTTGAGAGGGGTGGGGCGCGGTCGAGTGCGGTTGGCAGTGACTGTGATCAGTACGGAGGAAGCAGAGAGGAGGGAGGAGGAGGAGGTGAGGGGGGTGCGAGGCAGGGAGAGTGAGGGGATGGAGAGGACAGAGGGAGGAGCGGAGGGGGGTGAGGGGCGGGAGGGGAAGGAGAGGCAGGCGGGTGGGGAGGGCGGGTCAGGAAGAGGGTCTGATGCTGGTGGTGGGGAGAAGGGAGGAAGGGGGAGTGAAGGGAAGAAAGAGGGAGGTGGTAGGACGAGGAAGGCGGGCAATGGGGAGCAGACGGGACTGCGAAGGAGGATGAAGGGGAGGAGGAGAACGGGGGGGGATTCCTTGGATTGGGAACAGGAGACTCGGAAGAAGCAGGAGGAGAGGGGGGAGGGAGAGAGAGGGGAGGGAGAGAGAAGAGAGGAGAAGAAAGGGGAAGAGGAGTTGGGGGAGAGGGAGAGAGTCGTGGTCGAGAGAAGGGAGGGTGGGAGGGCTGATGATAACTCAGAATCAGATGGTGGTGTTGCTGGTGGTGGTGTTGCTGGTGGTGGTGTTGCTGATGGTGGTGCTGCAACTGGTGGTGAGAGAGAGGGGAGGGGTGGCAGAGAGGGCGGGCCAAGGCTGGACCGTGGCTTTCCTCTCAACCGCCCCAACCTGCCTCCGCCAATACGAGTCACACACTCCGCCCACCACCCCCACTCCCACAGCCACGTGGCAGCACATGACAGGCCGCCGGCCACCCAGACAAGATACGATTCTTTGGCGCGTTTCCGCCCTTGTACCTCGTTCCTGACTGCCCCTGCTTTTGAGTCGACTCATAAGTTTGATCGTTTCTGCCCTTCCACCTCCTTCCTGACTGCCCCTGGGCCGTCTGAAGGGCCGCATGGAATGTCCCCCTTCAGTGGGGCTCATGGGGCCTTTTCTAGCGTGTCCCATCCTTTCGGGGGGACGCATGGGGCCTCGTTGACTGCTGCTCCCTCCTTCAGTGCTCCTACCACTCCCACTGGCAGGGGGAGATGCAGACGGGGCGCGGGAGAGGATGTGGCAGAGGGGAGAGGTGAAGGAGGAAAGCCACACTCAGTGGATGCTGGAACCCACAGAGGCACCTCCGTGAGTCACAGTAAAAGCAGCCACGCAGCAACCTATGCAGTCAACCAGACCACCACCACCACCTCCTCTTCCTCCTCTTACCACACCAGCCGCACTCCCAACTCTGGCATCTACTTCGTGACGGAAAATGGCATTGTGGATGGCACAGTGGATGCTTATGAAGGTTTCGCCACAGCAGGAGACTTGTGGGAAGGGAGCGAGGAGGGAGACGGGATGGAGGAGCCTCCCAGCCCGTGTTTATCTGAGCCGTCTCTGTCCGTGCTGCATGGGATGGCATCAGGACAGGCGTTCGGGTGGTGGGGCGACGAGGGTGGGGAGGGTGGGGAGACGGTTGACAAGACACAGGGGAGAGAAGAGCCTTCGCCCTGGCAGCATCAACGTCAGCAGCGGCAGCAGCAGCAGCAGGAGCAGCAGGAGCAGGTACGGCCGCAGCCGCGTTTGGAGCGGAAAGCAGCTCTTTCGTTCCGCACGCGCATGCAACTGGAGCGACAGCAGGAGCAGCGCGATTCAGAAGCAGCCGAAGCAGCAGCTGCTGCGGCACACGCTGAAGCAGCCGCCGCTGCTGTCAGCGCTGCCCGCCAGCTGGACAAAGATGAGCTGGCGCTGCTCTCCAGGCTCCACGTGGACCAATCAGAAGAGGTCAACATTCAAGGCATCCCGGCAGGCTCGGGGATCTTGAAGGTCGTTCGGCCCGGAGCTGACCCCGGGCCTGAGGCTTGGAAGTGCAGGCAGGGAGGGAGGAGGGCCGAGGCTGAGGCTCGGCAGAGGTTCGTGGAGGAGGAGCAGGTGGGGACTGGTCTGGGTGGACTGGTGAAGGCTTATCTAAGTGAGAGCTTGCACGGGGGAGGAGAGGGTGGTGGGGACTGGTCACACGGGAGTAAAACTGTTCGGGATGGTGGTGGGAAGGAGGGTTCAACTGGGGAAGAGCGGAAACGAGGGGGCTGGAGGGGGTTGTTCAAACGATGGAAGAAGGGGAGGCATGGTAGTTTGGCAGGCGCAGATGACACAGCAGGGGCATCAGGGAAGGGTCTACTGGCTGGGGATGGAGTGGGTGGGGGGAGGAGGGAAGGAGCGAGAGAAGAGCATGCGGGGGAGAGAAGGATACAGGGAGTTGATGAGAAGGAACATGAGGAGGTGGAAGTGGAGGAGGAAGGGGAGGAGTGGGAGGAGGAGAGGGATGCACTGGAGGCAATGGCGTTGGAGATGTTGGATGGGTGGCAGGACGATGTGGTGGGGGGGGATGCCATCAGCAGAAGCACCACCTTGGGTACCTTCCCCTCGCAGAGCCACCTGCGCCTCACCAGAGAGCTCATCAAAGCCTGCCACTAGGAAGGGGGGATGTTTGGAGGACGGGAGTGGGTGGTGGGAGGAGGAGAGGCAGGCACTAGGCATAAGGAGCAATGGCGTTGGTGATGTTGGATGGGTGGCAAGATGATCTCCGTCGCAGAGCCATCTCCGACTCACCAGGGAGCTTATCAAGGCCTGTTACTATAAATCGGGCTTGTTGTGGTGCTAAGAACAGTCTTGCCTGGGATTACATGGGTCAGTCAGTTTTTCTAACTACTGTACGTTGTGAGTTCATGCTCATCGTGATTTTGGCTGGCCCTCTTTATACTGTGGGTTGGTCATGACTGTCATTTCAAACAACATTCATTGAACCTGAGCAGCGCAGTTACAGCCATCCTTCTGTGCATTACTACAATGGCAAAAAGCAAAACAGAAAGAACAAAGGTTGAACGCGCTAACCTATTTCATCAGTCAATGCAGTAGTATCTCTACACACACTCACTCCACACCTATTGCACGGGTGCCACCTCAGCAAGCCAGCTGGCGAGCTCTGACGCCGCCTCGCGCGTGAAAGCGAGGCGGGAATCCCGAGGGAGGGTAGGGAGGGCAGAGGTGGCTAGCGCTGCATCTAGGGGAGCAGAGGGGCTTGCTGCTGCTGCTGCTTCTGCTGCTGCTGCTGCTGCTGCTGCTGCTGCTGCTTCATCATCGGCAGCAGCTGTGGCGGCTGCTGTGTGAGTGAGGAAGGAGCGAGAGAGCGAGTCAAGCATGCGAGCATACACCATGCTGCCATGGGGAAGGGGGCATTGGAAAAGGGGTTTAGGTGTTGAGAAATGCAGTGGAGATTTTCTAAAATGCTTCATGAAACAATGAAAAACAGCCATTCATAATCACAAAAACACGTGCATGTGTGCACCTGCACATGCACATGCACACGCACTGTAAAGCACCCACCGCAGGCGGGCAGCATCATGGGGGAAGGTGTGGAGAGACTGGGCTGTGCGCTGAGAGAACTCCGAGAGTGCCTCTGCCCCATCAGCCACTGACACCTGGCGAACGGTGATTGGTTGGAAGGACACACATGAGAAAAAAAAATTTAAGGCGTGCTGCCCTGCTGAAATTGGTCTGACCAAGATAACATTAGAAATTACATATCCCCCAAACCACCTCCCCTCCCCCCCTTCCCCCCCCCCCCCCCTTTCCCCCATGTTCCCTTCTCCTCCATCCACTCACTTTCAGCTCTTCGGTCGGCAGAATCGCCTGTCCTTCCAGGGTGGCAGACAGGTGCATGTAGTCCAAAAGCAGCCGCCCGCCCTCTTTCCACCCGTAAATGGCCTTCCCATGTGTCTCCAACCCCTCCATCAGCTGCTGCACCTCCGCCCACCGCTCTGCAGGGAACAAGTACAGGGGTACAGGGGGCATGCGGGGATACAGGGATGCAGGGATGCAGGGATGCAGGGATGCAGGGATGCAGGGAAACGATGTGAGGAAATTAGCGTAGTGGGTGGTAATGCTGCCACCACTCCGACTAGCAGACTAGCACTCACGGACTTGAGAAAAATGTTGCTGGCCACTTGCAGGGAGACAGGGAAAAACGGGCAGACTAAAAAAATCAGCCCCCTCAGCGTTCAAAAGCCCATGAATCTTAACAAAGAAATGAATCTTAATAACGCACCCGACAGCCCAGGGATCATAATAACGCAGCCGACAGCCCAGGGATCATAATAACGCAGCCGACAGCCCAGGGATCATAATAACGCACCTGCCAGAATCCAGGCAGCCGAGTCCCAGGTGGTTCATGAAAAGCTGGTGGGCGCGGTCCCACTGGAAGCTGCCCAGTAGGCACTGCAGCTCGTCACCGCTTCTTCCCTCGTAGCGATGGTGCACCGCCTGGTGTGTGGGGAGAAGGGGGAGGGCCGAGAAGGGGGCGGTGGTGGGGGGGGGAGAGAGGAGGTGAGGGGAGTGCGACTTGACGACCCGGCAGGCACTGCAGCTCGTTACTGCACCGCCCCTCGTAGCGATGGTGCACCGCCTGGTGTGGGGAGGGAGGGAGGGCGAGAGGTGGGAGAGGAGAGGTGAGGTGGTTGCTTCTTGGATTGCAGACTCAGCAGGCACTGCAGCTCGTCACTGCTCCGCCCCTCGTAGCGATGGTGCACCGCCTGGTGTAGGGAGGGAGGGAGGGCGAGAGGTGGGAGAGGAGAGGTGAGGTGGTTGCTTCTTGAATTGCAGACTCAGCAGGCACTGCAGCTCGTCACTGCTCCGCCCCTCGTAGCGATGGTGCACCGCCTGGTGTGGGGAGGGAGGGAGGGCGAGAGGTGGGAGAGGAGAGGTGAGGTGGTTGCTTCTTGGATTGCAGACTCAGCAGGCACTGCAGCTCGTCACTGCTCCGCCCCTCGTAGCGATGGTGCACCGCCTGGTGGAGCGGGAGAGAGGGGGGGGAGGAGGGGGGGTGGGTGAGGATGGGGGAGAAGGGGGAGGTGGGTGAGAGAGGAGATGCGTGTTGCTCATAGTCCCAGCAGGCACTGCAGCTCGTCACTGCTCCGCCCCTCGTAGCGATGGTGCACCGCCTGGTGGGCGTGGAGAAGGGGGGAAGGTGGGGGAAGGGCGAGAGGGAGGTGAGGGAGGAAATGCGTGTTGCTCAACGTCCCAGAAGGCACTGCAGCTCGTCACTTCTCCGCCCTTCGTGACGATGATGCACCGCCTGGTGTGGGGAGAAGAAGTGGGAGGGCCGAGAGGCGGGACAGGGAGGTGAGGAGGTTGCTACTTGCAGAGTCAGTAAAGATGGTGCATCACTCACTCTCACACTCACTCACAAGCTCACTGGCTCACTCACTCCTCACTGGCGGCCCACACCGGGCACGACACCGCCAGCACCTCCCCACCTTCTTCCAATAGCTTCAGGGCCGACTTGAAACCCACCTGAGCAGCGCAGAGCCACGCGCGCGGTACAAGCAGCTGGCCCCAATGAAGCTGCGCTGCTCCTCACTGGCGGCCCACACCGGGCACGACACTACCTGCACCTCCCTGCCTCTGCCCCTCCTTTACCCTCTGAGCCAACTAGAAACCCACCTGAGCAGCACACATCCAAGAGCGAGGCACAAGCAGTTGCCCCTCAATGAAGCTGCGCTGCGCCTCACTGGCCGCCCACACCGGGCACGACACCGCCAGCACCTCCCTGAATGCGCGCTCCAGGGCCCACCGCGGAAGCTTCCGGCAAGGCGGGACGTGCTGAAGGCAGTAGAGCGCCCAGTGGGGCTGGTTGGCCGCTAGCAGCTGCGCCACGTAGTCCATGTGCACAGCTGGCAGCACCTCATTGGCCCGCACTGCTCCTATGGACTGTTGTGATTGGAACGGGAGAAGGGATAAATGGTTTAGAGGCAAGGGTTTACAGTTTTATATTCAAGGTGTAAAGTTTCTAAGCTCATGATTGGCTGAGGGGTGGATGAGGAATATTCGCCTTGGTGAGTCTGTGATGATGTGAGGTACCAAGGCGTACCTCACAATCAACTAATTTAAAATAAACTAGGCTCGGCGTATTAGTCATTACCTGCAGCACACTCTGAAGATGCCACGTCAGATGGCAGTCCAGCGCATCACGAGTCCACGACCGCCACCTCAGCATCGCTGCCACATCAACAGCCACGTCATCACCTTCACCAGCACCACCACTCTCCACCTTCCCTTTCTCAATCTCCTCTTTCAAATGCAGAGCCAACAACCCATACAGCACATCCTCAACTCCTTCCTCTCCCTCCTCCTCTCCCTTCTCCTTCCTCCTCCTCTCACCTCCCCCCGTCCCTCCCCCAATCCGCTCCCACTCCGCCCTCTCTCCCCCATCCACCCCAATCGTCTCCTCGTACCACGGAATCGCCCTCGGCACCCTCCCAACCCTCACTCTCCTCCTAAACTCCCCAATCACCGAGCCTAGCGGCGAGGCTGGGGGCATGCCGAACCACATGAGCAGCCCGAGGTGTCTCTTCCAGTCCAACGGTCTCCCCTCCAGCGCCCCAGTCACATCCCCTCCCACCAGCCGCAGCAGCCTCAGCCTCTCAACACTCACCAACGCCCCTTCCGCCAATTTTTCCAACGAAACCGCCTCTCCTCTCGAAGCCCCCTCCCTGTCTCCCTTCCCGCCCGCCAGCCTCTCCCAGAGCGCCAGCTGGCGGGCGGCGTCGGCGCGCGTGGCAGCGGGGGCGGAGTGGGCAAGGGCGAGCAGGGCGGCGAGACGCACGTCCCCTGTGAGAGCAGCCGCGCCCACAGCCGTCTCCACCTGCATGCCTGTAAGCGCGGTAAAGGCCACGCGCAGAGGCAGCGCTGCAGCATCTTCAGCAGCGGTTTCAGCACGCATAGTGGTAGTAGCGGCAGTGGAATTGGTGGTGAAAGTGTTGAATGAGGTGTTGGGGTTGGCAGCGGTGGTGGCAGTGGCGAGGGAGTTGAGCTCGTGCACGATGGCGGGTGCCACCACACCCTGCAGCCATGCGCCGAACTCCGCTCTGCGGAACAATGCCATTGTCTCCTCATCATACTCCTCCTGCTCCCCCTCCCCTGCCTCCTCTTCATCCTCATCACCCTCCTCCTCCTCCTCCTCCTCCTCCACCTCCTCCTCCTCGGTCACTCCCTCCTGCTCCTCCTCCTCCTCCTCCTCCTCCTCCTCCTCACTCCCCCTCTCTTCCTCCTCAACGTTTGCCGACCCTCCAATCCACTGTGGCTGTCTAGTAGCACCAGCCGCACCAGCGGCGGCGCCTCCTTGAGTCTCCTCCTCCTCTTCTCCATCATCATCTGCAAACAGACGCCTGTTCAGTGTTGCTTCCTCCCGTACCCCCTTCACCCTTTCACCTTGCTCCATCCCATTCCGCTGCGCACCCCCACTCATCCCCTCCATCGCCCCATACCCATCCTCCACCTCCCCATCCCTCTCCTCCTCTTCCTCCTCCATCGACCCATCCCCAGACTTCCCACCTGAACCACCACCTGCCTTTTCACCTGACCCATCGCCAGCACCTCCCTCAAACTCTCCACCCATCTCCACCCCTCCAGACCCCTGCATGACGTCACTGCGCCTCCTGCCCTGCCAATCAGAGAACAGCACGTCCACAAGCTGCCAAACCGCCTGCTCGTGCTGCAGCTGCCGCTCAGATACGCCCACCCCAGATACAACCCGCCCCACCCCAGATACAACCCGCCCCTGCCCAGCCTTTGCCCGGGCAGCAGCAAGGGCGTCAGCAGCCGCTACAGCCAGGGAGCTGTAGCGGCTGCACAGGGAGGCCAGGCTGCCGCCCTGCCGGCTGCACACCAGCCGTCGCCCCACCCACTCCCTCCCCTCCTCTCTCCCCCCCTCTCTCCCGCCCTTCTCCTCCCCCTCCATCTCCTCATCTTCACCGCTCTTCTCCCCCTCCTCCCCTTCCTCCTCACTCTGCAAAACCTCTCCGTCCCCCTCCTCCCCACCTGCGCCCCACCCGACCCCTCCCCCTCTCCCGCGTTCCCCCACCACTCTACTCGACTGGAAGTGCAGCAGCAGCGGCTCAATCAGCAGCAGCTGCTGCAGCCGCTCCCGTTCCGCTGCTCCCCTCTCTGCTGCTGCTGCCGACTCCGCGTCCCGCCCTGCCCCTCCTGGACTGAGGGACTTCAGGGGTCTCGCGAGAAGAGGAGAGGCAGAGGAGGCAGGAGGAGGGGGAAGGGAGGACCAGGGGGAGAATGCCACCTGGGTGACTGTGATCCTAGACGAAATGGGAGTCACATCTGTCACATCTGTTACATCTGTTACATCTGTTACATCTGTTGCAGCGCGGTTACCACCAGCGAAGCTCCCAGCAGGCAGCACCCTGCCAGGGGTCACCAGCGCTCCTCCTGGCCCCCAGCCGACACGAAAAGAGCGGCCGAGGAAAAGCCCTGCGTCCACTGCCACGCCGCTGCTGCCCTCCCCTGGCACCGTCGCCACCACCGCCACCGCTGCCACTGCCTGCGCCACCACCGCCGCTCCGCCCGCTGCCCCTGCTGCTCCTGCCGCCCCCCGTGCTGCTGTAATTCCTGCTCCTTTTCCAGGGAGAGCGTTTGGGATGGTCCATTCGAATCCTGATGCAGCAGCAGCACCCGGGTGCACATGCGCATGCACTCGGCCTTGCAGCCCTGCCACCAACAAACAACTCGCCCCTCCGCCTCCTGCTCCTCCTGCTCCTCCTGCTCCTCCTGCTCCGCCTGCCCCGGCTGCTCCTAACCCTGGTGCCCCTGCATCAAACTCTGGGAAAACCCGAACGCCTCTCCTGCTGCCTGCCAGAAAAGAGGTCGGTTTCTGTGCTCCCCGCCCGCCTGCCCTCCTGTTAACCCTGAACCCAGCAGCCCAAGGGTTGGACCAAGGGTCAACCGACTTCCTGGCCGTACCAGCACCGCCGGCAGTGCCACCAGTAGCAGCGGCGGCAGCGGCGGCGGCAGCACTGGCAGCAGCAGCAGCGGCGGCGGCCGCTCCTAGCATGCCGAACCTAGGAGCCTTCCCCGACCCCCAGCCCTGCCAATCGGAATCCATTGCTTCCGCCCCAAACCCCCCTTGCTTCCTCTTGGCACTGGTCAAACCTATCCCGCTCCCTAACCCACCATTGTACCCCTCGCCGTCATCACCATTATCATCGTCGCCTGCACCACAGCCGAACATGACGTGGCGCATCTGCTGCAGCCTGATTGGGTCAATCCCCAGCTGAGCTGGCAGCGCCCGGTCCAGTGACACGCCGCCAGGTGGCACAGACACCCTCCCATGACCACGACCACCATCACCACCACCACCACCATCACCACCATCACCATCACCATCACCATCGCCACTCAGACCTTCATCAGTCTCATACTCCTCTCCTAACTCCCCATCATCCTCTCTCTCCCTCGCCTCCTCCTCCTCCTCCTCCTCCTCATCATCCTCATCTGAGTCCTCCAGGCCGTACCGGCTGAAGTGTTGCACCTTGAAGCGCCACTCGCCCTTGGCGGCGTTGAAAGAGAGGAACTCCGCCTCCTGCTCCGCTGTCTTGCGCCGCAGCTTGCGCTCAAACCTCTCCACCTCGGGTCCCTCTGTCACCTGCTCGCATGGGCGTTGGCACGTACAAACGGCAACGGCTGAGCGGTTTGCAGGATAGAGTAAAAGTGGAACAAACAAACAAACAAACAAACAAACACACACACACTCACACAAGAAAAGAACAGGAAAGAGAATGCTATCAACCAGGGGCACTCACCGCCTTGCCGGTCTTCTTATCAACGCACACCACCTGCAGCAGCGTCACCTCCGCGGGTTTATTCAGCTCCTCGCCCACCGGCGGCTTGCTCTGCTCGTCCATATAAACCAGAATCTCGCACTTGTGAAACTGCACTATCGCCTCCACATCCAGCCCCCTCACGTCCGTCTCGCCCAGAAACCGCACGCTCCCAAACCCCTTCCGCCCCACCACGAAATCCCTCACACGCGCCAGCGACCCTGGGAGGGATCGTTCAAGTGCAGCTAGAGCGGAGAGCGACGGCTCGGTGAAATAATCCGCGGATTTTAACTGCGGCAGCTGGGATTCGATCCCGGGACCTTTCGCACCGGTGGCAGTGCCGCGCGAGGGGGAGGGCGGGGAGAAGGAGCCGTTCCAGGCAGGGGAGAGAGTGGGGGATGGCATGGCGGACCCAAACCCTCCGCCTGTGGCTCCAGCGCGGGCAGCAGAGGGGCTCCTGGGGGACTGAGACCCCCCATTGCCATTCAGGTCAGAGGAATCGTAGGGAGGAGCGGAAGGAGCGTAGAAAGCATCCCGGGGAGAAGCCCCTGAAGGGGGCGACTGGTAGTCTGATCCCTGCGGCGACCCCCCCACCCCTCCTCCGCCTCTCACAGGCGAGCCTGACTTCCCTGGCGTCCCCCCAGCAGCAGGGCTCTTTCCGTTCGGGCTCGCGTCCGCACCAGCAGCGGGGGCGACGGGGTGGCGGATGAAGAGGGCGCGGGGGTTGTCGCGGGGGACAAAGAGGGCGTCGGCGCGCGGCACGGCGGGGGAGATGTCGTCATGGTCGGCGGGCGAGGAGAAGAAGAATGGCACGCGGGCTGTGTCACGCCCGGGGTGGAAGTGGCGCGTAGCAGGATGGTGCATGCGTGCACGCGTGCGCGGGGTGATGCGGCGCGGCGTGAGGATGGAGGACACGCGCGTTCCCGATGCATAGCGGTCCGATGCCTGTGGTTTGGGGGAAGGGCCGGGGAAAGGGGAGGGGAAAAGGGAAGGAGGAAGGAGAAGGGGAAGAGGTGAGCTTTGGGACAAAGAGGGCGTCAGCGCGGGGCACGGCGGGGGAGATGCCGTCGTGGTCGGCGGGCGAGGAGGAGAAGAAGGGCACGCGGGCTGTGTCGCGCCCGGGGTGGAAGTGGCGTGTGGCCGCCGTGTGGTGGTGCATGCGTGCGCGCGTGCGCGGGCGGGGTGATGCGGCGGGGTGTAAGGATGGAGGAGACGCGCGTGCCTGAGGCATAGCGCTCCGATGCCTAAATGGGGAGAAAGACGGAAAGAGGGAAAGGAGAGGGAAAGAAAGAAAAGTTTCTTTCGAGTTCGGAGTTGATTCAGGAATCAACTTGATGCGGCAAGGCGTGAGACATGGTGACTCAGAGCTTGCTATTGAAAGGGGAAAGAAAAAGAAACCTGGGAAGGATGCATAGGCACAAGAAACAATTGCTTGAACACCTACACACAGGCATTAATGAATGCTTGATCTTTGGGTTACTATACTCACAGCCATGCTGGAGATGCCAAGCTCCGTGCTGGCTCTGACCCCGCCAGCAGAACCACCGAGGCCGAAGTTGGGCATGGCAGGCAGCACACCAAAGGGCGACTGGAGCAACCCTAACTGCCCCAAGTGCTCTAGTACTTGTGCAATTACAGGCTTGAGTGAAGGGTAGCTATACTCACAGGCATGCTGGAAATGCCAAGCTCCGTGCTGGCTCTGACTCCAACGCCAGCAGAAACACTGAGGCCGAAGTTGGGCATGGCAGGCAGCACACCAAAGGGCGACTGGAGCAGTCCCGACTGCTGCAACTGCTGCAGCAGCTGCTGCTGCTGCTGCTGCTGGAGCTGCTGCTGCTGCTGTTGCTGCTGCTGCGACTGTCCGAACAAGCCTCCTGTAGCGGTCGCTCCAAGGCTGGCGTTGTTTGGGGAGGAAAGGGTTGTTTGGGGAGGGGAGCAAAGGGCAGGAGTGAGTCGAAAAGTAAGGGCTGCGAGTGCTGCTGCACCAGACTGGAGTGGGGAAAACGGGAGTTAAACAAGGGTGCTGGGAGGGAGGGAGAACGGACGGATCCTGGAAAAGCGAGATGCAAGCGAAAGAAGCGCCAGGAGAGACGAGAAAAATAATTGGAGAAAAGGCGGTGGGGGGGGGGGGAAAGGTGGAGGGGACCGGGAGCGGGGGAAGGGGAAGGGTGCGGGGGAGAAGGGAGGGAAGGGCGCTGGGAGAGGGCATGGGGGAGGAAGAGGAGGGGGGGAGGCGAAAAGAGGATGACTTACGAGGTGCCGAAGGGAGAGGAGCCCAGCTGAGGGGTGGAGCCGAAGAGCCCCCCGCCGACTGCATGGGAGAGAGCAGGGAGGGGAGGGCAGGGACAGTGAGGAGAGGCGGATTCGGGTTATACATTGCCAAACAGGGAATACAAAAAGGAGCTACAAGTGAAAGCTGAGAAACAGTTTGTGGTATGAGAGAGGCGTGCGAGAAGGGAGGATATGAGAGCCAAAAAAGGTGAAATGATAGGGGAGAGTGAGCGACTGAAAGCAAGCTGAAACGAGAAGCGGCTGGAGGTGTTACAGAGCGAGGGAATGGGTTGGAATCACGACACAACTCACAAGGTGGCTTTTCTTGAGTCAACTAAAAAGGCGGTACAGCGCGACAACTCACACGAGAATTGAAATGAGAACTATCAAGATACATACGGCTACAACGCAAATGGTAGCACAAGAGGGAACAGTGCTCTTGAACCTGGAGGTAGAGGTTGCAGGGAGAGAAGAGAGACTCACAGGCCGGCTGTGATGCTCCAAAGCCAGGCGTGGTCGTCGATGCTCCCAGCCCTCCAAACGAGGGGAACGCCTGCACGGTGAGGCACGTGGGATGGGAGATTATGGCCACGCCCAAGGGGAAATGAGGGAACAAGGGGCAGAGAAAAGGCTTGTGCGCGAGACAATTTAGAGGTAAGGTCATGGCCATTGCCATGACCAAGGATTTGAAATTATGCTTTCTGTGTGCGGAGGTGTAAGTGCGTGAGAGCGAGAGAGAGCGCGCGAGCATGCACGTGCGAGTGTGAGTGGGGAGAAAAGTGAAGCGAGAAAACCAGACACGAAGAGAGGCTCCTTTTGAGGCGCCTCAGAACGAGAAAAGCAGACACTAAGAGAGACCCGTACCGAAGACTGAGTGAGTCCAGCAGGCTTGGTCTGAAACGCCCCTCCGAACCCAAACGCCGACCCAGTGGACGCGCCAAACAACCCCGCCCCAGTCGTGCCGCCCGCTCCCGCCGCCCCTCCAAACAGCGACCCTCCCGCACCAAACCCCGGCGCCGAACCAGCAGCCCCGGCCGTGCCAAACCCGAACCCAAGCCCGGTCGAGCCAGCAGCAGGCGTGGAGCTTCCAAAAAGCCCTCCTCCCGTGGCTGCTCCGGTCCCAAACAGTGACGGCGTGGCACCAAACGCCGGGGTAGCAGCAGCAGCACCGGGAGTCCCAAACGCACTGGCACCGAAAGCGGGGGAAGAGGCGCCGAAGAGAGACGCCCCTGGCTGACCCGCCGCCCCTGTGGTCGCTCCGAAGAGAGACGCGCCAGTGGACGCGCCAAAGGGGGAGGCGGTGGCAGCAGCAGGCGAGCCGAAGAGAGACGGCGTGGATGCTGCTGCTGCTCCGAACGGGCTGCTCGCAGTGGCGCCAGCAGCACCGAAGAGAGACCCGCCAGTGGCTCCGAATGCCGGGGAGGACGCAGCGCCAAAGGCCGGAGTAGACGAGCCGAAGATGGACGGGGAGGTTGACGCGCCGAACGCGGGCGTGGATGCGGCCGCGCCAAACGCCGGAGCTGCCGAGCCGAACAGGCTCGGCGTGGACGCCTGGCCGAACGGGTTCGCAGGTGCGGAACCAAAAGCCGGGGCAGCAGCAGCAGCACCAAACGGAGACGCCGCTGCTGCTGGCTGGCCGAAGAGGCCTCCTCCTGCCTGTGCTGGTGCCGGCCCGCCCTTGTCTCCCCTCTGATAATCCTCCCAGCGGAGCTCCTCCGGGCTCTTGTTTTTGTAGGCTGGCATGGCTGATATGGAGATGAATTTGCCGAGCTGGCCCGCTGTGCCGGTTTCTGTGTCGTTGGTTGGCGCGTAGGGGGGGTTGCGGCTGCCTGTGCCTGCTGCTGCTGCCGCTCCGAAGGGTGTGGCTCCGAACGTGGTTGCTCCAAACGCAGGTGCTGATGCTGGGAGGGAGGGGAGGGGGAAGAATGGGAGTGAGAACAAGGGAATGAGAGGAAGAGATGAGAATACGAAGAGGGGGAAGGGACTGTGGAAGAGAGGAATGATCGGACCATGATACGAGGGCAGGGAGGATTGTGAGGGGGGAGAAGAGAGAACTGGGGTGTTTGGAAAGGTGGGTGGGAGGAGACCGGGGTAAGGGAGAGGGCATGGCAACATGGCGACGAGAGGCTGCCGAAAGCATGGGGAAAGGGGGAAGAGGAGAGTGAGGGGATGTTTTGGAGGAGGGGTGTGGTGGATATTGGGGAGTGGGAGAGGAAGGGCATGGCAGAAAAGGCGGGCATGCATACCTCCGAAGCTGGGTGACGAGAGGCTGCCGAAAGCATGGGGGAAGGGGGAAGAGAAGATTGAGGGAACGTGACACGCGTACCTCCGAAGCTGGGCGACGAGAGGCTGCCGAAAGCAGGCGCGGACGCAGCGCCGAAAGCGGACGTGCCCGTCGACCCGAACAGCCCGCCCGTCGCCCCGAACGCCGGCGCGCTCGCCGCGCCGAACGCGGGCGTCGTCGCGGTCGCGCCGAACGCGGGCGCGGACGCGCCGAAGGCGGGAGCGGCGGCGCCGAACGCGGGCGCGGCGCCGGTGGCGGCGCCGAAGGTGGGCGTGGTGGCGGTAGAGCCGAACGCTCCGCCTGCTCCGAACGCGGGCTGCGACTGCTGGCCGAAGGCGGGCGCGCCGAAGGGACTGGCCTGAGTTTGCCCAAACGTGCCGAAGGCTGCTGGCTTCTGCTGCTGCCCGAACAGCGACGAGCCTGTAGGCGTGGGGTGGCGTGGAAGAAAAGCAGAGGGAAGGAGTGAGGAGAAGGTGGTGAGAGGAGCGCGGAGGCAGTAAGTGGGGTGATAATGGTTCCAAGATAAGTTGGCCAACAGGTTTGATATAAAACGCAGAGCGGCAGCGCAGAAGGAAAGCAGCAACCGTGGTTATTCCTGAGGCACTTCAAGAACCATGTGCGCCGAACAAACCACACGCGGATCGCGTTCTTAAGATGCGCAAGCACCGAATACCGCCGCCAAACACCGCTTACCGCCGCCAAAAGGTGAAGCCGTGGACCCAAACGCGGGAGTTGACGCAGCTGCGCCGAACGCAGGCGTGGAAGTCGCGCCGAAGGCGGGCGCAGAAGTCGCGCCGAACACGCTCCCCGTCGCCGCCCCCCCGCCGAAGAGTGATGTGCCCGCTTGGCCGAACGGACTGGCGGGAGTCGCGGACGCGCCGAAGGCGGAAGTGGCGCCGAAAGGGGAAGCTGGTTGCGCCGCGCCGAACGGGGAGGCCGCCGCCGGGGCGAAGGGGTTTGCCATGGCTAGGTGCTGACGATTAGGATTAGGGTTTGAAGTGACTGGATGTTGGAAATTAGGGCTTGAAGCAACTGGATGCTGGAAATTCAAGTTGGAGGCGACTGGATGACGGAAAATCAGGGTTCGAAGAGACTGGATGCTGGAAATTAGGGTTTGAGATGGCTAAATCGAAACATGTCCGCTTGATATGTATGTGGAACTAGGGAATCTATAGGGATCTAGGAGCGACAAGAGAACAAGAGAAGTGACGCAGTGTGGCGACGTCGGGTAGGGTACTTGTGCTGTGATTGAAAGGCGTGTAGACTAAGATTTCGGTTTGCACGCAAGCCGGGAACGACACGTGGAAGACAAGGTGCCTGCACAAGAGAGGAGGAGCGAGAGAGACAGGCTATTCTGATATTCGGAGATCGACAGATTAAGGAAGAAATGAAGGAACAACTCAATGCTTGCCAGTAAATGAGAAACGGAAACGACCATGTAATGCAGGATTTCGCGAATGCAGAGTATTTTAACCAGGAAGAAGATAAACAAGCAACGCTGTAGTTAACCTGGTTCTGGCTGAAGTGCTCGTTGTCAATTTGCTCGACCTCTACTGATAAACTGGTGCCTTACCCAGATAACTCGGCGCCTTACCTGGATTACGCACCTAAAACCAACGCGCGAAACCCGAAAGATCACGTAGGGTCCACCATTCGGAGAAACACACAGCGGTGAAGAACAGGAGCGTCTGTTGATCTAAGAGCCAGACCTATTTCTGCTTGCACGCGCCCACACCGCTCCCTTTCCGCCACCTCGCGGTTTTAGTCCTGATCCATAAGGGCGTGTAAAATCCTCGGGAACAGATCTGGCTCGAAGCACACGGGGGCGTGGGGTAGAAAACTGCTGCTGTTCTGCTGAAGCGAAATCTAAGAGCGAAACGAAGCGACGGGAACTGCAGCCCTGTTTGCGTGCACGAAAATCAAATCTCGTGTAACACGCTTCCACGAACGAAGACGTTCTAGCAGCCCCAGCACGCAACAGCGCGGGAAAGCGAAGACTAGAGTTGAAGCGTTAAGTAACGAAGCTACCACTTCAAGAGCTCTCACTTTCACCATTGGTCATTAACAAAAGTACACAATGAGGTTCCCTAGACCAGTCGCGTATAGCGAGAAGCGCTGAAACGAGAACGGGTCTCGTCATTCTCGAGAGCCAAAGCACAACTTCATCGAGCCACGCCCAGCTTCCTGTATGTAGGCTTCTTGCTAACCTTCTTACCTACTAACCTCTTAGACTTGGCGAATCTGACCACTTCGTGAACCAATAAGACATAAGGTATCGTTCGGTCAACAAACGCCACTGAAAAATTACCTACCGTTCACCATGTCAACTTGTTGCCAGGCGTTTCCGCGTATCCGCCACGGGGACCTGCCTCGAATAGAATTTGGTTCTTGCGTTTAGTTACCACAAACAGCTCGTTACTATCGCGGGTCCTGGGATCAAGTAGCGGACAGAAGCCTTGACCCATTCTGCAGCTTATTTAAACCCGTCCGGTCTCTGCGTCCTGGTCGTCCGTCTGCGTCTGCTGGTCTGTTTGTTCTTCGGTTCTTCCGCGTGTGGAAGCGGCTTGCGCGCCGTTCCGTCCGTCCGAATACCCGTCCGTCCATTTGTCCGTCGTTCCGTCCGTCCGTGCGTCGGTGCGGCCGCCATGGGACCACGGCAAGGCGTGTGTGCGAGTCGGCTTGTAATGATCCACACGCGGCTGCTCACCCTCCTCTGCCTCGTACTCGCCGCATCTGCCGCTCGCACGGCCGGCCACCGTGGCGCTGGTCAGTGCCCTCGCTCCATCGGCGTCGCTCCATCGCCCTCGCGCTCTCTACCCGTTGCCGTCGCGCTCTCTCCCCATCACTTTCGTGATATTGATCTCGCCCCCTCGCCCTCGCCCCCGCCCGATCGTCCTATTTCCCCCGCCCTATTCGCCCTTTCGCCCTCGCTCTATCGCTCCCGTTTCTCTTACCACTTCCCTCACCCCTCCGCGCATTCTCATCTAAACGTCCAATCTCCCCTTTTCCCCTCGTCCAACTCTTCCGTTGGCCTTGCCTCCCACTTCCTTGCTCACCCCCCTTGGATCCCGCTTGTTCCCCCCTTGGTCCACCCTCTCCCTGCTGGGTCCCCCCTGGTTCCGCCCCTGGGTTCCCCTTTGCACGACCCTCCCCACCCTGACTGTTCCATTGCAGGCCGCCAATGGGGTAGGCACAGCAGCAGCACCATCAGCGTTCGACACAGTCGGAGCAGCAGCCGTGGTAGCAGCAACAATGAAGGTAGCAGCAGCAGCAGCACCAGCAGCAGCAGCAGCAGCAGCAGCAGCAGCAGCAGCAGCAGCAGCGACAGCAGCAGCAGCACTGTCAACCCACCTGCACTTCCTCCTCTCGCTCCTCCCGCCACACCTCCGTCCCCTCCTGCCCAGAAACAAGCAGAGGCTCCTTCTTCAAAGCCACAGCCCACTGCAGGTTCGACAGGTTCGACAGGCTCAGCAGGTTCGGCAGGCTCGGGTTTTGCAGGTTCGGCAGGTTCAACAGTTTCTGCAGGTTTGGCAGCATCGCACCAACCCCTGGTGCCTTTAACCCAGGCGCAAGCAGAAGGTGAGCCGCAATTACCTTCTCCTGTGAATGCAGAAGAGGGTGAAGCGCAGGGAGTAGCAGAAGCAGAGGTGAAGCAGCCAGCTAAAGCACCGCAAGTAGCACCACAGCAGATAGGCACACTGTCATTGCCTAACGGGGGAGAGGAGAAGGGTGCTGGAGAGGGGAAAAGGGAAGGAGAGGGGGAGAAACGAGGTGAGGGGGAGAAGGAAGGAGAGGAGGAGAAGGAAGGAGAGGAGGAGAAGGAAGGAGAGGAGGAGAAGGAAGGAGAGGAGGAGAAGGAAGGAGAGGAGGAGAAGGAAGGAGAGGAGGAGAAGGAAGGAGAGGGGGAGAAGGAAGGGGAGAAGGAGAATGAAGGAGAGAGGGGGAAGGAAAGCGAGGGGGAGAAGGAAGGAGAGGGGGAGGAAGGAAGGAAGGAGGAGGAAGGAGAAGGAGAGAGGAAAGGAGAAGGAGAGAAGGAGGGAAAAGGGCAGAAGGAATTAGAAGGGGAAAATGAACGAGAGAGCGAGAAAGAAGGAGAGAAAGAGGAGGAGGGAGAAGGGGAGAAGGAAGGAGAAGGGGGGACAGAAGGAGAGGGTGAAAAGGAGAGGGGGAAAAAGAAGGGGAGCCGGGGAATGAGGGAGATGGGGATAAAGGAGAGCCTGAAAAGGAAGGAGATGGGGAAACGGATGGGAAGGCAGAGTCAGGGGCGGGAAAAAAATCAGAAGCGGGAAATCAACAAGCACAGGCACAAGAACAATCAAAGAACAATCAGCAAGCCAAGACGCACCAACAACCGGCACCCCCTCTGACGCCACAGCAGGCCGACGCGCTGGTAACCCTATCGCAAGACGTGCACGAGGCCGCAGACCTGCCGGAAGATTCCCAGAAGGTGCTGCTGGGCGGCATGGGGGCGGCGCTGGTGGCTGCCAAGATGTGGCCGTGTAACCTGTTCGGCGGGCGGGCGGCATGCCGCCCTGTAGCTAACACCGGCAGGGGAAATGAAGGACCAGAGAGGGCAAACGGCAAGGAGAAAGACGAGGAGGGGAGTGTGAGAGTGGGGATGATGCAGCAGTGTGCCGTTGACCTGGTCAACCCTACAGTTGACTGCGCGTACACCCTGGAGGAGCAGGAGGGGCAGGCGCTGGACCCGGATGTGGTGGTGCGAGCGCGGCTGCAGCAGGGGGGGTACTCCGCGCCCTGTGAGCCGTGCCTGCAGGCGCTGCACCGCTTCTGGTGCGGCCAGACTGTTCCCACGTGCGGCACCTTTGAGAAGATTGTGGATGAAGTGCTGGTGAGTGTGAGTGCTTGCTTGCCCCCTAGCGAATATCCCTGGCTTGATGTGAGGGATTTTCGTCTACGAATGCTCTCTCTGTTTCTCCCCTCCTCCCACCCAACGTCTACTCACCTCACACCAGCCGGAGTTGCGCCAGATAGGAGCAGGCCATTAAGAAGCCTCACGGAACCAGGTGGCTGAGAACACTCTTCCCCATTATACTCCATTTATCGCGCACCCGCGTTCATCCCACTGCCACCATCCAGAGCTGTGCCAGATAACGACGGGCCAGGAGAAGCCTGACAGAGCAGGTGTTTTGCTATCATCGTGATAATAAGTGTTCTTATCTTTTTCCTTTTCTCCACTTATCTCCCCGCCACCAGCCGGAGCTGCGCCAGATAACGACGGGCCAGGAGAAGCCTGACGAGCTCATAGAAGCCGCCCTCCCTCGCATGCTCGCAGCCTTTTCTCTCGGGCTGCCCTGCAAAGAAATGTGCCTCGAAGTCACCTCGCTCTGCAGCTGCGGCCAGATCACCACCTTCGGGCAGACGATGGAATTTTTGGAGGCTGCCCGTCCAGGCAAGGAGCCTGATGTAAGGGTGCCCGTAGGATTCACAACAGGGATGTCGAATCGGACGGCTGAGAAGATCTTCAATCATGTGTGGGATCGGCACCTCTGCGACCTCTTCTCTCCGTCAGTAAGTCCCGTCTTTATCTCATATTTCCTGCTCTTCGCTCAGCTTAAAATCTTCTCCTCTCACCCTCTCACTTTCACACGCCCTGGCTGCTGGCGCTGGCAGGGTATGCCGGGTTTTGAGGGCAAGTGCTACAAGGACACTTGAGAGGAGGTTTCTTTTGAGTCGACTCAATAATCACTCTGGCTTTCACCAACACTACACCAAACCCTCAACCCCTCTCTCTCTTTCTCACTATGGCTGCTGGTGGCACTGGCAGGATATGCCGGGTTTCGAGGGCAAATGCTACAAGCACACGCGGGAGGAGGTGCAGGCACAGGCGGGCGGCTGTGAATGGTGCAAGGAGGGTGCGGAGAGGCCTGATGAGATGGCGGTGGAGATTGTGGCACAAATGGCGCAGTCTATATCGAGTATGATGCAGGTGAGTGGGTCTATATCAAGTATGATGTAGGTGAGTCAGTCTGTATCGAGTATGATGCAGGTGAGTCAGTCTGTATCGAGTATGATGCAGATGAGTCAGCCTATATCGGGTAAATGAGTCAGTCTGTATTGAGTATGATGCAGGTGAATCGCATTATGATGCGGGTGAGACAGTATCGAGTATGCTGCTCTTCTGGTCATGCGTACGCAAGCCCTCCCTTTCTATTTCCTTTCTCCTCCATTTCACACTTTCTAAACACAATTTGCAGGCTGGGTTGGAGCAGGTTCTCTTTGCTGCAGCCTTCCCCTTAGCTTCAGTCAGCCACCACGTGTCACGCACCCGCGCTGCTGCTGCTGGTAGGAGCACAGGTGCTGGTGGTGACAGCGGCGTTGCTGCTGCTTCTACTGCTTCTACTGCTGGTGCTGCTGCTGGTGCAGTCACTGGTGTTCGTACAGGTGCGGGCAGTGGTGGAAGGGAGGGGGAGGCTGAAGAGGAGGAAAGAGGGGGCGAGGGAGAAGCAACAGAGACACCTGCAGAGGGCGAAGCAGCAGAAGGCGAACCAGCAGCAGGGGCACGAGCAGAGGAGGAAGAGGTTCAGGAGGTGGAGACAAAGGAAGCAGCGATAGAAGCAGAGGAAAAGAAAGAGCTTAATTTTGGGGGGATTGAGGAGGGAGAGGACAGTGCAGTATCATGGGACCCGCGGGATCAAGTGCTTGGCACTGCTGGGGCTGCAGATGTTATGGGCGGCCTGGAGACAGGCGGCCGGGCGGCAGGTGGGTGGGCGGCAGCGGGAAGGGCGGCTGGGGGGAGGGTTGGTGGGGGGAGAGATTCTGGTGTGGTGAGGGGAGGAGGAGTGGAGAGTGGAGAAGCTGGGCCTGCGGTGGGTGGAAGGGACGTGGGCAGGGCGAGTGGTGGGGATGCAGGAGGGTTGACGGGAGCATTGCAGGGGGTTGCGATGGGTGGAAAGGAAGGTGGCACGGCAGGAGGTGGTGCTGTGGTCTCACATGGCGGGCCGGACCAGAGGGTGCGGGAGGAGGATGCGGAGGACGAGGAGGAGGAACGGGAGATGCAGAAAGCCGAGGAGGAGGAAGATGCTGCTGAGGTCAAGGCAAGGAGCAGAAACACTGACAGCAGCACCAGGAATCCTGACAGCAGCAGCCGAAGCGGTGGCGGCAGCAGTGCGAGCTTTTCCAAGAGTAGCACCAGCCATACAATTGATCCCTCCTACAAGCCAGCCTTCAGCACAGAGTTTGGCGAGCCGTCTCTCTCCTCGTCCTCGCCGGCAGCGGAAGTGCCGTTGCAAACCAACAGAGGGAGCAGCCAGGACGGGAGTGGAGGGTCGGCGTGGTTGGGGGTGCTGCTGCTGGTGGTGGTGGGTGGGGCACTGGCAGCACTTGCAGCGCTGCAGCTGATGCGGCGGCAGAAGTGGAGACAGGCCGCTGATGGCGGGACGTCGTATGTGCAGGTGCAGGAGATGGCGTATGTGCCTCCCTCCCTCTGATGTGATATTTCTGATCTGGTTTATGTCATTGCAGCTTAATGATGAAGTTATTCTGAACTTCGGTACCACCACTCCTGTATTTTTTCCGCAACTGAGTCCGGCCGGCCAGCCAAGCTTGGTAGAAGCAACAGGGAGATTCTGGAACGTCTTGATGTAAGAATAGGCTCACACATAATCTTCCTGTCAATGAATTTGAACAAGCTGATCAATACACCAGCAAGCATTCTAGGTCGACCTTCTAGGGTAATTCTTGGTTCCTAGCTGTCACCAGTCCACTCTCCTCTACGCATGTACGGACGGATGCTGCGGGGTGGAAACAGGCAGAGGATTGAATACGGTACTGAGGAAAAGGTTGATTACTGGTCTGATGAATGGTCAGTAAATTGAGAAGCGGGATGACATCTAAGGCCTCGACACAGCACATCCAATCCAAGGTATCTGACAAAATCTCGGGCAACGACCGACCAGGCTTTGCCTGTAATACCGCCTCTGTCTCGATAACTTCTCCTACCATTAGAATATGATGCGGAACCGAGGCGCCTCTCCTCCTCCTGACGGCAGCACCTCCCATCGGCACGGCTCTAAGTCGTCTGAAACCGGACAGTACCCCGCCAGCGTGGACTTATCTTCCGACACAGACGCGGAGCCGAACTCGAAGACGTTCGTGTTGCTCATGTCTGGAGAGGTTCCCTGCGACGGGGATGCTGCGGGTGCGGGAGCAGGCTTGCTGCTTTCCTTCGACGGTTTCGATCCCTTGGAGGATTTCTGAGAGGAACTCATGGTGAGAAATGGAGGGAAATTGAGCGAGGAATAACCAGAGGAAGATAAGGATGTCAGCCTCTGATGGATTGTGAAGGGTGATAGACTGGAAAGTGGTCCGCTCGTGAAAGTTGAGGAAAGGTATTTGCAATATTGCGTTTTGGCTGCTGTTTGCAATATCGTTTTGTAATCTCGCTGCCAGTTTGTTACCATCAAATTCATCTCGTCAAAAGATCGCCAAACCCGAACGTCACTGCAAGCCCCAGCCCAAGTGGTTTGGGTTGCACATTTTCGCCGTCGATTTCTAGTTTGTTCGCCTTTCCACGCCGATGTGACCCGTACATTGTAGCCAAACGTTTGAGAAGCGTTCCAGGTCGAAGAGTCTGCAACGCAAGGGAACACCCTCCTCCCACCTTGCTGGACCCAAAAGAGCAGTGTCTAACCTTATGGGTGAAATTTGCGAGCAACAAAATATTTTCCAGACTCTTGTACAACCTTGGGATCTTCAATTCAATCAAGCCCTAGATCTTAGCATAAAGCTGCTAGATTCAGCTCGATTCGATTGGTCTTACCAGTCCTTCCCTTCAATTCCCGCCATATTCAGCGGCGCGAAGCCGTACGCAACCTCATAAAGGTACCATATTTGCGGTTCTTGAGTCCTAGTTAATCCGTCAAGTGATTGTTTCGTAAGGTTCCTTCGGCCCATATTCTTGACCTCAGTGGCCATCGTCCTTATTCTTTCTATCAACGTCTATGGCAGATGATCGACGATCAAGATCTCGGGTTCTTCGCGAACGTCCTCGGCATCACGATCTTCATGCTGGTCGTGGCGTATCATTACGTGCTAGCAGATCCTAAGTATGAAGGCTGAGACTAAGGGGTAGAGCGGATGATTTACATGCGGTTGCGTCGCGTAGACCACCCCACCCTACCCCCCTCACTTTTTGTATCAATACAAGCCTTGCCCATAGTGCTTTGATATCCATTTCTAACTTCAAGTTAACCAGGATTTGGGATTGAAAAGGTTGTTTTTTTTACATTTGGCATCCACAATGGCGCCATTGCGTTTGACATCGACAGCAACACCATCCACTTATTACAGCCTTACTTGTCCATGGAGCAGGGCCACAGTTATCAGGATAATTTATCCTGATTCTCCTGAATTCAGGATAGGTGTCGTGTGCTAGTCCTGTGTTACGATATGAAGCTTTATGAGAAGGCATTCCTGTATGCTGCAGGAGCCGACTCTACCGAGTATGAAGATGAGGAGTCAGAAGAGTTGAAGCGACACAGTAACCGTCTGACTAAGGCCAATGCAGGCAAGAGCATTTGAAGTGAAAAGAGCGGGAACAGGTTTGAAACTGATTCCCGCGCCGCACGGTTTAAATTTCGCTGCAATAAGGGAATGTACCCCTTAGAGTACATGGCTAGTCTAGGTCGTTTCGCATTCCTTTGTATTTCTATATAAACCCAATGTATGCATGCTATTATCAATCTCAGTCATTTACATTCACTCTGACCTGAGTTCACTACTTCCGCTGCGACACTACCTGCGATCAACCCTGAACGATCCTTTCGGACAAATCTCACTTCAGATTGTAACATGGTATGAGAGCTGCTCAGGGATTCTTCGCAACGTCAACTCCGTAAAATTCGCCAAACCAAAACTGGCGAGCGGCACACGTTCCAAGACCAAGATGGCCGGAGGATCCGGAGGTCAAACAAATCTAACGGCCGAAGGACAAACCAACCCGGCTGCGACAAATGAGGCGACAACTACGATTGGCACTGCCGCGCTCGAGCAGTTATTCGCTCGACTGTCAACAATGGAGAAAGAACTCCAAGATCTGCGCAAAGGCGATGCGGGAACCACTTCCCAACCAGTTCAACCTGGACAACCGGCTGCGAAAAGCCGCGATACCGCCGCGCACGGCTTCTCCCTCGACTCAGACAAATCTGCAACAACTGCCCCTCGTCCAAGCGACGAAACCATCAACTCTGCGCAAGCACGCTTTCTCAGTGTGTCAAAGATCAAGACTACTGCCGCGTTTGACGGCAAGGATTTTTATACATGGAGTTTTGAGCTTGAGCTCCTCCTACAGACAGCGCAGATCTACCACTACTTCGACGGCTCCTATCCTAAACCGGTGGAAGACACCGAAGACGCCCGCGCTCAATACTACAGTGAGTCGCTCATGGCGTATAGCGTTCTGCTGCGCAACATGTCGCCGGCAGAACAGCTCGGCATCCGCTCCTATAAAGAGAGCGCCGCTCCGGCTCTTGAAGCTTGGAAGCACCTCGTGGAGGTATATCAGCCGAAGGATTCCGTCACTGCAAGCCGCCTCCTGCAACAACTCATGGAGACGAAGATGGGGCACGGGGAGAAAGCAAACAGTTACATCAACCGTTGTCGGAACATCCGTGATCAAATCATCAAGAACGGAAGTTCGATCTCGGAGGAGATATTCGTAAACATCATCCTCCAGGGACTTGGGCCCGAGTGGAAGCCCTGCAAGGCACTACTCCGACAACGAGGACAACTTTCCGAAGCCGCGCTATGCGCCGCACTGCTGACTGAACAGCAGGACATGGACTCGAGCAGAACGAGTTCCGCGCCACGCCGAGAGCGACTCGCCTTCTACACAGACAACCGTGAAGAGCGACGACAACCAAGGCGCCATTACTGCAAAATTTGCAAAACCTTCGGGCATTTAACGGATCGATGCAAATCCCGATCCAA